TGGTAGTTGTTGTTCTCTTTGACATCTGGTGGGAGGGCGTTCCACAGGGCGGGCGCCACTACTGAGAAGGCCCTCTGCCTGGTTCCCTGTAGCTTTGCTTCTCACAATGAGGGAACTGCCAGAAGGCCCTCGGAGCTGGAACTCAGTGTCCGGACAGAACGATGGGGCTGGAGATGCTCCTTCAGGTATACAGGACCGAGGCCGTTCAGGGCTTTAAAGGTCAGCACCAACACTTTGAATTGTGCTTGGAAATGTACTGGGAGCCAATGTATGTGGTCTCGGTGGCCACTCCCAGTCACCAGTCTAGCTGCCGCATTCTGGATTAGTTGTAGTTTCCGGGTCACCTTCAAAGGTAGCCTCACATAGAGTGCATTGCAGTAGTCCAAGCGAGAGATAACCAGAGCATGCACCACTCTGTTGAGACAGTCTGCGGGCTGGACCCAAGCACAAGAGCCTTCTCCCCACTTCTGATTCCCAGCTCCTGGTATTCAGAAGCACACTGCCTCTAACTGTGTAGGAAAGAGCATAGCCACTGACAGACTTAGCCTCCCTGAATTTGCCCAGTCCTCTTTTAAAGCTATCTAAGTTGATGGTCATTACTGCGTCCAGCAGGAGCCAGTTCCACAGGTTAACTCTGCAGCACTGCATGTAGAAGTACTTGCTCCTGTGCCAATTGTAAAAACTTGGCGCAAAGGTGCAGAGGCATCCTGGGGCAATTTGCCTGCCACATGGTTCCATTTCCTCTGCTCCCTTTCGCCCCTTCTCCTTGCTCATTCTCATCCCTGAGCACAATTCAGAATTATCATCTGATTGTTCATTGATTTGTTAATGGCCGTGACAATTGTTCCCTGTCTCTCTGAATAGGGCTGGGAGGAGATTTCGGTGTATCCATTTTGTACGTGGAATTTGTCATTCTCCAAAAGATGACCAGCTGCTATAACCCAAAGTCTAGTTCAGGCCCAAAAACAGGACCAGGCTGGAGAGAGGGAGATGAGTTTTATGGGGCTGTGGGGATGAAGGCCAGCCAGCTGGGACAAAAGAAAGCATTTTTAGAAAATCTGTTCCTTTTTAAGATGTATAAACCGTGCTTTCGTCCACATATGGATTCCAGGGTGGCCTACATAAAAATAGAAATATCCCTACATAGAAATATTTCACATCCCTGAACAGGAAGATGAAATCCATCAGCCCTAAATAAAAGGGGGGAGTCATGTTCTGATCCTGCCATACATACCCCATTGTTAGAAGGACCTTGTTATCCATTGTGTTCACACCACACCTTGTCCTTTCCACCTTGTCCTTTATGGACTCACCCAAGGAACAAGTTAGGAGCCCATCTTTGAAGGAGGCTGTGCCTGGAGGAAGAACTGTGAGGAAAGAGACTCCGTCTGGCAAGGCCTCCTTCCTCCTGCCTTGCTCCACCCTCTAGTCTCTGCTTCTCAATTTGTATTTTATTATTTCATGTACTGTGGCTTGCAGTTGTTTTACTGATTATAGTTTAGAAATTATTTATCGTAACTGTTAAGGGTGAATTTCTGTAACCTTTATATGCTGTTATTATTTCATACTACTCTAATGATTGTTGAATGCTACTTTTTGATGTAGATTGCTTGTTTTAAAGTTTTGTATTATTATCACATTTTTGTATTGCATTAGATTGTTATAAGATGTACATTTTTTGTTTCTTCAGCTTGTAAACCGCCTTGAGTATTGTAAGATAGAAAGACGGTATACAATTTTTTTAAAAAAATCTTGATGCAATATTAAATCCAAATATTGAAAATAATGAATTATTGAATATTAAACCAGAAGCTGTACAAGCACCTGAAACAAGTCTCTGCAAATAAAAGCATCTTACCAAATAGGAAAAGCTTTATGGTTTGAAATCTAGGCATCCCCAAATGCTGCTTGCTATAACCCATGTTTGTTCTAACCCCAAAATCCTTTCCCTCCCCCTTTTTATATCTCTCGCTCTTTCCCCAGCTGGAGTGACAGCCAACGTCACCGCCAAGACCTGCGGTTCCATGGCTATGTCCCTGCCAGGAAGCAGAAGACCCTCAACGGGATCCCGGAGGTGAATATCACGAACCCTTCCTCTCTACATTGCGGAATGGGACTTCCGGCAGCATCCCTGCTGGTTCACAGCAAAGGAACCGTTCTCGCCCCCACCCCAGCCTTGCCCATGCTGCTTTCCTAGAGCGAAGAGAGAGCCTGGGTGTTCTCCAGAGATATGGAAGGAGCCTCTTCTCCTTCCATGTGCTTCGCAAATGTACAGGATTATGAATGCCGCACAGTGCCTTGTGGGGACTGCAGAGCTGCTAGGAAGGAGGGACAGGTTGTTTCTTGTGGCTGCCGTAATCCAAAATTGCATGCCTGTTGACCACACCTTGGCACAACATTTGCATGCCTCCTCGCCTGTTGTGCATGTGTGGACCGCTCCATCACAATAACTAGACCTGGAATCCCACACTTCCGTTCTGGGTAGCCAAAGGCAGTCTTTGGGGCGACTGCTTCCTCAGCAGCAGGGGGGTGGTCTGTTGGCCCTGGCAGCTTGCCCTTTGCTGCGTTTCTTCCTGTCCCTTAGTGTGTTTTCAAACATCGGAGGTCCCTGCCCTTCGCATTTGCGAAGGCACCTCCTGAGAACAGGGCTGCCAGGCTCTTCGATAGGCTCTGCTCCTGCGCCTTTAAGGCAAGCCTGCGCAGCTTGTGACGAGCCAAGCCAAGCACAGCTCTCCTGTCACGCTCAGTGACCTGTCAGGTCCTGCCAGCCACAAGAGCAACGCTTGTTGTTGTTTGAAAATGCCAACCCTGCCCGGGGAGAGCACAGCAATGCTGAGCTGTTGTCAGACGCCTGAGTTTTCCCTGGGTTCTTTCTCAGGAACGGAAGCATGTGTGTTAATATGGATGGGAGTGAGGAGAGGGTGTGCCGACCATTTTCACTTGCTGAAAAGGACTAGGAATTGTTCACCCCTGGGCAAGATGCCATGGATCTAAAGTACAAGGAGACGGATTTAGGCAAAACGTGCTTGTAAGCTGCCTGTGGTGCTGTGGAATGTCAAAACAGAGACATGTCAAGCACTTTCAAGAAGGACATTGACAAACTGGAACGTGTCCAGAGGAGGGCAACCAAAATGGTCAAAGGCCTGGAAATGATGCCTTATGAGGAACGGCTAAGGGAGCTGGGCATGTTTAGCCTGGAGAAGAGGAGGTTAAGGGGTGATATGATAGCCATGTTCAAATATAGAAAAGGATGTCACATAGAGGAGGGAGAAAGGTTGTTTTCTGCTGCTCCAGAGAAGCAGACACGGAGCAATGGATCCAAACTACAAGAAAGAAGATTCCACCTAAACATTAGGAAGAACTTCCTGACAGTAAGAGCTGTTCGACAGTGGAATTTGCTGCCAAGGAGAGTGGTGGAGTCTCCTTCTTTGGAGGTCTTTAAGCAGAGGCTTGACAACCATATGTCAGGAGTGCTCTGATGGTGTTTCCTGCTTGGCAGGGGGTTGGACTCGATGGCTCTTGTGGTCTCTCCCAACTCTATGATTCTATGATTCTATGACTTAGTACCTAGTGCACTCAGATAGGAGTGTCCTTTCCAACCCTTTGATTATATGACTCCTTATCATAGTTTTAATTTTTATTTACAGTGTTTCTATACAGTGGACTCTCGGGTTGCAAACGTGATCTGTGCAGGATGCACGTTCGCAACCCGCAGCGACACATCTGTGCTTCTGCGCATGTGCAAAGTGCGATTTAGCGCTTCTGTGCATGTGCGACCTCCGAAACCCGGAAGTAACCTGTTCCAGTACTTCCGGGTTTCGGAGCGTCCATAACATGAAAAAACGCAGCCTGAAGTGTCTGTAACCTGAGGTATGACTGTACTATCCATGAGCAATAAGTTCCCTGGGCAGATTACAACTTTAAAGATGTAGAATCATGAGATTGTAGATTTGGAAGGGGTCCCAGGGGTCATCTGGCCTAACCCCCTGCAATGCACGAATAGATGTACAGGTGCAGATGTAGAAATACAGCACGAGGGCAAAGTCAAAAGCAAATTAAGACAACATTATTATATATACAATGGAATCTCGGTTATCGAACGTAATCCGTTCTGAAAGTCCATTCGACTTCCGAAATGTTCGGAGGCCGAGGACCAAAGGTCTGTCAGTAAGTTCAATGGGGAAAATTGAGAAACGCACCTCGGAAGCCGTTCAACTTCTGAGGTGCATTCGAAAACAGAAGCATTCGCTTCCGAAACGTTTGGCAGCCGAGACATTCAAAAACCAAGGTTTGGCTGTGTGTGTATAGTCAATTAATACATGTTCCCTTGCAAGCATCTCCCCTACCTTTTCCTATCCATCTATCTAGAATGTTGCTTAAAGGGTCTCTGCCGCCTCTCGTCACCCCAAAGGCAGCCTGGACCTAAGGATGATACTGTATTTTTCCGTGTATAAGACTAGGTTTTTTTCCTTTTAAAAATGTCAGAAATTGGGGGGCGTCTTATACACGGATAGTGCCAAGGGTGGGTTGGCAATTGGTGAGTCCCCCAAAATAGGTGGCGTCTTATACATGGAGGCATCTTATAGACGGAAAAATACGGTACTTTCCAGCACTTCCCCTCTAGTGCTTATGATCAGATGCTTTTTCCTGGGCTCTGAGTTCCATGAAAGTGACGGGGTGCTCCTGCTGGGGGCTTGCAGCCTTTGCTACTGCTTCACTAACCTGTTTGCAGAGAGAGCTTTTGCCACGTTCCATTTTGAACCCCGCCTGTTTGTTCTTGTCGTTTGTTTTGTTCTGTTCTGTCCTGTTTTGTTTTTTTCTTCTTCCTGTATTCGTGTTTTCCTTTGGTGGTGTTTTTTTTTTGTTTGTTTGTTTTAAGCCGTGAGTTTTACGGAAGGAGTGGCTTTGCCTCGTTCTTTAAGTCTGCAACGGCCCCTGCCACTCCGACTGAGAAACAGCCTCTTCTTCCTGCCTCCAGGCGTCCCTCTCCGCCAGTGAGCATGCGGGACACATATGGCACCTCCTCGCTCAGCAGCAGCAGCAACTCCGGCTCCTGTAAGGGCAGCGACAGCAGCCCCACCCCAAGGTAACCCTTGGCTCCTGTAAGGGCAGCAGCAGCAGCACACACACACACACACACACACACACACACACACACACCCCACAAGCGTCCAACATAAGAGAGAGAATTGCCTTGCCAACCCAGCAGTGGCCTGCTAAATATTATTATTATTATTATTATTATTATTATACCCTGCCCATCGGCTGGGTTTCCCGCTTCCAACAAATTATTAAAAGACAGTAATGCATCAAACATTAAAAGCTTCCCTAAACAGGGCTGCCTTCAGATGTCTTCTAAAAGTCTGGTAGTTATATTTCTCTTTGACATCTGGTGGGAGGGTGTTCCACAGGGCGGGTGCCACCACCAAGAAGGCCCTCTGCCTGGTTCCCTGTAACTTGGCTTCTCGCAGTGAGGGAACCGCCAGAAGGCCCTCGGAGCTGGACCTCAGTGTCCGGGCTGAATGATGGGGGTGGAGACGCTCCTTCAGGTATACTGAACAGAGGCCATTTAGGGCTTTAAAGGTCAGCACCAATACTTTGATTTGCACTCGGAAACGTACTGGGAGCCAGTGTAGGTCTTTCAAGACCGGTGTTATGTGGTCTCAGCAGCCGCCCCCAGTCACCAGTCTAGCTGCCGCATTCTGGATTAGTTGTAGTTTCCGGGTCACCTTCAAAGGTAGCCCCACGTAGAGCGCATTGCAGTAGTCCAAGTGAGAGATAACCAGAGCATGCACCACTCTGATGAGACAGTCCACGGGCAGGTAGGGTCTCAGCCTGTCTACCCGATGGAGCTGGTAGACAGCCGCCCTGGACACAGAATTAACCTGCGCCAACATGAACAGCTGTGAGTCCAAAATGACTCCCAGGCTGCATACCTGGTCCTTCTGGGGCACAGTTACCCCATTCAGGACCAGGGAGTCGCCCACACCTACCCACTCCCTGTCCCCCCAAAACAGTACTTCTGTTTTTAATAATAATAATATTTTTTTATTTAAACCAGGCTCAGGGCGGCTAACAACAAATTTAAAACACTTAATTGTGACACAACAAAAAAACAGCATAAAATACAGTATAAAAGCATGAATAACAATAAATTCAAAGTTCTAAAATCAATTTAGTGGAAAATCCACGCAATAAACATTAGATGATCACCAGGCCTAGCTGGCTAAATTAGTCCTCTTTGGGCCAGAAAGGAGGCCAGGGGAGAATTAGCCTCTAGGATAGCTGCAAGCTGAGCAAGATAGAGACATCATTGTTGCACATTAGTCCACAGCACCTCTGAATATGGAGGGTTCTGCTCAGCTTGGTCTTTGCCAACCTGGCAGCCTCCACATGTTTTGAACTACAACTCCCATCAGGCTGATGGGAGTTGTAGTCCCAAAGGATGATCAAGGGTCTGGAAACCAAGCCGTATGACGAATGGTTGAAGGATCTGGATATGCCTAGCCTGGAAAAGAGGAGAGATGTGATGGCCATCTCCAAACACCTGTGAAGGTCTGTCGCGTGGAAGCTGGAGCAAGCATGTTTTCTCCTGCTCTGGAGGGTAGGACTCCAACCAATGGATTCAAGTTGCAAGAAAGGAGATTCTGACTAAACATCAGGAAGATAGATAGATAAGATAAAACTTCATTCGCATTAGCCAATGGCCATAGCAACAGTAAAACATTACAGTATACGCAGAAAAGGAAATTTGATATAAAAGCGCAATTTAAAGTCCTGAATCAGCAGTCAGTTAGTGGCCCTTATTCTGATTGCCCCTGCTATGAACCTAGCAACCCTTGCTGTTATCTGCTCATTTTGATCTGATAGAAGGAAGCACATTGCGGCAGTGGTTGAGTGCCCTGGGATGGTTAGTACGAGTGGGGTGATGATCTCTTTCCTTGGGTCTTTGTAGAGAGTACAGGACAGGAAGACGTGTGCCACGGTTTCAGTGCTGCCATCTCCACAGGGGCAAAGACGTTTCTCAGGCGGGATCTTTTGGAATCGACCCTCAAGTACCGCAGATGGCAAAAACATCCAGTCTTGCAAGTGTAGAAGCACGTCCGCATTTTGGGATAATAAGTTTGTGCAGATATGGGGCCAGAGAATCAAAATGGAGAGGTGGAAAATGAACATACCAAGGGGAGAATTTCCTTAGAGTGGCCAGGTTTTTCTGAAACATCAAGAAGAACTTTCTGGCAGTAAGAGCTGTTCAACAGTGGAATGGAGTCCTTCAGAAGGTTCATTGGAGGTTTTCAAGCAGAGGTTGTATTGCAGGGGGTTGGACTAGATGGCCCTTGGGGTCCCTTCCAACTGTGATTCCATGAAAACATTTGAAGGGCACCCTTCTGGCAAAGGCTAATTTAGCCGTTCTGGCTAATAGGTAAAGGTAAAGGTACCCCTGCCCGTTCGGGCCAGTCTTGCCAGACTCTAGGGTTGTGCGCTCATCTCACTCTAGAGGCCGAGAGCCAGCGCTGTCCGCAGACACTTCCGGGTCACGTGGCCAGCGTGACAAGCTGCATCTGGCGAGCCAGCGCAGCACACGGAAAGCCGTTTACCTTCCCGCTGGTAAGCGGTCCCTATTTATCTACTTGCACCCGGGGGTGCTTTCGAACTGCTAGGTTGGCAGGCGCTGGGACCGAGCAACGGGAGCGCACCCCGCCACGGGGATTCGAACCGCCGACCTGACGATCGGCAAGTCCTAGGCGCTGAGGTTTTACCCACAGCGCCACCCGCGTCCCTGTGGCTAATAGCCATCACCTAACCTCAAGATGTCCACTATAACTGGGGAAATGTAATTGATTAGTCCAATCCTAACCTGGCACCAGTGATCCAGGTGGGCTGCCAAATAATGGCAGATTTAACTCCTAATGCAGGTTAATTAAGGCTGTTCTGCAGCACAGAAGAGTGGCTAGGAAGCAACTGGAGGGTAGTCTGCCTGTACTCTTTTATTGCATGCTTATGAGTGGAAGGAACTACCGTATTTTTCGCTCTATAAGACGCACCAGACCACAAGACGCACCTAGTTTTTGGAGGAGGAAAACAAGGAAGAAAAAAAAATTCTCAGAAGCCAGAACAGCAAGAGGGATCGCTATGCAGTGAAAGCAGCAGTCCCTCTTGCTGTTCTGGCTTCTGGGATAGGTGCACAGCCTGCATTCGCTCCGTAAGACGCACACACATTTCCCCTTACTTTTTAGGAGGGAAAAAGTGAGTCTTATAGAGCAAAAAATACGGTACATGTCTAACTATATTTGTAAGCAACTGTGAATATGAATTCAGCTGCTGATAATAAGGCTGGACCTGTGAATGAACCCCAAATAAATAAATAAACCCCATAAAAAGGGGTTGGATTCTGTCTTTAAAAGTAGCTGTTTCAAAAGAGCAGTACTGCAGTATGTGCAGACTAATTCTGAACTCAGTTGAAATGAGGGCAGTTACACACTGCTAAAACTGGGGCCTAACGTAGGTCCCTTGATACAGGGTTTCAGAAGTGATCAAATTCACCATTAGTGTGGAAGGGCAAGAAAGTTTCCAACAGATTTCATAGATAGATAGATAGATAGATAGATAGATAGATAGATAGATAGATATTGCAATTGCTCTTATGCACCTGTCCTTTGCATACAACCTATGTATTGAGACCTGGGATTAAAATATAAATAAATACGGATTGTATTTCAGGAACCTTAAAAATTAAGTCCAATGTTGCAATAGTAAAAAGGAAAGGAAAGGAAAGGAAAAGGATCCATTCAACAGAAACTTTGTGAAGGTCACCAGTTATTGCAGCTGCAAATGGAATAGTGCTCTAAGGATGTACTTTCACGTTATACATTTTTGGCAGTGTCCTGTCCTCAGCTCCTGCTTCCCCCATCTATAACATCCAGCCCAGCCTACCTGACATCATGATGATGTATGTCCTCCCTGCCATCACATTCCCTGCTCCGCATCATTGGCAGGACCAGGGAGCCACGCATAAGCATATATATCGTATTTTTTGCTCTGTAGGACGCACTTTTCCCCCTCCAAAAATTAAGGGGAAATGTGTGTGTGTGTTATGGAGCGAATGCAGGCTCCTTGGCTTCAGCGATAGCAACGCAAAGTCTCCAAAGCGCAGAGGGACTGCTCCCTCTGCGCTCCGGAGGCTTCGCGTTGCTTTCGCTGAAGCCAGGAGAGTCTATCCCTGAAGCCTGGAGAGCGAGAGGGGTCGGTGCGCACCGATCCCTCTCGCTCTCCAGGCTTCAGGAATAGCCGCCTAAAGCCTTTGGAGCGCAGTGGCTATCCCTGAAGCCTTTGGAGCACAGCAGGACCTCGTGCTGCGCTCCAAAGGCTTTGGGTTCCTTTTGCTGAAGCCAGGAGAGCAAGACTCTCCTGGCTTCAGCAGAGAAGGAGAGCTGTGCAGCGCCCCTTCAGCGAAGCGGGAGGAGAAATGGAAGGGGCTCCATTTCTCCTGCCACTTCACTGAAGGGGCGCTGAGCAGAGAGGGGGAGAATATTTTTTTTCTTGTTCTCCCCCTCTAAAACAAGGTGCGTCCTATGGTCGGGTGCGTCCTATAGAGTGAAAAATACGCTATATGTTTTTATGAGCCTGCAATCTTTGTAACATATATTTCCACTGCAAGTTCGTAACATTGGACTTGATCCCATTTAATAATAATAATAATAACCTATAATATTGAATCAGATTCAGTAGTACTGGGGCCATCCTTCTTGGGAGTCCGGGCCTCATTCCCAGTACAGTTCTGAAAGGCTAAACTCTCATCTTACCAAAAGGGTCCTCTGCTGCCATTACGTTTGAAGGCAATCCTTTTGAGCTCTCTGGGAAGGAAGGAGGAGGTGTGAACTGGCATAGAGATGGACCAAATTAAGGAAGATAGGCCAGGTCCCAGATTCCTAACTCTACACTCAGGATTACACATAGACTTCTCCAGGTTTTGTAGTGGGAAGAGGATGGCAAAGACTTGTGCTGCTGTCCTAATTACTCTTTCTTTATCATTGTAGACACTGAGCATTTAGGAAGCAAGTATAAATGTGGACAGGAAATCTAGAGACAGCATCAGTCCCGCACTCCAGTGTTCTTGAAAGCGGCCGATCAGCTGGGAAACTTTTAGCCACCTGTTCAAACCAGGCTTAAACTCATCCTCTGCCCTTTCACTGGCTGTATTCAAAACTTGCCAGGCAGGCAAGACACTGGCTTCAACCCTGACAGTAGCAGATAGATGCGGGTGGCGCTGTGGGTTAAACCACAGAGCCTAGGACTTGCCCATCAGAAGGTCGGCGGTTTGAATCCCCGCAACGGGGTGAGCTCCTGTTGCTCGGTCCCTGCTCCTGCTAACCTAGCAGTTCGAAAGCACATCAAAGTGCAAGTAGATAAATAGGTACCACTCCGGCGAGAAGGGAAACGGCATTTCCGTGCACTGCTCTGGTTCTTCAGAAGCGGCTTAGTCATGCTGGCCACATGACCCAGAAGCTGGACGCTGGCTCCCTCGGCCAATAAAGCGAGATGAGCACCGCAACCCCAGAGTCGGCCACGACTGGACCTAATGGTCAGGGGTCCCTTTACCTTTGAATAATTAAGCTGCACAAAACCCCACTTAATTATTTACTTTAGTCATTTCTAACCTGCCCTGGGGAGAAAATTTCTTTGAAAGGTGGAGGTAGAAATGTCTAAAATAAACCAATTAAAACGTAGGCTTTTGTACAGCTTGACAGCTAAGTACACATCATGGAATCAATATACACGTAATAAAGCAATCATACAATTCAAAAACCAACAGTAGACTAATGCAGGTTACTGTTAAAAAATCAAGGATATAAAATATCATGGTTAAAATGCCAGGTCAAGGTGGGGAGAGATAGGAAACAGACACACTTCTCTGGGCAAAACATTTTAACACTGGAAAAAATAAACTTCCCCTCATTGACACTGATAGGATCTGGGCCCCTGCCACTGCCTAAGCTCTGGGGAGCTGTTTTTTTGTGGGGGTTTTCTACAGCAGAATATTACTGTACAACAAATTTATTTTTAACTTATTTTAGCTATGTATTTATGATCCCCCATTACTCCCCAAAGGCCGAAAGCTAACCAAGATCAGTGGTTATGGATAAATACAGAAAGGGTGCTGGGTACTGCAAAGTACTAGGGTTTGGCAAATCGACACAATGCCAAGGGTCTTGCAAGCGTAAAGAAGTGTCTTTCGTCTTAAATGTCTGTCTGATTTCCCCCTCTGCTGCTCTTCTCTGTTTCTTCATTTGCTACAGTCGTTAGTCTGCTATATCTCCACATTACTCCATCCTGGGCAAGAGGCAGCGCTAAAGCATCCTTTGCACAGGGTCATTGCTCTCCTCTGTTCTTGCTTGGCTTTGGAAGAGAAATCTGGAGAAAGGAGCAGAAAAATCTGAGCTCAAAACGTGCGCAGTTACCGTATTTTTCGCTCCATAAGATGCACTTTTCCCCTCTTAAAATCTAAGGGGAAATGTCTGTGCGTCTTATGGAGTGAATGTGTGGTCCCTGGGGCTGGGGTGGGGGTCCAGGCTTCCCCTGCCAGCCCCGACCTGTTCTTTGGGGCCGGCGGTGGGGGAAAACGCTTCTGGAGTAGCCCGTGAAGCCTCCGCAGGGCAGCGGGGAGCCTTCATCCCACTGCCCTGGGGAGGCTTCGCGCGGCTATCCCTGGCTTTTGCGGGAGGTGGGGGAAGGGACAGAGCGAGGCTTTCTCACTTCCCCCACCTCCTGCAAAAGCCCCCAAGAGCCGCATATTTTTTTTCTTGAATTCCCCCCCCCCCCAAAAAAGTAGGTGCGCCTTATGGTCAGGTGTGCCTTATGGAGCGAAAAATACGGTAACTTAGCAGTGTCAACATAGGCAGCACTGTCCTGAGTTTCTGAAGCTTAAAAGGTGAACCCCAAGGTGCTTGCAGTCTAATTTTCAGCCATGGGAGAGAGAACAAGAGAGTGAGTGTGAGAAAGGGAGGAGATGCAATCATGTGCTCTGAACCTTCCACGGACCAGGAAGGGAAATCTCCCTTTGGACCCTGGGCAGTTCCAAGGCTCTGATGAACTTTCCTGTCTTTTCAGGCGCCCAGTCAAGTACCTGCTGTGCAGCGACAACCATGGGATCAAGCCCCCGACCCCCGAGCAGTACCTCACCCCCCTCCAGCAGAAGGAGGTCTGCATTCGACACCTCAGGGCCAGGCTGAAAGACACGCACGAGAGGCTGCAGGACAGGTCAGTATTTGGGGGCTCTTGCATCTGGGGTGGAGGAATTTGAGGCTCGGCATTCCCCTGAACATACTAGGCCAGGCAAGCAGCAGTCAGCCTTGCGGGCTGCTCAGAACTGCACTAGGTGGAACTTTTCAGGCACTAATGATAATAAGACTATAATAGCTGGCTTCATGGGAACGACGCACCTTCCTGAGATTTGCTGTGGAAGTGGCTCCTTGCCAGTGCTGAAGATTCAGCTGCAAATTTAGCCAGCTTCGTGCGCTTCACCTCAGGCAGCAAACCCTAACCCTTACTCACAGGTAAGTGTGCATAGGATTGCTGCCTAAGAGAAGCAGATAAAGGTAACTTTGCTGAATGTATACAGTCTACTCACAGAATTTAACTTTCACTCTATATCAGGGGTAGTCAACCTTTTTATACCTATCGCCCACTAATGCATCTTTCTTGATGGTACAATTTCCTTACCGCCCTCCAGGGCTCGATGGAAGGAGGACTCAGCTTGTGCAGTAGAATAGAATAGAATAGAATAGAATAGAATTTATTATTTATACTCCACCCATCTGGCTGGGTTTCCCCAGCCACTCTGGGCGGCTTCCAATAAAGTATTAAAATACAGTAGTCTGTTAAACATTAAAAGCTTCCCTAAAGAGGGCTGCCTTCAAATGTCTTCTAAAAGTCTGGTAGTTGTTGTTCTCTTTGACATCTGGTGGGAGGGCGTTCCACAGGGCGGGTGCGACCACTGAGAAGGCCCTCTCTGCCCGGTTCCCTGTAGCCTCACTTCTCGCAATGAGGGAACCGCCAGAAGGCCCTCGGCGCTGGACCTCAGTGTCCAGGCAGAACGATGGGGGTGAAGACGCTCCTTCAGGCATACTGGGCCAAGGCCATTTACAGCTTGAAAGGTCAGCACCAACACTTTGAATTGTGCTTGGAAACATACTGGGAGCCAATGTAGGTCTTTCAAGACCAGTGTTATGTGGTCTCGGCTGCTGCTCCCAGTCACCAGTCTAGCTGCCGCATTCTGGATTAGTTGTAGTTTCCGGGTCACCTGCAAAGGTAGCCCCAAGTAGAGCGCATTGCAGTAGTCGAAAAGGGAGATAACCAGAGCATGCACCACTCTGGCGAGACAGTCTGTTGCAGAGCTAGCAAGGGCAGTGACCGTCTGCTTGTCCGTCTGCTACAGGGATGCAGAGATTGACGACCTGAAGACGCAGCTCTCCAGGATGCAGGAGGACTGGATCGAGGAGGAGTGCCACCGCGTGGAGGCCCAGCTGGCGCTGAAGGAGGCCCGGAAGGAGATCAAGCAGCTGAAGCAAGTCATCGACACCGTCAAGAACAACCTGATGGAGAAAGACAAAGGGCTCCAAAAGTACTTTGTGGACATCAACATTCAGAACAAGAAGCTGGAGACCCTGCTGCACTGCATGGAGGTCGCCCAGGATGGGACGGTCAAAGAAGAGGGGGCTGCCGAGTCCGCGGGGGGCTCTCCGGCCCGCTCCCTCACCCGCAGCTCCACCTACACCAAGCTGAGCGACCAAGGAGCCGCCGACAGGAACCTGGGCGGCTCCCAGATCTCAGTGGAAGAAGCGGCCTGTGACAGCGGCTTTGTGGCCGCGGACGACTCCTTGAGCCGGACGGACTTGCTGGACCAGAGCAGCCTCCTGTCTTCGGGGGTGGAGTGCGGCACAGATGACACCTCCCTGCAGACCAACTTCACCCTGGGGTCCCGGGTGCCCACCAGCTCCACGTACGAGAAGCTGATGGGGTCTCAGCACAGCGTCGAGGCCGCGGTTCAGGCCAGCTGCATGCAGGAGCAAGCCATACAGACGGACTTTGTGCAGTACCAGCCGGATCTTGATACCATCCTAGAGAAGGTGATGAAATCCCAGGCTTGCAGCCTGGCCAGCCCCACCTCCGTGTGGGTGTCTGAAATGGAGGAGGCGGCCGAGCCGCGGAGCTTGGAGATCCAGGGCCAGAGCCTTCCTGGGGGGGCCACGGACATGGCAGCTGCTGATCCCAGCTCAGCAGTGTCGATCAGCGCAGTAGAGGAGGGAGAGAACGCTACTGAGCAAGCAGCTTCGCCAAGCCCAGTGGCCAACAGCCCAACCGTGCGCCAGCCTTCTAGCGCCAGCCAGTCGGTGAGCGTCGTGTGCGCCCCAGAAGAAGAAGAAGAAGAAGAAGCTGAACCAGGCCAGGAGCTCATAGCAGCAGCAGCGGCGGAGCCTCAAACTTACTGGAGCCGCCACTTCATCGTGGATCTCCTGGCTGTGGTGGTGCCGGCAGTGCCTACGGTCGCCTGGCTGTGCCGCTCGCAGAGGAGGCAGGGCCAGCCCATCTACAACATTAGCTCGCTCCTGCGGGGCTGCTGCACGGTCGCCCTGCACTCCATCCGCAAGATCAGCTGCCGCTCCGTCACCAACACCAGCAGCTCCTGCTCCCAGCCATGACCTCCTTCCCCTGCTCAGCCCGTTGCGCCGCACACATGCTTCGTCCAGAGAGAGCCAGTTCATGGAAACGACCATAATTTAGCTGACCACTGATTGTACATTTCATCCACGCACTGAGACTTTTTATTTATTTATTTATTTGGGGGGGGGCACCTGGGTGACAGTTCTGACCTGCTGCATCTCGATTTATACAAATGACTTGGGGGAGTTAGCGTTGCCCCTCTTTCTGCAACCCTGGAGGAATTGCAAGGAGCTGGGATTGGGCAGCCGGCCTCCCTGCTGAAGGACCCTCGCGCCGTAGGTGCTGTAGCTTGCGGAAGTTGTCCTGTCATTCCACTTCAGGGAAGTTACAAGACTTTTTCCCGATCTCTCTCCTTTCCACAGTAGGCTCTTTCTGGCCATTTTTGCGACCTGCTAGAAAAGCTCCCCGATAACTTGTTTCTTTCTCTTCTGCTTTTTCTACGGCTACTCTAGAAACCACCAGTGTCCCTAATCCTCACTAGGCCACCACCTGTAACCCACTTTTGCTCGCGTTCCCTCACTTACAGGATTTTGCAGCAGTAACTACAGATCCTGCCTGAGCCTTTTGCCGGCTCCCGATGGGAAGAGAAGGGGCACATCACAGTTGCTATGCAGTGACGAGATGTATTCTCACCCACTGCCAGGTTGACTCAGAAGTGAGGAGGGAGTGGATTTCATAGCAATCGATCACCTGCTTTGCATGCAGAAGGCTCAAAATTCATTCCCCAGCACCTCCAGGTGGGACTGGGAGAGACCTCTGCCAGTCAGTGTAGGCAGCACTGGCCTAGATGGACCAGTTATCTGGCTCCATGTGAGATAGCTTCATATGGTCCATGGACCCAGAGACATCGCTTTCCTCCTTTCATCCAGTGACAGGCAAAGGGACCGTCTTGGTTCTTTCATGGGGCACCAAAAAATAAAGCAGAGCCCTTTCTGACACAACACCCATCACCTTCCTGACAGTTTAAAATGGCACGTTCCTTCCTTTGAAATGGGTTACCATTTCCCCAGTCTTACTAAAGGAGTCGGCGCTTGCATTTTCAAGCTCAGTTCACAGTTTGTGTTTCTTCTTCTTCTTCTTCCCAAACAAAAAAAGGGACTTTACCAATTTATAATCCCGCATTCCAACCCTCTCCTGTCGCCCTTTCTGTGACATTGATGCCAGTCATTTTGGCACCTTAAGTATGTCCCCTTCCAATCCACTAGGGGCAGTAGCAGGGCTACTCTTCAGTAGTAGCTTCTGCAGGCAGAGAGGCCAGCGCACATGTGCTGCGTATGCGCCCTGGCACTGGTTCAATACAGTGGTACCTTGGTTTGCATACGTTTTGGATTACAAACACGTCCAACCCAGAAGTGCATGTCCCGGTTTGCAACCTTTTTTTGGATTACAAGCCATTTTTTTTTGGATTGCGTACAAAAAATTTTTGTAGGTCCCATTGGCGAAAGCGCACCTTGGGTTACAACCTGTTTTGGTTTACAAACAGATCTCCGGAATGGATTATGGTTGTAAACCAAGGTACCACTGTACTGGGAGTCTCCTGTTTGTTCTTAATGTTTTCGTTACTGCCTGCCTTAGGCGCAAGTCAATGGACATGATCATGGGGGGGGGAGGGGTAAGAGACCCTGGATAAATCACTGCTGGTCAGGATAGATAATGCCATGTTGGACGGCCCAGCGGTCCGAATAAGGAAACTGCCCAACGCTATCCCATGTCCCTGTGGCTTCAATCTGCTCTGCTCTTTTCCCTGCCCCCACTTGCCAGACAGTGATGCCCAATAAATAGTCTGTTATGCCGGATGCGGGTGGCGCTGTGGGTTAAACCACAGAGCCTAGGACTTGCCGATCAGAAGGTTGGCGGATCGAATCCCCGCGACGGGGTGAGCTCCCGTTGCTCGGTCCCTGCTCCTGCCCACCTAGCAGTTCGAAAGCACGTCAAAGTGCAAGTAGATAAATAGGTACCGCTCTGGTGGGAAGGTAAACGGCATTTCTGTGCGCTGCTCTGGTTTGCCAGAAGCGGCTTAGTCATGCTGGCCACATGACCCGGAAACTACGCTGGCTCCCTTGGCCAGTAAAGCGAGATGAGCGCCGCAACCCGAGTCGGCCATGACTGGACCTAATGGTCTGGGGTCCCTTTACCTTTTATGCTGGAGTCATGCAATACAACTCCCTTCCCAACTCAATTTTCTTCCTATTCACCCGCTTCCTTCAGATTCCGTGCCCAAGAATCCCCTAAGAACAACAGAACCTTTCATCTGGATGTTCCTTTAGCAAACTTCACAAAGAGTCGATCCAAACCAGTATTCTTTAGCCCAGTAGTTTTCAGTCTTTTCACACCCAGGACCCAAACATTTCCCATTATTATTTTTTTGCCATAGTGCAACTGCTGCTGTTGTGACCCATCATAGATCAAGCCGTGGCCCAGAAGTCAGTCCCAACCCACCCGTTGAAAAACCAGTGCTTTAACCAACCTCAAACAAATGCTGCTGCTCACACCACTAAGATGTGCTGTGCCCCCTTTTCTCTCAAATCCAGCAACCTGTTTCATGAGCCCACAACTTCTCATTCCTGCCACTGGTGTTCCAATTACCCAGTATGCTTTTTCAAAGCAACCGCTAAGGAACAATGCACACAGACACATTCTTGCTGCTTTTTTTGTCCCATTAGTGACGACTCTCCGCACTCTGAGGAGCAACCAGTAGGAAGAGTGTTCACGTGGGATGGAATGAATGAATGCCTAGATGTCTGATTGTTTTAAGACTCGACATATATTTCCTCTAGGTGGTGTAGGAGCTCCAGGGATGACACACTGTGTAGTACTTACAAACTGGATTTTTATTGTTAGGATTTAAGACTCAGGCCAGTCTTGAAGTCGTGCCCTCTGCTTTGGGTTTCCTTTTCCTTAATCCCCAGAGTTGGTTGTGGCTACTCAGGGGGAAGGGAAAGGCACTTTGCACTTTCTCAGAGACACTTCATTCATTCACATTTCCCAGGGCTATCGCTTGGGGAGCTTTGTCTCACGTCAAGCCCTGATCACTAGCACCTAATGCCCCCAGATGGTACTCTACCACGTTCAAAAGTTTGGTTCTCTGATCTGGAAGGCAAGAACTAAACAGGCCGGGCCGGGGAAGCAGACATTTAAAATTTGAGCCTGGGCTCACTTTTGCCTATTTACCCCCAAAGCGTTGCAGAATTACGGAGAGAAAACCCAGCCCTTCTGCCTCCCTCCCCCCCACCTGAGAATGTTAACAGAACGTAGTGGATCACGAATGTTGTGCGAAAACTTCACTTTTGACGACCGCGTTATTGTCACTTCTCCCCATCACGTTCATGACGAGACTTTTCGAACTCTCTTTGGCTCTGACTCCCCCAGCTGGGAACTGAATTTTACGTCGCCCACTTCTTGGAAGCGGCTTCTGGGAAGGGCGGCTGCTGGCCGAGATTCAGAAGAGCCAGATAATATACCTCGCGTAGAGCAACTGGCCGCCCCCCTCGCTCGGGGCAGTAATTAAGGAGTCCTTAATTCGGTTTCTGTCTTGCTTTGCACTATGTTCACTTTTGGCAAACTTGAACCCTACCATGCAAAGGTTATCGGCTGACAGCATCAGGCGGTTGGTTTCCTGTCCGCTAACCAACTCTCCGCAGTGCTGCTGGAAAAGCCAGTTTTTCGGAACTGAAGAGGTGAAGGAAGCCAGGATACTGTTCTCCTACCTGGTTGCTTCTTCCATAATTCGTATGAGCTTTGAGAGAAGAAATATAAGGCACAGGTGGCTCAATGGGTCCTTTTGTCTTATTTGACCTTAAGCTTATGGATGTTTAGGTGATGCTGTTGGAGGGAGCTGGGAGTATCTCTCTGCTGCACTTCCAGTTCCAGTTCTGGACTACTGGGATGCCACTGGGTGGGCTGGTTTAAAGGAGTCGATGCGAGCAGAGGCCAGGGGAAGTATTTAGTGAAAAGACTGAGCTCCCTTCTCCTCCTCGCATGGAGACTTTCCCCTTCAGTGCTTGAGGGTCAGTCTCATACAGCCTTAAATTCTGTGACTGCTATTTACTCTGTATTAGCAAAACGTCTGTCGTCAGGATAGGTGGGAGGGAGGGCTTGTATATTGCAGATCTCTTTGGGGAGGGCACTCCCGTACAAGATCCCTAATTGGGGGGGTGAGGGGACGACAGGTAAGTTTCGCCCTCCCCACAAAGCATCCCTCAAATGCAATGTGGTATGTTTCCTTGTAGGAGTGAGCGACAACCATTTATTCATCTGGGAGAAAGTACTGGGTGCATTCAATGGCGATGGAGCTTAAGATGTTCCTAGTGACCACCAGGCACTAACGAAAGCCTGCCCTGGCTTGCATGGCCCCTTCCTGTGTTTGTTTTTCAGTCCTACTAGAATATCCAAGAATCATAGAAGTATAGAGCTGGAAAAGGGAGCCCAGGACTCATCTAGGGAAGTTTTCAATGTTTGAGGTTTTATTGTATTTTCAATATTTTGCTGGGAGCCGCCCAGACTGATTGTGGCAATGCACTCAGACGGGTGGCATAATAATAATAATAATAATAATAATAATAATAATAATTTATACCCCATCCTCTCCGGCCAGAGCCGGGCTCCGGGCGGCTAACACCAGTAAAATTACAGTAAAAACATAGTAGGGAGGAAAAAAACCAATTTAAAATACAGGTTTAAATGCAATTTAAATAAATTAATTTAAAATTACTACTGTTATTATCATTAAAGCATAAGATGATGGGGAGAAATAAAAATGTGAATGGACAAAAGAAAACTTAAATTTTCCTTCAGGCTTTTAGGCAGAGGCTGGGTGGCCGTCTGTGAGGGATTCTTTAACTGAGATTCCTGCATTGCAGGGAGTTGAACTACATGGCCCTTGGGTTCCCTGCCAGCTCTACAGTTCTGTGATTCTATTTTTTAAAAATGGCCTGTCCATTTCTTGAAACCGTCCACCCTACAATTGATCAAGTTGCCACAAGCCGTTGCAAGGCTGCAGGGCTGGGCAGGGGGGGAAAACAGCCAAGCAAACATCGCTCCAAGCTTGGCTGTCCCAGCAATGCTGGGTCTCCGGGTGAGGAGATGAAGGCAATGGCAAGAGCCCTCAGCAGGCCCTGCGGCTCCTTGCTCTCAGGGCACGGCTTCCCTTCCCCCTGGCATGTTCCCTCCGGGTCCAGTCTGGGCAACTGCCCACGGGGGGACAAAAGGCAGGTGGAGAAAATGGCCGCGTCTTATCCCTCGTCAGGGCTTGTGTGCTCAGAGAGGGCAGATGAACAGGAAAGGAGAAGGAGGGCTGTGAAGCTCAAAGGGTAGATGTGGGCCTCAGCGGATGCTCAACAATGCCAATTGCCAATGCCAGCCCTATGGCACAGAGAGAGCCTCAGCTATGGAAGCAACTCGTAGGAAAAAAGGCAGCCACGGAACTGAGAAATTGCACAAAACAAATGAAATGCTGTGAAAATCCCTAAAACGAGAAGTAATCGACTAGAAATATTATCTTGTGGAAATCAACTAGAAATATCAACTAGAAATATTATTAATATTATAAACATTATAAATATTATAAACTAGAAATGTTATTAAAATGTGGAAATCAACTAGAAATATTATCTTGTGGACATCAAATCAGTCTTTAACATCAGCAGTAACATCTGGACCATGGGAGCGTTTCAGCCCTGTTCTTGAGTTTGTTCAAAACCTAAAACAGCTTTATCTTGTATTCCTTTCTTTGAATTTGTGCCATTTAGGTTTTTTAACCTTTTTGTAAAAGCAGCACTAGAATTTTCACAGTTGAGTCTTCAACCCCTTATTATTGTGCTTTGCCTTCTTCAAGTTGGGCTTTGTTTAAAACTTGCTATTTAGGTTTTCAAACCTTTTTTGTAAATTCAGTATTAGAAACTGTACTTTTGAGTCTTCAATCCTTTATTACTGCATTGTGCTTTACCTGGGTCGAGCTAGGATTATAATACGTCAGAATTTTTGGTTTCTACCCTTGTTTGAATTTTGGTCATTTAAAGTTTATATTTTTCTATTTCCTTCTGAGGAAACTGAGTAGTTCAGTGATACGAGGTTTGTAGCCGGCATCCCGTTAAGGCTTTGTTCTATTTTAGGTTTTCCCTTAAGTTTTTTGATGTTTATTATTTAGTTGATTTCCGCAAGATAATATTTCTAGTCGATTACTTCTCGTTTCAGGGATTTTCACGGTATTTCATGTGTTTTGTGTAACTGAAGCAACAAGAGCTGGCCTTACATTTGGATTTAATGGGGACTCTGTTGCTTGCAGAGCCAATGCTAGTGAACACATGGTCCCGTCCCACCCTGCTTGGTGCCAGTGTCAACAGTTTGCACCCCAGGTCTTCAGCTGCCCTGACCACAAGGCTCGCATTTGTGACCGGGGTGCCTTCACGGGCCGCTCGGCCGACCTGTGCTTCTTTCCCCTTCAGGCTCACGACGTAGCAGCAAGGGCAAACAGGTTGGGCGTGCCGTGTGTCGCAAGCCCAGGCCCAGAGTTTCACAAGCCTCCTGAAGCCAGTTGAGCAGTGGCAGCCACAGCATCTGTGCCTGCGCTTGTGGCAAACAAACAGCCCATGTGATTCGGCCGCCGCAAGGATTTGAAAGAGTCAAGGGTAGATTCAATACCGCAGATTCCGGCCTATTAGGTGACTGGGCGTATAAGACAACCTCCCAAATTGGCAATGCTAATTTGGGGTTTCGTCTTATAATCCCAGCCTTATACGCTGGGCAGGAGGAAGCCGCCCAGCGCAACGCAGAGCCCGCCACCCACTGCTGCCTCGGAGGTGGTACCCGGCGTATAAGACGACCCCCCAACTTTTTAACCTCTTTTCCGGGGTTAAAAAGTCGTCTTAGACGCCGGAATCGACGGTAACCCTCGGTTTGCTTGGGTTACAGAAAGGGGCAAGGGTTAGGGAAAACATAGAAGGCAGATTTTCCAGATGAGCTAGCCAGTGGGAGGTAGGTTTTGCCTCTGTTTTAACTGTAACGTGAAGTATTTGGGTAGGGAAGGAGAGCGCGAAAGAGTGGATTTTGGTGAAAGGGTGGCAAACATGGCTGGTGGTGTGCTACGAGGAAAGCCGCCCGTGTGATGTACTTGTGGATATGTGTACACATCTGTTAGACTATCCAAAGCTCTGCCGAGAAATAAATGTATGACTATATTTGAAAGAGAAGAAGAAAAAAATCTATATAATATATTTTTAAATACAGAACTTAAAAGCTGTATACTCTTCTTGGGTTTTGATTTCCACTGTCCTGTAACCTTTGTCTGTTTGGTGGCTGTAATAAAATGTCGTTTCAGTCTCCAAAGGCGTCTTGCTTTCCATGATTGGTCGAGGCTGAAACTGGGAGGGGGAGAAGGAGGCAGACTTCGCTTCCAGGGGCAGCAAAACCAAACCAAGGGCCAAGTTGCCCCATGAGCATAACTGTCAACCGTCCCTTATTTGGCGGGAAACTCCCTTATCCCAGCGCCATTTCCCGCTGCTGTCCCGGATGATGTCCGTTAAATTTCTCAGGTTTCATGCTTGCCCGGCTTGGGAGGGAAGCAGCGGCTCGGGGTCCTCCGCCTCGAGAGAGTGCGTGCACGAGCTGCCGCGTCTCCGTCTCTCCCTTTTCCCCCTCAGAGGCGCGTTGTGGGGAGACAGGTGGCGGCGCACGGGCAGGCAGCCCCTCTCTTGCGAGACTTCCGCCGCGATGCCAGGGGAAGCCGGAGGCGGCAGTGGCGGCGGCTGAGGCGGCCTGAGGGAGGAGGAAGAGGAGGGGATGGGGAGGGACGCAGAACGGCGGTGCTTCAGTGGCCGTAGCGGCGCCGCAACCGCCTCATGCCGGGCTTGCAGGCGGCATGGGCAAGAGTCTCCCTCCCTCCCTCTCTCTTGGGCAGGGAAGGGCCGATGGAACTCCTCGCGCCAGGACGACGGCAGCCCCGACGTGCTGCTTAGCATACCCTCCAACCAGTGCAGCATCTTAATGTAGTGATTTCCCCCTCTGCATCCCTTTCATAACTCTTTTTTTATAAATCATTTGTCCATCCATAGTTCAAATTTTTACTGCAAGTTTTCTGTCAATCCTACCAATGTATGTAACTCTTTACAACAGCTTTTCAACTAAATTATAAACTTTCCCCATTCTTTATTAAAGAGATCCTCTTCCTGGTTTCTAATTCTGCCTGTAAGCTTTGCCATCTGGACGTCGTTCATCAGTTTTGTCTGCCCCTCTTCTTTGGTGGGAGTTGTAGACCCTTAGGATCATCTAGTCCAACCCCCTGCAAAACACAGTCAGTCGCAGCAAAAGCAGCATGGCTCCATCAGTGCCGGATTTCTGCATAAACTAAGCAAAATCCCTTATTTTGGCTGCTGGTCCCTTATTTTCGAGGCTGCTGGTCCCTTATTTTCAAATCTGTAAGTTGACAGCTATGCCCATGAGCAACTATCATTGTTCAATATCCTGCAGCAAACATGCAACAAAAAGCACAGGGGCACTTGGAGGTAGCAAACCCTCCTTCTGTACACAGCCAAGACTCAAAGGATGGGTGGAAGCTAAGACTGCAATCCACCGGTGGACCACTGGCCAGCTACCAGCCTGCTAACTCCTAGGATTCATCCAAAGTATGTTAGCTTGGGTGAACTGTGGGCTCTGGTTGTGCCAGACACTGCCTAGATTGATTTTAATCTTCAGATTGCCTGTTCATGGAGTGTTCGTCCCAGCAGGCTTGGCCCAAGCTTACACAGAAGTTTGACCACATCCAGCCTTTATTTGTTCTGCTTTGATTGCAGAGAAGCTGTACAACAACAAGCATTCATCCTGGTTTGCTTGCAGGGTGTGGATACATCTTCCCACTGATCATTCATTCATCTCGCGCTGTTTTCAGTGCATTGCCCCATCGCTCTGTTAATCGCAACCAGTCCTGTCTTAAGTGGATTTGTTGCAACAGAGCACGTTAATCTACTTTAATTGTGCAAACCTTCATTTCCAGTACATGCTCGAATCTCTATGAAGTATTGACTTTAGTGCATTTATTGCATTTATATCCCTGCTCTCTTTCCAACATGGCATTCAAAGCAGGCACTCTTTCATTCTGGCACCGATCGAGGTGGCCCTGCAATCATGTCCAATGTGCTTAAACAAGAGCGCACTGTTGGCATCACTTAACACAGGCTAGTGTTTCCCTAAGAGAGTCAGGCTGTTTGCTTTGTAAATTTGGAACACTTTGCTGGACCACAGTGGTTCTGGTGTTAAAGCTATGCAAGCCTGAGGCTGGCTATTCTGCTAAATAGAAAGGCACCCAGGTCTGATTTGGTTGTCTGAATAGGCAGCAGAAGGGCAGGTTGAGTTTCTTCGGTTTACATTTAAGCTATGAAGATCAGAGAATTGGCTGCTTCACTTCCTCATGGAGGTAAGAATCACCCAGGAATGCAGTAAACTCCACTATGTCCCCATCAAATCTCTGGAGACCTCACAGTCCTTAAAGAATAACTGAAAGCTTCAAGGAATTGATTTATCTTTCTGCACCTCTTGATTATTCTCCAGTGAGACTGAAAGGGTTCTGGAGGAGTCATCTGTGGTGTATTTCATCCCGGAAGAGAGAGACGGTGGAAGGCGGGGAAGTCTTGAGCAATTTTAAACATCAGGAACTGAACGGTCCATGGAAGATTTCGCCAGCCCACTCGAAAGCCTTAGGAGACAGAAGGAACAGGAATCAGCCCGGGTGTTGCAAGAGCCCTTTAAAAGAGGTCAAAATACTCTCTGCAAAATTCAGCTGTACAGCTAAGGCCACAAAAGTCTTTTCCTCCTCTCCCACCTGAGTAATACTAGAAGTTAAAGTCACTTAGTTAAATTGACTAGCGATGGGAGAGCCAGAAGGAAGTATTCTTTTTCATAACTCATTATTAGATTGCATTGCTTCCTGCCACTGATGTGGTGCCTGCCATGACCTTAAAGGTAAAGGGACCCCTGACCGTTAGGTCCAGCCGTGGCCGACTCTGGGGTTGTGGCGCTCATCTCGCTTTATTAGCCGAGGAAGCCTGCGTACATCTTCCGGGTCATGTGGCCAGCATGACTAAGCCGCTTCTGGCGAACCAGAGCAGTGCACGGAAACGCCGTTTACCTTCCTGCCAGAGCGGTACCTATTTATCTACTTGCACTTTGACGTGCTTTCGAACTGCTAGGTGGGCAGGAGCAGGGACCGAGCAACGGGAGCTCACCCCGTCGCAGGGATTCGAACCGCCGACCTTCTGATCGGCAAGCCCCACAGCGCCACCCGTGTCCCTAGCCATTAGGTGACTCTTAAAAGAAGAACAGACAAATTCATGGTGGTTGGGCCCTTCAGCCATTCTATATAAATGTAGCCTCCAGGTTCAGAGGCAATCTGTCTCAGAATGCCATTTGCTAAGGGTCAAAAATGGATGAGTGTTGCCATCATGCCCTGCTTCTGGACTTTCCAAAGGCCTCTGGCTGACTGCTGTTGGGAACAGGATGCTGGACTACATTGACCCTTGATCTGGGCTCTCCTTGCGTTCTTACATATATGTTCAAGGTGGACAACAGAGACTGGGAGCTTATGTGACTTGTCTAGCACAGGGCTGGGGGAATATGTGGCCCCCTGGAGATTGCTGGACTCCAACTCACATCAAATCCCAGCCATGGTGGCCAACGTTCAGAGATGATGGAAGCTTGGACTCCAACAAGGTCCCGGAACATTCAGAGTAGATAAAGTAATTCTTCATCCGGTGCATGATTAGACTATGGAACCCCACCCACAGGAGGTAGCCACCTATTTAGATGGCTTTAAAAGAGGATTGGCCAAATTCATGGAGGGGGAGAGGGCTATTGGTTGCTGCTAGCCATTATGGCTCGGCTTGGACTCCACAGAGGCAGCAACGCTTCTGAATGCCAGTGGCTGGAAAACCACAGGAAGAGAGAGATGCTCTTGTACCCATGTCCTGCTTCCTAGTTTCCCAAAGGTATTGGGTTGGCCACTGTGAGAACAGGATCCTGGACTTGATGGGTCTGGTCCAGCAAACCCTTCTGATGTTCTCAAGATCTAAAGCCACAGATTCTTCATCTCTGTGGCAGCGAGTTCCCAGCTGGGGTGAGCTACGGATTTCTCAGCTCACTCACTTAGCCGTTCTGCCCACCACCACCACCCAACTCCAGGCCACACTCACTTTTTGACCATGTGTTCATAGATCACGGCAGGGACAATGGTCAGAGTGATGATGTTGCCGGCGTTGGTGAGGACCTCTGTGATCTCCTTGTCCTTGAGAAGGAAGAGTTCAAGAAGAAGGTTGCTCAAAGATGGAATAACAGGTTTGGAATTGCCCAAGAAAGATGTTAGACTGTTTTTGTATGCCACAACTGCAGCTAGAATTTTGTTAGCTAAGAATTGGAAAACACAAGAAGTCCCAACAGTGGAGGAATGGCAGATGAAGATGATGGACTTTTCGGAGCTAGCCGACCTGACTGGAAGAGTCCGCAATCAGGAGGAGTACCACCAGGAGGAATGGAGGAAATTCAAAGACTACTTAGTTAAGTGCCGTATTTTTCGCTCTATAACACGCACCCGACCATAACACACACGTAGTTTTTTGAGGAGGAAAATCCGTAGGCATGCCACCCGTAGGCATTCCCTCCATAACACGCACAGACATTTCCCCTTACTTTCTAGGAGGAAAAAAGTGAATGTTATGGTGCAAAAAATACGGTATGTTAAGATAACTTAATTGGGAAAAACTTGCAAATACCAGATAGGCTTGGGATTTAAATATGTACTGTTAGAGAATAACATGTTTAAAGTTAAAATGAAAAGAAAGAAAGATGTTAAGTGATTAAGTTAATTTTATGAGAAAATTTGGAAAACTGTTACAATGATATACACTGAAATCCAGCCAGGGGGATTTGAGGAAGTCACTTAACAATGTTACTAAGATTGGATTAAGTACAATTAAGATGTGTTTGTTTGTTTAAATAAATTTGGAAAATCAATTTTAAAAAATTGAAAAAGCAAAGATGGGGCGAGCTGCCACTTTACTGAATTGCACAAGGGAGCCCCCCCCTTCCTGTACCCATTTAAAAATGACATTTTTTCTTGTGCCACCCTGTTGTCTGAGGCCCCTGACAGCTGCCTGGGGGAAAGAGAGCAAAGCCAGGAGATCCCAACATTATTTGAAGGAGGATCTTGAATTGGAAAGTTGGAAAGGATCACAAGGGTCATCTAGTCCAACCCCCTGCAATGCAGGAATCTTTTTTGCCCAAAGTGGGGCTCAAACCCACAACCCTGAGAATCAGAGTCTCACGCTCTACCCACTGAGCTATCCGTGCTTGCCCCCCCCTTTTACCTTTCTCCCCTCATATCCCAGTATGTTCTGTCCTGTGCCACCCAAACTCCACTAAGCCTTGCCCATCCAGAATTTTCCCAAGTCCTTTAAATCTGGGGTGGGGGACAGGATCTAGCTGGTGGACCAGATTCCCATCTCTCTCTCTCCCCATGATCTCCCAGAGGCCACTTTTGACAAGCAAGCAGGCTCAACCTGCCCACCTGTCAATCACCCGATGTCACCATGAGGTCGGGTGACCCAACATCAAAGGGAAGAATTGGCACTACACCCCACATCAGAGCTTTGCAAACTGTGTGTTGTGACATGTTAGTGTGTCAGCAGCAGTGTGTAGCTATACCGCACCAACTCTCCCTGCACTTTTCCTGGGGCTGGAAAGGGGTTAGTTTAACCTCCAGTTTGATAGTAAAACTGAATGACTGTATCATGAAATGATGCAAAACTGAATTACTGTGTCGCAAAATGATGCATGTCTCAAAAGTGCGCCACCAACGTGAAAAGTTTGGAAAGCTCTGCTCTAACTGTGGCTCGGGTGTGGAAAGCTTTGTGAGGCAGACTCGAACCCGTGCCAGAGATTTCCTTTGCTTACCCTAAATGGACCCCCTCTTTCTCACTGCCCCACATGCCTGGACACCCCCCAGAAAAGAACCACCATATTTTTCGCTCTATAAGACACACCAGACCACAAGACGCATCTAGTTTTTGGAGGAGGAAAACAAGAAAAAAAATATTCTGAATCTCAGAAGCCAGAACAGCAAGAGGGATCACTGCGCAGTGAAAGCAGCAATCCCTCTTGCTGTTCTGGCTTCTGGGATAGCTGCGCAGCCTGCATTCGCTCCACAAGACGCACACACATTTCCTCTTACTTTTTAGGAGGAGAAAAGTGAGTCTTATAGAGCAAAAAATATGGTATTTTATGCCAGCCAACACTTTCTCCCTGCTCTTGAAATCTCTCCTCCAAACCCTCCTCTAACCCATCCGTTCCAAACAAAACCAGGCAGAAAGTGTGGACTTGTATAGGTGCCCAAAGAATGCTAGATGCTGCGCAAAACAGAGGACTTGCAAATGAACGTAATAATATTGACACAGTCACAGTAGAGCACAGAGAGGAATGGGCACGGCTACATCTGGATTTGGGGACTGGGTGCAGAAGACAGCTTGGATTTTTTGATTGAGTTGTTTTGGTCTTTTAAAAGCAAGTTTCCAGCTTTTAAGGATTTGAACGCAGCCCGAAATTTGCGTGGCTCCACAGAGCTCTCCGCAGCACCCTTTGCTCCACTGCCCCTTTCACACAAGAGTCCTTACCCTCAGGCCAATGACATTCTGCCCGTTCACCTCACAGATGTAATGGTTGATGAGGAGCCCGTTCCGAGCCGCAGAGCTGCCTTTGGCAAGCGAGTTGACTTGCCCTTTCTTGACGATGAAGCCCACGTGGCCCATGCTGTCCTTGTGCATTGTCACTGTGCGCTGGAAAGGCCTACCGAGCAAAGATTATAATGTTAAAGTCATGTAATAGCATATCACATCATAAATAATAATAATAATAATAATAATAATTTATTATTTATACCCCGCCCATTTGGTTGAGTTTCCCTAGCAACTCTGGGCGGCTCCTAATCAAGTGTTAAAAACAATACAGCGTTAAATATTAAAAACTTCCCTATACAGGGCTGCCTTTAGATGTCTTTTAAAGATAAGAGAGTTGCTTATTTCCTTGACATCTGGTGGGAGGGCGTTCCACAGGGCGGGCACCACTACTGAGAAGGCCCTCTGCCTGGTTCCCTGTAACCTCACTTCTCACAATGAGGGAACTGCCAGAAGGCCCTCGGAGCTGGACCTCAGTGTCCGGGCAGAATGATGGGGGTGGAGATGCTCCTTCAGGTATACTGGACCGAGTCCGTTTAGGGCTTTAAAGGTCAGTACCAACACTTTGAATTGTGCTCAGAAACGTACTGGGAGCCAATGTAGGTCTTTCAAGACTGGTGTTATGTTGTCCCGGTGGCCTCTCCCAGTCACCAGTCTAGCTGCCGCATTCTGGATTAATTGCAGTTTCCGGGTCACCTTCAAAGGTAGCCCCACGTAGAGCACATTGCAGTAGTCCAAGCGGGAGATAACCAGAGCATGCACCACTCTGGTGAGACAGTCTGTGGGCAGGTAGGGTCTCAGCCTGCGTACCAGATGGAGCTGGTAAACAGCTGCCCTGGACACAGAATTGACCTGCGCCTCCATGGACAGCTGAGAGTCCAGAATGCCTTCCAGGCTGCGCACCTGGTCCTTCAGGGGCACAGTTACCCCATTCAGGACCAGGGAGTCCTCCACACCTGCCCGTCTCCTGTCCCCCAAGAGCAGTACTTCTGTCTTGTCAGGATTCAACCTCAATCTGTTAGCCGCCATCCATCCTCCAACTGCCTCCAGACACTCAACAAAGGACCTTACCGCCTTCACAATTATCATTTTACTCTTTGTATCCCACCTTTCTGATTGAGTTGCCGGGAAAAAGAGCATACACCGTTCTTAGCCATTTCCAGTCTCCAAAAAACCAGGCCTTTGAGCCTGGAAGCCATTAGCATATGGCTGGGTGTTATTTTCAACCCCTTTCCTATATTTTTAGATATACTGTATTTTTCCATCTATAAGACACCCCCTATTTTTGGGAACTCCGAATCAAGAAAATGGGGAGGATAGCCCAGAGTTGTTGATTGCCGAAAACCACTTGCCATTGACAATTGCACATGTCGCTGAAGACATGCGGCCCTATTGCCGTAGCGGCAGCCAATCACCTGCAGCCCTTCTCACAGCCACCAATCACCCGCAATATCGCCACTGAGAATCTCCCGCTTGCCACTGCGACCCATCGTCCAACCCACCTCTGCACTACCCATGTATAAGGTAAAGGTAAAGGGACCCCTGACCATTAGGTCCAGTCATGGCCAACACTGGGGTTGAGGCGCTCATCTCGCTTTCTTGGCCGAGGGAGCCGGCGTACAAATTCCGGGTCATGTGGCCAGCATGACTAAGCCGCTTCTGGCGAACCAGAGCAGCACACGGAAACACCGTTTACCTTCCCGCCGGAGCGGTACCTATTTATCTACTTGCACTTTGACGTGCTTTCAAACTGCTAGGTTGGCAGGAGCAGGGACCGAGCAACGGGAGCTCACCCCATCGCGGGGATTCAAACCGCTGCCCTTCTGATTGGCAAGTCCTAGGCTCTGTGGTTTAACCCACAGCACCACCCGCGTCCCTACCCATGTATAAGACAAGAGATAATTTTAAAGCTAATTTTTTAATTAAAAACCCTCATCTTATGGATAGAACAGTACGGCATTCCTGAAAAGGCAAGCAGAGCAGAAGCCCCTGCATCTTGCATTTTATGAGCATCCTTAATATTAAAGGCAGTTCTTGGGGCTTAGGAAATGCAGCCCTTCAGGGTGATAAAATGACTCAGATAACCACGGCCACTTCCTGTTCCTCACCTGTCCCGGACCACCATGACGATTTTCTCCGGAGAGGCTTTCTTCAGCGCCCGCTTAGCCTTGTCCGTGTTCCAGCCTGCGCAATCCTTCCCGTCGATCTGCAGGATCTGATCTCCAAAGCGCAGACCCACCAGAGAAGCCGGGGAGTTGGCCTTGACCAGCTGCACAAACAAGCCCTGCAGAAGACATTGGGCTGGTGAAAACCGACATACTTGATTTCTAAAACGAGACCAGCAAGGAAAGAGCCACGTCCGCCTAGAGCCCAGAGGCAGGCGTCCCTGGGCAGCAGGTGAGATGGGATTTCAAGGAAGCCAGTCCCACACCTCTCAGAAGGGGAGGGAGTTGATGGCCTGGGCACCCAACAGCTGGGCTGATTGGCATCATAAACATGGACCACTTATAAACGCCATCTCCAACTCCTCAAAAGATTCCATCAACGGTGTCTCCAAAAAAATTTACACATCACTTGGGAAGACAGGCGAACGAATACCAGTGTACTGGAAGAAGCAAAGATCACCAGTGTTGAAGCAATGATTCTTCAACATCAACTTCATTGGACTGGTCATGTTGTGTGGATGCCTGATGATTGTCTTCCAAAGCAACTACTCTATTCCGAACTTAAAAAGGGAAAGTGTAATGCTGGTGGTCAACAAAAGAGGTTTAAAGACTGTCTCAAGGCAGTCTTGGCCACCTCATGGGAAGAGAAGACTCCCTGGAAAAGACCCTGATGTTGGGAAAGATGGAAGGCGCAAGGAGAAGGGGACAACAGAGGACGAGATGGTGGGACAGTGTTCTCGAAGCTACCAGCATGAGTTTGACCAAACTGCAGGAGGCAGTGGAAGACAGGAGTGCCTGGCGTGCTCTGGTCCAGGGGGTCACGAAGAGGCAGACACGACTAAACGACTAAACAACAACAAAGAACGCTGACCCAGACACGGCCACTGTAAAAACCGCAAGGCTGGATTAGATGGGCCTTTGGCTTCATCCAGTAGCACTCTCTGGCTCTTCCTGCCTCGGAAAGTCCTAATCTCAGAACTCACCTTATCAATGTTCCTCAGCTTCAGTCCCGTCTTACCGCGCTCGTCCTTGCAGAGGTGAACCTCCCGCAAGCCGGGCTTGATCTCCGCCCGACGAATCCCCAGGTCGCTTCCCGTCACAGGGGCAACCACCAAGCCCGATGCGGTGGGCGCTGAGGTCACAGCCTGCCAAAGAACCCAAGTTGTGGAACAGTCAATTTAATTTTCACCCACGCACACACTGGATAATGCGGCTGGTTCATTCTCCACATTATGTTTTGAGACTACAATTCCCATCATCCCTGACCACTGGTCCTGCTAGCTAGGGATCATGGGAGTTGTAGGCCAAAAAACATCTGGAGGGCCGAAGTTGAGGAAGCCTGTCCTATGTGGTAGGGACATTCCTGATAAAGTTTCCTGAAGTCCAGGGCTATCCTGAAATCTCCAGGTTGGCCTGCCTGCCTCCTGGTGGCAGGCAGAGGGCTTGAATATCCATTCAATGTGTGAAGCCTGCAAGCTTTAGCTCGGGCGTCTATCCTCCTCCCATCTCCCAATTAACCTCCATCTCCAAGGCTCAGCGGTGGGAGGTAGCACAGAAGGAGAATCACCAAAGGTCACTTCTAGGTCACTGAAATCTCAGGGTCTGCAATGCTCCTGACCTGGCTATCCTAGTTCCAGAACAGCCTTTCATTGGATCACTGTACAAATTTGCATTCCTAGAAAAGCAGCATGGCTCAGTGGTTAGAGCACCCGCTTTGCATGCAGAAAGGCCCTTGTTTAATTCCCAGCATCTCCCCATAGGGTTGGGGATCTCTGAAAACCTGGAGAGCTGCTGCCAGTCCGAGTAGACAATACTGAGCTAAGTGGACCAGCGGTCCAGACTCAGCAGAAGGCAGCTTTCTATCTTCCTCCGACTGACTCAGCAAGATAATGTCATGGTGGGAAATCAAAGACTCACCAGGATCTGAGGCCGCCGTTAAAGGTCACCCAATGAGTTTCAGGATGGAGCAGGGATTTGAACCCAGGTCTCCCTGGTCCTAGGCCAACACTCTAACCACTATGCAACACTGCTGCTATTCCCCTTCATTGCTCCACTCACTTTTGACTCTGTTCCCACCCACCCTTGGCATGTGGCCCTGGCAAGGTTACACAGAGGGGGATGTGGCCCTTTGGTGGAGAAGGTTCTCCACCCCAGAGTTAGTGTGGAGTATGGTGGTTATAGGGTTAACCTCCAGTGGTGTCCTGTATCTGGGAGGAGCTACCACGTGAAGCTGTGCGTCACAGTTCTTTGTCTGTGAGTTACCGTATTTTTCGCACTATAAGACGCACCAGACCACAAGACGCACCTAGTTTTTGGAGGAGGAAAACAAGAAAAAAAATATTCTGAATCTCAGAAGCCAGAACAGCAAGAGGGATCGCTGCGCAGTGAAACCAGCGATCCCTCTTGCTGTTCTGGCTTCTGGGATAGCTGCGCAGCCTGCATTCGCTCCATAAGACGCTCACACATTTCCCCGTACTTTTTAGGAGGGAAAAAGTGAGCCTTATAGAGCAAAAAATACGGTACTTTCAGTTTAGGCTGAGACGCTGAGATACACAGAGCGTGTCTTTTGTGCTCCGGCACTGAGAGAATGTCTCCAAGTTGTGATGGTTTTTGTGGACTGATTTATGGCTGTAAATAAACGCTTTTAGAGATACAGTGGTGCCTCGCAAGACGAAATTAATCCGTTCCGCGAGTCTCTTCGTCTTGCGGATTTTTCATCTTGCGAAGCACGGCTATTAGCGGCTTAGCGGCTATTAACGGCTTAGCGGCTTAGCGGCTATTAACGGCTTAGCGGCTTTAAGAAAAAGGAAACGAACTCGCAAGACGTTTCGTCTTGCGAAGCAAGCCCATAGGGAAATTCGTCTTGCGGAATGACTCAAAAAACGGAAAACTCTTTCGTCTAGCAAGTTTTTCGTCTTGCGAGGCATTCGTCTTGCGGGGCACCACTGTAGAAGAAACAGTCTCTGGACTTTTTACTTCTTCTTCTCACACGGAAGGCAACCGCTGCAACTCTGCACCTCTGCCTAGGTCGTTTTCTAGAGAGTTTGGCCCAGGGGAAACGCGCTGGACGGCAGATTTATCCAAGAGTTAGAGATAGGCAGGTCCTGGCAGAATGCTACTGCACACAGGGATTCTGCAAATGCAACCGACAAATGAAAAGCTGTTGCAGATGACCCTCAGAAATGCTTACGTTTCCGCCTGCCGGGGCAAGTTCCAGATTCTTTTGGACCTCCTCACTGGAGAGAGAGAGGCCCATGTAATCATTTAAGTCCGTGAGGTTCGGGTACAAGACTGGCAGGGCTGGAAAGGAAAGAAAGAGGGAGAAGTGAATTCAGAGCGTAAGCTGCACAATAATGCACTCTGCGCGTTATCTCGTGCGTCAGCTGCGGAGAATGCAAAACAAAACACAAAAATCAAGCCTCTAGATCTCACGATGTGTTTGCACATGTTGACAATAAGGGCTAGCCCTCTGTCTAATCACCGCCTCCTGTGGGAGTGAGGTCCATAGTTCGATTCTGTGCGGTGTGAGTTTCTTTTATCAGACCTAAATCTTCCAACGTTCAGCTTCTCATGAATTCTAGCGTTATGAGAGAGGAAGGAAAGCTTTCCTCTCTCTCCCCTGTCTCCATGCCCTGCATGATTTTGTAAACCTTCTATCATGTCTTCTTTTCCTCGTCTTTTCTGCAAGCTAAAAACTCCCAGACGCTGTAACTGTTCTTCTTAGAGGTCCATCCCGTTTTCTGAACCTCCTCCAACTCTACAATCTCTCTCTAGATAATAATAATAATATTTTTTTATTTATATCCCGCCCTTCCCGGTTCAAAAACCGGGCTCAGGGCAGCTAACAACAAATTTAAAACACTTAATTATAAAAGCAGCATAAAATACAGTATAAAAACATGAATAACAATAAAAATAAAAAATCAATTAGATAATCCCCAGGGCTAGCTGGCTGAATTGGTCCTACTTGGGCCAAAGGAGAATTAGCTGTGGGGTCTCAGAGCGGGTGATCTTCATAAAAGGGGAAGAAAAGGGAAATAAAAGATCAGGCTGAATTCAAATTAAAGGCCAGGTGGAATAGCTCTGTCTTCCAGGCCTGATGCAAGGAGGTTAAATCCTGCAGGGCCCTGGTCTCATGGGACAGAGCATTCCACCAGGTCGGAGCCATCACTGAAAAGGCCCTGGCCCTGGTGGAGGATAGTCTGACTTCCTTAGGGACCTCTAAACTATGGTTATTCATGGACCTTAAGGTCTTCTGCGGGGCAGACCAGGAGAGGCAGTCCCGTAGATAAGAGGGCCCTAAGCCACAAAGCTACATGACATCTCGGCACTGTTGAAGCTTGCATTGCGAGCCTCTGGTGCCACACTGAAGGCTTTTTGTCACCTCTGGATTGTGTTACCTGCTGTCTTGGGTGGCTCGGCCTTCTCTGCGGGAGAAGCTGGAGGAGCTGATGGCACAACGAGGGCAGGGAGCGGAGCAGGGATGGAGGCTGGCGCCTTGGGGGCTGCATCTGCCTGGGCCTGTGGAGGCAAGAAGGGCAAGTGATTAGGTTGGCATCTCCAGGGTCTTCTCCTCCCCACCGGACCCCAAAGATCCTGCTTTCCAGGAGGAGCGATTTGACCCAGGACTGAGCCGATGCATGAAGGTCCCGTGTGCATGCTGTTTATATGCTTCCATAAAGGAATCCTTTCCTAGGAAACACCTCGAAGCAATTGGCCAATTAAAGACACAAGCAATTAAGAACAATCTCATTTATAGGAACAACAATATCAAGATCTGCATTTAAAAGGCTTGTTGGAAAGGGAAGGTCTTTAGTGGGTGGCAAAAAGGCGTGAGTGAATTTTATTATTATGGTCACAGACCAGTTCCGGCTCACTTACAATATCAGGAAAATCATAAAACACAACAGGAATACATTGAATTGCAACTGGGTATAACAGAGACAATTCAGATATAGCGGCAGTTAAATATATATATATATTAAATCTTGATCATTAAAATATAACGTAAAATGGTCATTTAAAACCTTACTCATTTTGGTAGTACAGCTTGTTCCCTGAGTTTTATGGCAATTGCACAGAATTTGGCCACCCTTGGCGTGATGTCTAGATCCTTGTCCTCTACCAGGAGTTTTAGACATTGAAGTTCGGACCCATTTGGAGATTTTTGTATATCAGGAGTGATGAATACCAACGGTATATCTCCGTAGAAACGGCAGCGTAACAAGGCATGAGAGACAGTTTCTACCTCCATCAAGCCGCAGGGGCAGACTCTTTCCATGTATGGTTTACCCTCGAATCTGCCCTGCAATAAGGCAGATGTGGCGAAAAGGCAACAGAAGTGATGTCCGCCTGGTGTGTTTGTTTGTTTGTTTGCTTGTTTTGTTTGTTATGCCGCCCTTCATCCAGGGATCTCAGGGTGGTTTACAGCATAGAAATGCAAAATCAAAACACAAAACACATAATAAAAACAAAAAATGAAAGGAAGGGCAACAGGAAGCCCAAGGGAAGGACCGACTGGTCTCTCACCTTCAGAACGTGGTCCACTTTCATGTCCTCGAGAGATGGGTACAACGTCGCCATGTTTGCTGCTTCTTTCTGGGGGGTGAAGCACACAGAGGAAGATGCCAAGGTGAGGCTTCCTGAATACGCAGGAGAACATCAGTGTTTCCTCAATGTTCTACTTTTGGGGAGGTACTGTCACTTTGTGGGGGGAACAGTCACTGATTTTTTAATTTAAAAAACACAGTGGACGCTTGGGTTGCGAACGTGATCCGTGTGGGATGCGCGTTCGCAACCCGCAGCACTCGCAACCTGTGCCTGCGCCTGCGCAGGTTGCGCTTCTGCGCTTCTGCGCATGCGCAAAGCACAATTTTGCGCTTCTGCGCATGCGCGGCCGCTGAAACCCAGAAGTAACCCGTTCCGGTACTTCCAGGTTTCGGCGGTCCGCAACCTGAAAAAACGCAACCTAAAGCAGTTGTAACCCGAGGTATGACTGTATATTAATTGAGTAGCCATATGCAATCAGATTTGAATAAATCCACACCTGCTAGTTTGACCCTCAGGTTTTAAAAAGAACTTGGATACACACACAAGGATTAAAAGCAAACCAACCACTGCCATTCTATGAATCAGGATAATTATCATTATAAAATTTATCGCCAGCCCTTCACCCAAAGGTACCCGGTGACACTTGTCACTGGCTAGAAGTTCCTTTAACAGATTCATCTAATTGTCTTAACAGATTAATGCGGCAGCTATTTTCTAAAAAACGGTTGGGAACTATGCAATGCAGTTGCTCAATCACTTGAAAAAGATTGTCCCATGACGATGACTTGATAGGTGTTATCGTGCCCGGCTAATTGATGCCATGGGAGGCAGGATCACAGGTTACTTGCATCACACACAGGAGTGATCACCGGATCATAAAAAGTTAGTCATAGGAAAATGCAGGATCTTCCAGGACAATGCAATGATTGCATTTCGCCACTTGGCATGTGTGCCACAGGGGTGGGTGGTTTTAAAATTAGATCTTGGAAGAACTTGATTTGCAGCCTGGCAGTTCTCCACAGCCAGCAGGATGCCATCACTGCAACAACCAGGGCAAAGAGGGAATATCCAGTGCCGGATTTACGTATAAGCTAAACAAGCTATAACTTAGGGCCCCACTCTCTTGGGGGCCCCCCAAAAAATATACTTCTTCTTAATTGTATTTCACTATTAATATACTGGGACGCGGGTGGCGCTGTGGGTTAAACCACAGAGCCTAGGGCTTGCCGATCAGAAGGTCGGCGGTTCGAATCCCCGTGACGGTGTGAGCTCCCGTTGCTCGGTCCCTGCTCCTGCCCACCTAGCAGTTCAAAAGCACGTCAAAGTGCAAGTAGATAAATAGGTACCGCTCCAGCAGGAAGGTAAACTATGAGGATTACCATGACCTCTGACCCCAGTTTACATAGCACTCTGCTTCCCAACCACATAGCTCTTTTCTTCTGATTTGTGATAAAGTTTTCTCGTTTTCTTAAGTACAAGAATTGCTTTGGGATTTTGTTTTTACACCTTTCTGTCTCTCTTTTGTAATTGTTATATATTGGAAATCAATAAAACTATATTTATTAAAGAAGAAGAATTGCATTCTTGAAGGAATCCTACAACTCGTGTAGCCCAATATTCTGTGTTTTTTAAAAATAAAAAATTGAGCCTTTATTCTGAGAACAAACTTACCCAAAAAAATAGATCGCTTAATGTTAAACCAAATGTAGTAAAACTATCATCAGGTTTCAAAATGTTCAATAATAATGCTTTAAGAATACAATGTAAACAAATTTATCGCATCTGCAATAATTCCAAATATCTTCTGTTGTCGTACATAGTCTTGCAGCTTAATATTCCAACACATTATAAAAATGGAACACTTTAAAATCAATGCGTATTCAAGGCTCATCCTACTCAGAGTTGAAGAAAATGGTGATGGGTAACTTAGGTTTATTAATATCAGTGGGTCTACTCTGATACACAAATATGTCGACTCTCATATCAACACCCAATCCACTTAGAGCAGATTCTTCCTTTCTTAATTCATTTCTTAATTACTGCCAAGATGAGAACCATTTCCATATCTTCCTGCGTAAACTCCTTGATCTTACGTAACAAAATGTCACGAAAGGGTTTTAAGACAGTAGTGTCAAACCCCTCTTTTGTCCTCAAGAATCCTCCTCCAAAATAACTTTAAGAGATTCACTAAATACGGTCAGGACATCGGCAGCCACCTTGCAGGTTTGCAAAATCAGCTTCTAACAGAAGTTCGTAAAAGTTGAACATCCTGGGACTGCAAGGAGAAAGTCCCTGGTGAGGGAGTCCAGGAGAACACAAAATGCTGGAAAGAGAGCGCTTATTAACTAACTGGCGGCTAATTAACAGCAACCACAAGCAGCGTCCGGAGCAGGGAATCAGTGGCTCTCCCAACTCCAGCAAAATCTGGAGAGCAGCAAGGAAAACCACCCTCTTTGCAAATTCAGGGTGGCAGATGCAAAGCCGCTTTAGAAACCTTTCCAAACAGTTGTCTGGGTTTTACAATCCAAGGTGGGAGCGTAGATTTTATCCAAATAGATGCCTTTGCTCTCCCTTCCCCCTTCCACACACAAAACAGATCGGCGCTCTTACCTGTCGGCTGCCTCTGGCAAGAATTCTGCTCTTGGCTTGCACACTCCTAGCCTGCCTTGGACTTTATAACAAGGGCCAGGGCTCGGCCTGGGCTGGGCGGGGGCATCAGCTGACTAGGAAGCGAAACTCAGGTGGCAGAAAGAGAACCAGGTCAGTGCACCTGGATGACGTCAGGGGTGGAGGTGGCTCAGATTAGAGAAGCACTGGTTCTGCCATGTGTTGCAATGAAGCAGAGGAACGTCAGGTGACAGACTTCAGCCAGCCGGCCCAGTGCAAGTGGAATTTGCAGCAGTGTGGGGTGGAACTCTGAGCAGGAGCAGCTGGCCAGCCAGACCCTCTTCCAGGAAACTCCATTCTGTCCTCCTCATTTCCCGCCCCCCCCAAAGGTCAACCTGCAGCTGAATATGTTCAATCCACAGCTAGTGCCCAACGTCTTGCTCTGCTTTCCTTTGTTTTGTTTTTTCAAAAAAAATTATTCATTTTTTAACACAAATAAAGAACACAAACAGAAAAACAATAAAAACAAATTCTTGTCTTATCCTTATTTTCCTAAACATTGTTAGGGGGGCTTCCCCAAGTCCCACCTCTCTGATGGTCTCTGCCTGCAGGAGGGAGAAGGGACTGGTGCGGCCAGTCAGTCCCTTGCGCAACTCCTGTGGGCTTTTGCAGGAGGTGGGGTTATTGCCATAGTCGCGCGCAGCCTCTCCCGGCTGGAGAGGTTGCGCGCGGCCGTGGCAGAAGCCAAGACAGCGAGCAGGATGCATCCCACTTGCTGTCTTTGCTCTTTGGGGCTGGGGGGGGGGACCCGGGCTTCCCCGGCAGCCCCAAAGAGCAGGTTGAAAGGAACCCGAAGCCTCCAGAGCGCAGTGGGAACTCCCACCGCGCTCTGGAGGCTTCGGGTTGCCTTCACTGAAGCCTGGAGAGAGAGAGGGGTCAGTGCGCACAGACCCCTCTCGCTCTCCAGGCTTCCAAGGTAGCCGCCTGAAGGCGACTGAACGCACCTTGAATGGCACCTTGTTTTAGAGGGGGAGAACAAGGGGGGGGGATTCTCTGTACAGCGCCTCCTGCCGCTTCGCTGAAGGGGTGCTGGGCAGAGAGGGGGAGATTTTTTATTTCTTGTTCTCCCCCTCTAAAACAAGGTGCGTCCTATGGGCGGGTGCGTCTTATAGAGCAGAAAAAACGGTATTTAAAAGTCTCTGCAGCTCCCGTTTTTTTCCAGTGGGGTCTGTGCAGTAGAACTTCCTGACGGACTGTCCCCCTGCTACTTTAAGATCAAAATTGAGCGTGGAGACTTCATACCCATTGGGTTCTTTTTCCATCTCTGCTGTTGACTCACAGCATGGACAACGGGTCACAATCTCCCTCTGTGAAATGGGCACAAGACCTTCAAAGAGTGCAAGATGTTCATGTAATGAATAGCACAGGATCCCAAGGACACCTCAGTCATGGCAACGCAGTGAAGCATGGAGAGTTGTCACCGGAAATGGATGTGATAACAGCAGGTTAGTTAAGGACTATGGCATCTGACTTCGCCATTTGTCTCCAGGGCTGGCCTGTCTACTAGGCAGCGCTGCAGGTAATTATACTTTAGACAGCTTCCTTGATTTATCAGCTGCCCAATCGGCTGAAGGGTGTACGGGTTGCCCTTGCAACTTCAAGCATGGAGAGGTATAGCCTCTGATGAGCAGAATCTGTGACACATTCGCTCGCAAGAACTTCCGGATTGCCTTGCTGAGTGAGGCCAGGTTATCTCTCGCTTGGACTACTGCAATGCGCTCTATGTGGGGCTACCTTTGAAGGTGACCCGGAAACTACAACTAATCCAGAATGCGGCAGCTAGACTGGTGACTGGGAGCAGCAGCCGAGACCACATAACACCAGTCTTCAAAGACCTACATTGGCTCCCAGTATGTTTCCAAGCACAATTCAAAGTGTTGGTGCTGACCTTTAAAGCCCTAAACGGCCGCAGTCCAGTGTATCTGAAGGAGCATCTCCACCCCCATCATTCTGCCTGGACACTGAGGTCCAGCGCCGAGGGCATTCTGGCGGTTCCCTCATTGCAAGAAGCAAAGCAACAGGGAACCAGGCAGAGGGCCTTCTTGGTGGTGGTGCCCGCCCTGTGGAACGCCCTCCCACCAGATGTCAAAGAGATAAGCAACTACCAGACATTTAGAAGACATTTGAAGGCAGCCCTGTTTAGGGAAGCTTTTAATGTTTACTAGGTTATTGTATTTTAGTGTCTGTTGGAAGCTGCCCAGAGTGGCTGGGGAAACCCAGGCAGATGGGTGGGATATAAATAAATTATTATTAATTATTATTATTATTATTATTATTATTATTATTAATCCAGCAGGTTGCTAGACAATGAGCAAAATCAAGTAGTATGTTTTCTTGGACTGTGCCATTTCAGGCTGAGCAAGGGGGACAGATGAGCTTGGGTGTTCCCCTGCCTCAAGAATTTCCCAGCACACAGAAAACCAGAAAGACACAGCTAAAGGAGAAGCCTTGTCTTTCCATCAAAAGCTTGTCCCAGTTTGGGGACATGGTGGATTGCCCCAATGCAGCTATTCCCTGACTCTGGAATTTTATTTTAAAATGAGGCGGGGAAATATCCTGCAACTCATCCTAAAGGATGTTACACCTGCCTGCAGGCAGCCAGGCACCCTGCAAAAGGGGCTTTGTGGCTCAGTGGTAGGATGGTTCCAGGTTCAGGTTTGGGCAACTTCAGTTTAAAAAAGGATCAAGTGATGGGAAATGCCTTTCTCTGCATGAGACTTGCTGCTCATCAGGGTAAACCACCCGTGGACTATTTTATTAAATTGGCATACTGCCTTTCATCTGAGTATCATAGGCTTCTTCTGTAGCCCAGATGCCACAATCCAGATGGAAGAGGGTCAGGGGAAATCTAGGTTTGCAGAAGGACAAAGAAAAAGTTTCTGAAAAACTACCTGATGGCAGCCACTCCACCAGGCCACCTCAAGAGGAGAGATAGGAAACAGAAGGGTCATCCCATCCAGTTTTTGCTGGAGACACAGCTCCATCAAGCACCTCCTTGCCCCCGAGCTGTGCCAGCTGGTCATTATAGAAGCAACTGTTTAGAAACTGGTGCCTGAGTTTTTGCTTTTCCTCTTCCCTCCCTGTCCCTTTTGCCTTGATTGCCGTGGTTTTTAAAAAATATTATCATTGTAAGCCTGCAGGCAGGGACGCGGGTGGCGCTGTGGGTTAAACCACTGAACCTAGGACTTGAGGATCAGAAGGTCGGCGGTTCGAATCCCTGCAATGGAGTGAGCTTCCATTGCTCGGTCCCCGCTCCTGCCAACCTAGCAGTTTGAAAGCACGTCAAAGTGCAAGTAGATAAATAGATACCACTCCAGCAGGAAGGTAAAGGGCGTTTCCGTGCGCTGCTCTGGTTCGCCAGAAGTGGCTTAGTCATGCTGGCCACATGACCCGGAAGCTGTACGCCGGCTCCCTCGGCCAGTAAAGCGAGATGAGAGCCGCAACCCCAGAGTCAGCCACGACTGGACCTAATGGTCAGGGGTCCCTTTACCTTTTTTACTTTGCACCACCCGAACCGAAGTTCACGAAAGCTGACGCCTGAATAAAAGCCTTTGTTTTTAAGGTGCCACAAGACTTTGTTGTTTTTGCTGCAGGAGACAAGCCCTCTGGAAATGGAAACTGTCTGTAATGGAACCCAAGGGAGGAGGAGGAGGAGCAGCAACAACCATCACAACTCAGGAATGCTATTTGCAAACTCCGACTGTGTCAACCCTTTCCTCGTCTCTCCGCTTTGTGCCACCAGGGGGCACTCCTGCCGTGGATGTTGGGCTCGCCCTCAGAATCTCCACCAGCTGTGAAGGCATCAGACTACAGTTCCCATCAGCACCCTGCCCCTCCAGGTGTTTTCCAACCAGAACTCCCAACAGTCCCAGCCAGCTTGCCGATGGGCATTGTAGTCCAACAGCATTTGAAGGGCACCAGGCGAAATTGACTTATAAGATTCGGAACCAAAAAGAAGCAAAGTTCGAAAAGGACTGGAGTAAATTTGTTGAGTATATACAGAATAATTGTAGGAATTTAAAAACCGTAGCAGGGTTAATGTAAATCTTGTGATGTGGATGGAGTGTAAATAAGAAACTCTAAGAGAGGATTTTGGATGCGAAAACCGATGAAGGGATGGAAGGAAGTCCGGGCGCGATAAGGCGCATGGTAGATAAGACGACATACAAATGTTGAATGTAAGAGTATTCATTTTATTTGTTTATGTTATAGAAAAGCAATAAAAAGTTTTTTTAAAAAAATGAAGGGCACCAGGTCGCCGAAATCCAGCCTAAGCCTATCTTAGCTGGATTTAGCTCACAATTAACATTTTAGTCAAATGTTATACAGGTGAAACTCAAAAAATTAGAATATCGTGGAAAAGTTCATTTATTTCAGTAATTCAACTTAAAAGGTGAAACTAATATATGAGATAGACTCATGACATGCAAAGCGAGATATGTCAAGCCTTTATTTGTTATATTTGTGATGATTATGGCATGCAGCTGATGAAACCCCCAAATTAACCATCTCAGAAAATTAGAATATTAAATGAAATCAGAAAAACAAGGACTGCAAATAGAGCAATATTGGACCTCTGAGAAGTAGAAGCATGCATATGTACTCAGTTTGGGCCCCTTTTGCATCAATTACTGCCTCAATGCGGTGTGGCATGGATGCTATCAGCCTGTGGCACTGCTGAGGTGTTATGGAGGACTGGGATTCTTCAATAGCAGCCTTCAGCTCTTCTGCATTGCTCAGTCTCTTTTAAGTCGAATTACTGAAATAAATGAACTTTTCCACAATATTCTAATTTTTCGAGTTTCACCTGTGCTGGGGGGACAGTTTCTGATAGGAGTTTTTATTGAAATTTTTCGACGTGCCATCCAACGAAAACCAAACTAATCTAAATAAAAAATTAGTTTTCTCCCATCCTGGGAGGTCTTCCCTTCCCTGCCTCAAATGCAGGGTCAGTGTTGGGGAGGGGATATTTTTGGGATGTGAGAGGATCTTTTAATTTTTGAATATTTGTTTTCTTTTAAATCTATGGTTAGCCGTCTTTATTTGAATGCCCCATTACAGGGAGAACTCTGGGAAGTTTGGAATAAATCCTATGTCCCTGGGATGGAGGTGGCAGCTTGCAAGAAATGTAGACAAGTCTTTTCATAACTTTGCATAACCTTCTCCTAAGCACGAAATGACCCCTTTTCTGCCAGGAAGAGAACATGGTGAACTAGGAAGGAACCTGAGGAATTTCCAACCTTGCTGGAGCCCAGAAGGTTTGAAACCTACAGGTGTTGCCTGGGAGACAGTGGTTGTCCCAAGGCAAGCTTCCTGCCCGAATGGGAGGTTTGAACTCTGGTCTTCCAGAGTCCTAGTCTGACACTCTCAGGTCCTGCTGGCCAGAGGCACCAGGGTGGTTTTTGAGAGGGACACAGGATGCACACAGACCTTTGGTGTGATCTAGAGAAGAAGCGGGGGATTCTTATATTGAATTGGAGAACCTCTCTAGGACCTCTTGGATAAAAAAATGAGGAACAAGGGGAGATGCCTGGATTACGGTAATTATTGAGAAAACATCAGCTAGTAGAGGAAGAATGAGACGTCATTCGGGATTAAACATTGGATTAAAGTAAAACATTGGACACTTGCAGTTACAACTGACAGGTGGATAGTTGGAAGAAATAATAATAATAATTTATTATTTATACCCCGCCCATCCGGCTGGGTTTCCCCAGCCACTCTGGGCAGCTTCCAACAAAATATTAAAATACAGTAATGCATCAAACATTAAAAACTTCCCTAAACACTTCTATTTATTTCTCTCCTCTTTTGCTTTATTCTGTTATATTAATTTTGTTGCTTTTACCTATCTTTTTATTTCTCTTTCTCTGTTCTTTTATTATCTTCTTTTACTTTGTGTTCTTCTGGCTTTTCCCGCTTCTCTTTCTTCTTTCTCTCTTCTCTTTTATTATTTTCCATTTTGAAGAGTTTGCTTTTCATTGTATTGCAAAAAGTCTTAATAAAACTTCATACAGAAAAGCAACAGGGCACTGGCCACGACAAATCAGTTATTAATTATTATAAAACTACCCCAAAGCCCCACAGTGGGTTACAGCAATTAAAGCACAATATTAACACCCAAACATAATGTATTGCACTATAAAACAGCTCAAGGCAATACGGCAGAAATAAGGTGTAAAAATATACACCTCCAGGTTCAAAAGCCACAGTAAAGAGGTGCCTCTTCAGCATTTGCCGTTGTGGGGCGTTCCAAAATTTAGGAGCCACCACAGAGAAGGCCATTTCCCAGGCTATCAGACCGCTCCATCAAGCTTCTGAAGGCTGTGAAATGAACAATATGCCTTCCACCCACCTATCTTGGCCCCTGAAAGGACCTGTAGTTCTCTGTGTCTCAGGACTTGATACGATTTGTACAGTGGGTTGTGCTAACTGTCCTCAACCCTCCTGAAACTATGATTCCCAGGGTTCCTGAAGGACAGTCTCCACCCCATCGTTCAGCCCAGACACTGAGGTCCAGCTCCAAGGGCCTTCTGGTGGTTCCCTCGCTGCGAGAAGCCAAGTTACAGGGAACCAGGCAGAGGGCCTTCTCGGTGGTGGCGCCCTCCCTGGAATGCCCTCCCATCAGATGCCAAGGAAATAAACAAGTATACAACCTTTAGAAGACATCTGAAGGCAGCCCTGTAAAGGGAGGTTTTTAATGTTTGACGTTTTATTCTCTTTTTAATATTCTGTTGGAAGCTGCCCAGAGTGGCTGGGGAAGCCCAGCAAGATGGGCAGGGTATATGTAATAAATTATTATATTATTATTCCTTGGGAGGAGCCAGGAGCAGGCTTATCCGGCAGAGCAAGCGGACAAGGCAGCTGCTAGATTGGCTCCATGCCACCCGAGCTCATGCGCAATTAATTAGATGAGTGAATGATTTACCTGATGAAAACCAGACTAATCTTCTCACACAACTTAGCCCGTCTTCCAGGGCACTACAAAGCAGGCGCAGTAATGCCAAGCAAATCCGCGTGGCCTCCAGAGCTTTGTACACGCAGAAGAATTTAGTATCGAACCATTCGGAAGCGCCGACTGCTCTTTGCAATGGGTGCCTTTTGTTCAGTTAAGCTCTTGGCAGCGAGGGCATCCCAAGTCCTCAGGTGAACTTGCTTTTTTAGCCCCAAGACCACAAAGCAGCTGGGGCAGCCCAGATTGGCTCAGAGGGTGATGGAGAGAAGGATGAATGAATCCAGCCCGCTAACCAGAGCTGGGTTTTCACACGCGCACCCGGAGAGCTCTGGGCACGGGGATGTTTATCACGTAACTCACCAAGGCATCAAAAGATGGCAAGCGTGCGTCAATGAGGCATCCAAACCACCCACTCACAATTCACCCAGCGTGACAAACACTTTGCTTCAAGGGACTCACTCAGCAGCGAGTCATTGTCTCGAGCAGAAATCAAGAGATGGCAGAGACATCCACCGTGACCCAACCAGAAGAATGTAAGAGCCTACTGGATCAAGCCAATGGCACATCTAGTCTGGTATCCTCTGGACTAGAGGGTGGCGCTGTGGTTTAAACCACTGAGCATCTTGGGCTTGCCGATCAGAAGGTTGGCGGTTCGAATCCCCGCGACGGGGTGAGCTCCCGTTGCTCTGTCCCAGCTCCTGCCAACCTAGCAGTTTGAAAGCACAAAGTGCAAATAGATAAATAGGTACCGCTCCAAGCCAGTGTGGTGTAGTGGTTAAGAGCGGTAGTCTTGCAATCTGGGGAACCGGGTTCGCGTCTCTGCTCTTCCACATGCAGCTGCTGGGTGACCTTGGGCTAGTCACACTTCTCTGAAGTCTCTCAGCCCCACTCACCTCACAGAGTGTTTGTTGTGGGGGAGGAAGGGAAAGGAGAATGTTAGCCGCTTTGAGACTCCTGAAGGGGAGTGAAAGGCGGGATATCAAATCCAAACTCTTCTTCTTCTTCTTCTAAATTGCATTTCCATGTGCTCTGGATTCCATCACAGTGTCCAGTTGCACCAGACACGGTTTAGTCATGTTGGCCACATAACCCGGAAAGCTGTCTGTGGATAAACGCTGGCTCCCTCGGCCTGAAAGCGAAATGCCCCACGGCGGACCTTAAGGTCCATAAATAGCAACACCCTAGAGGTCCCTAAGGAAGTTAGATTGGCTTCAACCAGAGCCAGGGCCTTTTCAACACTTTACCTTTGCCTGGATGTAACCATCCAGGGGTCCTTTACCTTTTACCTTTCCCCTCTGCCCACAGCAGATGACCACATGCAGGATCTGAGCACAAGAGCAACTCTCCCCTTCTGCAGTTTCCAAACGTATTCAGAAGCATTCCTTTCCCAAACGGTGGAGGGCAGAGTATTGCAATCCTGGCAAGTAGTCATCGATAGCCCTCGCCACCTTGAATTTGCCTAACCCTCTTTTGAAGGCCACCTAGGTTGGTGGCCATCAATGCCTCTTGTGGCAGAGAGTTCCATAGTTTAACTATGCCATGCTGCACATGGTCCAGTAGAAGAGGAGGAGTTTGGATTTGATATCCCGCTTTATCACTACCCTAAGGGGTCTCAAATCGGCTAACATTCTCCTTTCCTTTCCTCCCCGAAAACAAACACTCTGTGAGGTGAGTGGGGCTGAGAGACTTCAGAGAAGTGTGACTAGCCCAAGGTCACCCAGCAGCTGCAGGTGGAGGAGCGGGGAATCAAACCCGGTTCACCAGATTACGAGTCTATCGCTCTTAGCCACTACACCACACTGGCATGGGAGCTTCCTCTCCTTGTACAGTGGTACCTCGGGTTACAGACGCTTCAGGTTACAGACTCCGTTAACCCAGAAATAGTACCTCAGGTTAAGAACTTTGCTTCAGGATGGGAACAGAAATCGTGCTCTGGCGGCGCGGCAGCAGCAGGAGGCCCCATTAGCTAGAGTGGTGCTTCAGGTTAAGAACAGTTTCAGGTTAAGAACGGACCTCCGGAACGAATTAAGTACTTAACCAGAGGTACCACTGTATTTACAAAATTGTTAACAGTGTTTCAGAAGCCTTTGAACTGGTGTATCAGGAAAGATTGCCATCTGACCACAACCACCTCGGCTAGAAAGACCGCTATACTACTTGCTCCAGCAGTGGCCTTGCAGACTTCCTGCTCCCACCCCAGTGCGAAGAGGGAAGTCAGACGCCCTGGGTGCAATTGATTTACCTCGCCCACATCAGCCAAGTGTGATTAAAGCAAAACGAAGCAAAGGAACTGATTAGGCAAAGGGGGAAATGTTTGCTTGGGTTCTTGCTGAGATTTTGTAACACAATTTTGAACAAAAGAGAGCTTTCGCAGGTCGAGGTGCCAAGACAGACCTTTCCGCAGCCTGGGTCTACCAGATGTTGGATCCCAGCTCCGTCACCATAGCTGTGAACATCTGGAAGGCACCAGGCTGTCTCACGTGGAATCTTACTTCTGGATGCTGCCAAGGAAGAATCTGAACACTTTATACTGTCAAACAAACCTTCATTTGCCCCAATATTTTATTGTATGGCATGTTTCATCCAGCTTGCGCTAGGAGAGGTGGGGTCTCTGAGGGGAGACACAAACCACCTATGCTTGCATTGCTCAGTTCCCTCTAGATTTCATCAGCTGCTAGCCGTGTTTTCAGCTTCAAAAGGTTAAAGCAAGAGCCAAGATCGCCAGAATGCAGCCTCCTGAGCTGTGATCGCAGGAAAAAAATGAACAACAGGCCCCGGTGTTTCTCTCTGTCCCCAAAACCACAAAGTCAACGAGACTCCTAAACAGCGCAAGGGCAGATGAACCAATTTTGGAAGAGAGACAAGATGCCAACGGGTTGTTTTTCAGCTGCCAACCGCAAGAGATTTCTCAATTCTAAGTTGCTTGTGATGAAGCAATGATCTTATCAACAATGCTATTCATTCAGCATTCAGCAATTTGTATTTGCAGTCTGTTTAGTGGGTGGGTGAGGGGTCCTGCAATATTAATCCGTTTCACGTCTATCCCATGTTTTCGGGCACTACTGTTGTAATTTATTGCATTATTTCTGCCAATTATACCACTGATGGCCTTATACCAGTTACAGGTCCCATGGACTTTGTGGGGTTTTCCACAATAGCGCCTGGGCTTTCTCGCTGCTCAGCGACATCGAGAGCTCAGACCGCAACCTCCTTAAGCGGAGCCATCTCCGCGCAGAGGGACTAATCCTCCGTACCAAGCAGAGAGGTAACACTCAGGCCACAAAACACTCGCTCCTCGTCTCAAGTGGCAGGCCGGGAGGAGACTGTAATAGATTTACCATAATGCAATTAGATGTCCACCAGGGCAAGCCGATCTGTCAGTGACACTCCTAAGGCAGGAGAGGGAGGGGGCTCGAAGCGGAGCGCTTACTTGTTGAGCGCAGACGGAGGAAACGGGATCTTGCGGTTCAAAACGAAGACCTGGCTATTTCGCCTGTGTCCTTCTCGCCTTCCGAAGTTCCCAGCCTCAGTTTCACGTGACTGGAAACCTTAAAATGTCCCGGGACAGAGGAAGGTGGATGAGACATTCTAAACACAAGGGGCACACCAAGAAGTGCCACTAAAACAGGGCTACTTAAAAGAATCCCAGTACATTTCTGAGCACAATTCAAAGTGTTGGTGCTGACCTTGACAGCCCTAAACGGCCTCGGTCCAGTATACCTGAAGGAGCATCTTCACCTCCATCATTCTGCCCGGACACTGAGGTCCAGCACCGAGGGCCTTCTGGTGGTTCCCTCCCTGAGAGAAGCGAAGTTACAGGGGACCAGGCAGAGGGCCTTCTCGGTGGTGGCGCCCACCCTGTGGAATGCCCTCCCACCAGATGTCAAGGAAATAAACAGCTATCTGACTTTTAAAAGACATCTGAAGGCAGCCTAGGGAAGTTTTTAATGTTTGATGTTTTCTCGTGTTTTCAGTATTCTGTTGGAAGCCGCCCAGAGTGGCTGGGGAAACCCAGCCAAGTGGGCGGGATCTAAATAATTTATTTTTATTTTTATTATATCCAGGGACAAACCACACAGGTATTAGCATATTTCTACCTCCTTTTCTTAATGGTAACATGGACCATTCATAATGCAGGAAGTGTCTTCACAACTGTGAACAGGGCAGTGGGGTGGGGGCAAGTGAAGACAAGCTACAGCACAGGCTTCCTCAACCCTCCAGATGTTTTGAGACTACAGTTCTCATCATCCCTGACCACTGGTCCTGCTAGCTAGGGATCATGGGAGTTGTAGGCCAAAAACATCTGGAGGGCCAAGGTTGAGGAAGCCTGCTACAGCAACTAACTAGAACATTGTTCATTGATGCTGCTCAAGGTGAAACAGAAAAAGCATTTTGGTCCTTGAAATTCATTCCGATTGTGCAGATAAAATATAACTGATGGAATTCTACAGGATGTGCTATTATTGTGTTTGAAAACGGTCAAGTTCCAAGGATTTTCCCCTGCCCCCAGGCATGCACCTCCAGGTGGTACAGGTGTCGGGCACCTGGGCACCTTCACTTGGTTGCAAGTGGTTGAAAGCTAGGTGCAAAATGTGCCTGGCGCCTGCCTAATTTCAAACGCTGCCTCCAGGTGTCTTAAGACTACAGATCCCACCAGGCCCAGCCAGCACGGGCAGCAGTCAGGGAAGGTGTGAGTCGTAGCCATAACCTCTGGAGGGCACAGTGTGGCCTACCCCTGTTTTAAGAAGAAAATACACCAGGTTCTTGGCAGCTGATCTGAGCTGGGATGCTGGAATTCTACCTTGGCACAGGGTTATCCATACACCTCGTGCCTAAAGCGCGGGCACAAACTGCGGAACCACTTTGACCCTTTGCAGAAGCTAGGCTGGCACCTGCCTCGGGTGCCACGATGCGAAGGAAAGAACAGGACAAGAACACAACCAATAAAGACGCCGGAGGCCAACCCATTTCCCAGAGCAGCAAGTGGAGGCAATAACCAAGACAAACAACATGCCCAGAGTTGAGAAAAGCCAGCGTAAAGCGTTTTTATTGCAATAATAAAACTCTATGTGTTTACGTGGTGATGGTGGAGGAGGCGGAGGAGGAAGAAGAGGCAGCGGCAATTCTCTTACCAAAACTCACTACGTGAGGGGATGGGAAGGGGGTCAGCAGGACACCAGGACGGGGGCCGGTGCATTGCCCAGGCGGCTGTGGCAAGCTGCGATGACCAGCATCAGATCTCCGTTAAGAACTCTCTACGGTGTGTCCGCACTCGGGGGGGCTGGGGAGCGGGCACGGGTTCACACCACCCCCACCACCCCCCCGTAGGGAAAGCAGCACCTTTTGAAGTCCTTGAATTTAGCTAGCTGCGGGGATTCAGACTGCTAAAAGGTAAAAATATCCTGAAAATCCAGTAGAAAACACCACGCACCACAATACTGGCGGGGGTGCGGCGGAAGAGGTCAGTGGGCTGGGGGAGAGAGCTGCCCCCAGAGCAACAAGGTTGACGCTACGTCACCATGGAAGATGCCCCTTCCCCAAGATGGTAGTGGTGGGAGGGGGCAGGGGGGGAAGAGTCCCTTGTGGCCCCAGGTTTCAGCAGAGAACCGTATCAACTCCTATGACTGAGGCTTCCCGGTGATTCAGCCCTCGACAGCCTCTCAAACTGCTTTGTATGGCTTTGCAGCAGAAAAATCGGTTTTTTAATACAATAAGGTACTTCCCCAAAACAGAAACGAAACAAAGGCTTGCCTCGTTTCAAGCAACTTTTCCTATATAATGTGAACCAACCAGTATATTTACTAGCAATGCTCGATCATACACAACTCAAGTCTACACCAAAAAAATATATAATAAGATTAAAGAACCTGACCAAAACAAAAACAAAAAACCAATAAACCCCAAAACAAGAGAACAGATAAGCTGAGGTTTTACAGCATGTAGCTTAAAAATGTCAAATATTTGGAAGGAAACAAGGAAGGAGAATCAGAAGCAGAGCCGAGTGACCCAAAAACATTCAAATCAGGGTGGATGTAGTGGACAGCTGGGAAAGCTCCATACAAATTCATGTGCATTCATCTTGAAGCAGAGATTTCTGGATTTCTCCATGTGCCAAACCTGTCAAGGCAAAAAAAAAAAAAAAAGGGAACTTGCTTTAGAGTTTGCCCTGGAGAGGAGGGGTGCAGCTGCGCTGTACAGAGAATGAGAGAGAAAGAAAGAAAGGGGCGGGCCAAGAAAACAGACGCAAATGCCAAAATAAAAAAGAGGTGGAGAAGATCCGACACCTCAGCCCTGTTGACTCAAGGCGTTGTACCCATTAGTTGCCCAGGCAACCCTGCTCAGGTGCCAAGTTCAGCTCTGGCAGGAAGCTCTCAATCTCCTGCTATTGCCACTTATGGCAAGATAGTCACGCTTTGTGCCAGGCTGATGAATGGGCCCGGGGTGCCCTGTTCTAGAGATTTCTGCGCAGAGAGGCCTCCCAACACCTGCCTCTCCCTGAGCCACTGGAAGTGCCTCTTCTCTGTCTGTCTGTCTCTCTCTTTCGCACAAACCCGAGGAGTCTTCCAATACCATCACCTACCCCGGAGCAGGGAAATGGAAGAACACATGCCTCTTGTCATTCCATTTTTAGAAGCTCCACGTCAAAAATTAGGGTGGCGTTGGGTGGGATGATACCCGGGTGGCCGGTGGCACCGTAGGCATAGTCTGGCGAGATTATCATCTTGGCTCGCTGCCCAACGCTCATCTGCAAAAGGAACACAGCAGGCCGTTAGAGCAGATGCAGCCCATTCCCACCACCCACCCCCTCAGCCTTTGTTTCCCTCCACAGAAGGTGTCTGAATCCCTGTTTCCGAAACACACAGGCCGGAAAAGGCAAGGTGTACGACAGAGGGAGACAAAGAAAAGCCTGGCAGCAAAAGGCCTCAGCTTTCCCTGCTGTGTCTGGGGGGGGGACGGGACCGCGAGACACTGGCTGGCCACATCCTTCATATTCCCTCCATTCCAGCAACGAGGACAAGGCAGACAGGCTTAGCAGCAAACTATTCCCGAAAGGACGCTGAGAGATGCCTCCATTTCTAGTCTGCATCCACTTCAGTCTTATCATGAGATGGCTGGCATGATATGCAAATCTCTCACCACTGTGACTCACACGCAAAAGGCAGGGATAAGACAGAGGTTGTTCTCTCCAGGTAAACCCCACTGAGGTCATTGCGAGCCAGATCCCAATTGCGGGGGGAAATCCCAGCCGGCCCAAAATATCGCCCCATCCCTTTCAGCCACCAAACCTTCCCGCTTCGCGCACGGAAGGCAGGAAGAGCCCCCAACTCTCCTCTCCGCCCAACTCCGGCTACCTGGCACTGTTCAAACCTGCACACCTGGGCAACCCCTTCTTCCCAGCCACGGATGACCTCCTGTTTGCCCATCACAAACTTGAATGGCTTGTTCCTGTCACGGGACGAGTCGAACTTCTTTCCATCCTCCAGCATACCTGTGATGGAAAAGGAAGCGAACATCATCCTGGGGGCAAAATACACCCAAGAGAAACATTTCCCAGGAGGATCGTGCCAGCAAAGGAAAGAAATAGGACACATGTCAAAAAGCACAGGGCTCTCAACTGGGGTGGGGAGAGGAATTCAGATGGCAGATTAATTCAGTGAGACAGATTTCAGTCGATAACGGCCAACTACAGTGGAACCTCAGAACGCCGTGGAACTCGAACATTTCAGCTCCCGGACAATCAGAAACCAGATGTGATTGTTCCGGTTTTTGAATGATTTTCAGAAGCTGAACGTCCAGCTCCTGCAGCCAATCAGAAACTGCGTCTTGGTTTTTCTAATGGATTAAATTCAAAAACCAAGGTACGACTGTAATACAAAATCTGTAACAGGCACCAGGGAGACGCTCTCCACAGAGATGGAACCTTTTTTCTTCAGATCCCTTCTCAGTGATTCTTCAGTGAATCCCACAGACTTGACCCTCAGTCCTCTTCCCCAACTGAATGGAAATGTAATCCGTCTTAACTGTGTTTGCACATATTTCTGCTATTTCCTCCTTCCTTTACTTCCGCCTTGCAAAGGAAATTTGGATTGTAAGCTGCTTGGGGCAGAGGATATGTCCTTTCTGAACCCTTTCTGCTGCCAGATGAAAATATGCTCTGACCCTTCCCATTTTCCTGAGCTCTGGTGAGTAAACCAAGAGAAAGACCCCACCCTGATAAAGCCAGCCAGCACCCACCCCCCGGGCCCCAATTAGTCAGGATTCCTCAAACCACGGTCATGTCTACACAATGCCTCCCCAAATTCACTGCTGTTAAAGCAGAAACGTGGAAGGAAAAGGGAATTACAAGACAGGGATTTGGTTACCAGCACTGTAGCCAACTCATTGAATGATGCCACGTCATGTAGAAACCAGAACAGACCCTCTTTGCCCCACCTAGAGGGGCAAGAGACCCACCACCTGGCTGGCAGCTTTTGCATCTGCTGAATGAGTGCCCAAGACCCCAACCGCAACGTGTCCTTCAAGGAAAGGCGCTGCTTCTAAAGCATTTTTACTTGGTATTATAAGTGAGGACATGAATAGACAGGATATTAAACTGTTTTTATACGCAACGACAGCGGCAAGTGTATTGTTGGCCCAGAAATTGATAAAATGACAGGAAGGATTTGAAACCTGAGGGACCAGAGATTTACAGAAGATTGGAAGAAAGATACGAATTATTTGAAGAGCAACTGTAATCAACAAATTACGCTAGTAGGACTACAAGAAGTTTTGTAAGGAGGAATATATGAAATATTTGCAAAGAAGAGAAAAGAAGAGAGACATTAGTTATGATATTTAAATGTAATAGTGGAAGTAAGAAATGTAAATTAAGTGGAAAACGTTAGAAAATTTTCAGATGTGATTGATGGAAGCAAAAAAATGTATAAGATATAAAAGTTTAATAATTGTTGAAAATGATATGCTAAAAAAACCATTTTTTAAAAAAAATCTTTTTTAAAGGAAAGGCGCTGCTTCTAAAGCACTGTGAAATTTTCCAGTAGTGGGGCATGAGCAGGATACTAACTTTTTCTCGGCCAGCCCAGGGTTATCCAAAATCAGCCTTGTGCCACAAGTTCACGTTTAATTACAGAGGTCACAGAAACATCCAGACCCAACGTGACCAAGTTTACTACAAGACACCAAGTTTGGCTGATGAAACCACAGAGTGACGGCATCTTAGATGCACAGGAAGTTGTGGTGTTCACCAAACGAGAGGACCGCAACATTAACTTGTGTCTCGCCTGCCCCACATCGCCTTTGGGAAGCAGGGGGAGAGAATTGATAACACGCCTTTAGTGTACTCTTAAAAGAACTACCACTCAACGTCAGCATTCAACGATTGACAAAATGGGTTTTGATTTCTTTTGAAAATAAGAATGAGAAGCAACAGTAAGGCTCTAACAAAAAATAAATCCAGGAGTCTAACTAAGGCCAATGGATAATTAGGTCATATGCTGTTCAGAAATAAGCTCTCTGTAAAACTCCATACAAACAGGCCACACACTTACTATTCTCAGATGTCCCTATCCAGGGACTCCCATGAGCCCTCAATCTGTTAGCCACCATCCATCCTCCAACCGTCTCCAGACACTCACACAGGACCTTCAAAGCCTACACAAGCAGCCCTGCTGTAACAGACCTGGGGACTAACAGAGAGTCCAGTATCCTATTTTCAATAGTCATGAACCAGCACTCAAAGGCCAGAGGTCCTCCCCACTTGCTCTTTAGCAACTGGACTAAAGGAAGCAGATGATGTAGGCTCAAAACATTGCTTCTAAATACCATATTTTTCAGTGTATAAGATGCCCCCATGTATAAGACACCCCCCCTATTTTTGGGGACTGATGTTTTAGAAAATGGGGGGTGATGGCACAGAGTTGTTGAGGTTTTTTTGCGGAGGACTGCCCTTGACGCAGCCACCAATAACATGCCCAATAACCGCTGACACCAGCGGCAGCAACCAATCAAACGTCTACCCTATGTAATATCCATGTATAAGGCGACCCCAACTTTTTAGCATACTTTTTTATTTAAAAAAAAACCACCTAGTTTATACACAGAAAAGTCCGGTATGTGATAAATTTTGTGAAGTGCTTTGACTACTCTAAAACAGTCTACGAACATTAAGTATCATTAGGGGAGGCTTCCAGACGTAAACTGATTGTGCTGCTCTCTGCTCACAACTGGGCAAAGCAGGTCACATGTGGCTGCAAGAAAGGACCCACCGATTGATATTTCCAGCACACCAGGAAAGGCAGAAAGCAACCTGAGAAAAGCCTTTGGGGAGCCCTTGCAGTTCGCAGGCATCCGCAATAGGTCTGCCACAACCATTAAACAGGATTAGTTTGTGATTAAGTGAGATATGCAGCTAAGCACAGGGCTGGCCAAGAACTTAAGACCAGCAGGGAAGGAGGTTCCAAGGACCTACATTCTGGTCCAGGGAAGAAAACAGCAAGGAGCTCTTTAGCGCTTGAAGGTCCTGTATACATCCAGTGCAAGACCCCTCCTGCCACGGGGCTCTCTACAAATTAAGAGCCGTGGTGAGCTTGGATTGTAATGGCCAGCTTGACAGGATCGGCTTCCATTTTAAAAGGGCAAGACTCATCTTGGGAGACAGCCGAGCGAGATACAGGGACATTCGTGTCCAGAGCAAGGAGGTTGGTACATTTGTCTAGTCTGCCTCTTCCCCCACTGGCCGATTCTGAACCTGAAGCGCTCACAGGTTTTGAGCTTGGTGAAGGAGTGAGGCAGACCCACGTTCAGGACAATTCTTCCACTTTTATTTAGAACGTGCTTCTAAGTCACCTTTCGAGGCACCGTTTGCCTAAGATGCGCACACAGCTTAAACAAAAGCAGATGAATTAATCACGCACAGTTATTTTTAAAATAGGTCAATTGAAAGGCACAACAGCATAGATCCCAGGAGCTAAAGGAATGCTACACATTCTGAAATCCTCACTTCCCTGGCTATGTCAACCACGGCTTGCCCGAGCTTAACTGGTCAAGGAAATGAGAAGGCTAACTAGGCTCACTCATGTGTTGAGGCAGCAGTAAGTATCTAAGAGGTGCTTCAGGGCAAGGGTGGTCTAGAAACCGTGTCCAGGATCCAAAGAACAGCAGCCGCCTGATGATGATGATGATAAAACTTGTATACTGCCCTATGAAGGTAAAGGACCCCTGGATGTTTAAGTCCAGTCAAAGGTGACTATGGGGTTGTGGCGCTCATCTCGCTTTCAGGGCAAGGGAGCCGGTGTTTGTCCACAGACAGCTTTCCAGGTCATGTGGGCAGCAGGACTAAACTGCTTCTGGTGCAATGGAACACCATGACGGAAATCAGAGCGCTCGGAAACGCCGTTTACCTTCCCGTGGCAGCGGTACCTATTTATCTACTTGCGCTGGCATGCTTTTGAACTGCTAGGTTGGCAGGAGCTGGGACAGAGCAACGGGATCTCACCCTGTCATGGGGATTCGAACCGCCGACCTTCTGATCGGCAAGCCCAAGAGGCTCGGTGGTTTAGACCACAGCGCCACCCGCGTCCCTGCCCTATACCCATAGATCTCAGGGCGATTCACAACGTAAAATTGCAATATAAAAAAGACAAAATACATAATAAAGACAAAGGCAACCCAATAAGCCCCACTTCCACAACACATTTAAAAGTTCTCAGCGTCCACAGAACTTTGGCCTTGTATTATAAAAGAGCAGGCCTCAGCCCCATGGCAGGGAAATTCTTTTTCAAAGTTGGTGAGCTGGCTTGATAATCTGCTGCGGGGAGTGTGAAAAATTCCACTGAGCACGCCTAGATTAGCCTTTGGGAAAGCCCTGAACAAAAGGACTCTTGGAACCTGGGAAATTTAAACCCGCCAGGCAATTCGACCCAAGTCAAGCAATGAAGATAGGCATCAGCGGTTTTGTTTGGGTACGTTCACGGTGCAATCCGTCCTCGTCTGGTCAGAAGTAAGCCCCTCCAAGGCCAATGGGATTTACTCCTAATTATATGTGCATGGCAGGAGCAAGGAATCCTTTCCCCCCAACCCAATGGGTGCACTCTCTCCCAGGCAACCTGCCAACAGTTACATGGCCATTGGTGGGCGTTGCCTTTGTACAGAAGGCCAGTTTCTGCACATACTCTGGGTGACCAGACTTCAAGGACACGTTCTAGACAGGTAAACATATTCAAGGAGGGTGGTGAGGAAGGGCCAGCAAGGGGAGCCTGCCCACCTGTGGTGTATACCATTTCTGCTGCTTCTTTATAGTAAGACGACAATAACAGGAGATCCAAGAAAAGTTCTGCACTTACATTTTACGCACAAGAACACAAACATGTTACACATTGTCATCACGCAAAGGGGTTCCATGCCCAGTTTAGCCAGGAATACTCAGATCTTTGGCTGGGACAGACAGACAGACTCTAACAGAGTCCTTCTGCAGGGAGCATCCATGTCACCCGTAACCTGATGACGAGTTTTGAGAAATAAACCTTGTCGACAAAATGGTTAACCAGACCGATATTTTCTCCTAAGTGTTCTGAACACACGTCTAGAGGCTGCACAAGGGTGAAGGAAAGAGCACATTGCAAATGATGTGTGAGGCTTTGATTCTGATCTTACCGGAGAGCAAGGAATTGAGCATCCGTATGCTACCACCGTCCTGCTCTCAGGCGCCACCTTTCCAGACTCACTGTCACACTGCTCTCCAGGGATGCATTCCTGTTCCAGCCACTCCTTCTGACTGGCAAACCTTCCATGCGCCTAACGTCTGCAATGGCCTAGGCCACAACGCATTTATGCGCTGAGGTCTTCCCCTCTGAGACCTCCCAAGGAGGAGGCTGAAAAAGAGGCACTCTTTCCCACTTACACTTTTGGCTATAGAGTTGTACCTCAGAAGTCGAAAGGAATCCCGTTCTGGAAGCCCATTTGACTTCCAAAATGTTCAGAAACCAAAGTGCGGCTTCTGATTGGCCGCAGGAAGCTCCTGCAGCCAATCAGAAGCTGCGGAAGCCCATCGGATATTCGGCTTCCAAAAATAGTTCGCAAACCAGAACGGTCATTTCCGGGTTCGCGTCGTTCAGGAGCCAAAACTTTCGAGAACTAAGCGGTTCGAAAACCAAGGTACGACTGTATGTGCACCTGAAGGTTCGGATTAATTCTACTGGAACTGACTAGGTCTGAAGGCAACCCTGTTTAGGGAAGTTTTTAATGACTGATGTCTTAATGTACTGTTAATCTCTTGTTGGAAGCCGCCCAGTGTGGCTGGGGAATAAATAATAAATTTTAATTTTTTATTTATTTACTTACTACTACTACTACAACACAGATCCTCTAGAAAAGTGAAGTGTGAGCTATGCACCCTCTTGCTTCCTTCCACGCTGTTCTGAAGCAGAGAAGTAGTGATGGGGAGGGTGCCTCAGAAATCCAAATGTGCCAACAGGCCTAAAAGGGTCTGCAGTCCCTTCCTTAGAGAGATCAAATGAGCTGAAGGTGCAGGGCAGCAGCTGGAGGAAGATGGAAGGGTTTAGCCAGTAGAAGTCCGAGAGACTGGCAGACCTGAACAGCAAGATATTGAAAGCAGTGAGGACAGTGGTTGAAACTGAAATAGTGTGAGTGCACAGTAGCGATAGCAAAGTAGTAAGAACGGCTCACAGCAAGGAGGGCCAGTAACGCACATCCTGCCTTAGAACTAAAGGAAGGAGACAAAGTGGTGTGGCTGCATGCACCCAGATTTCTTAAGTATATACCGCACAGAAACAGGACTTCAGTAGAGCCATGCCCCAATTCTCCCAGGCTGCCTGACTACCACAGTTGCGGCTCTCTCTTTTTCTTCCTAGGGAGCCGACAAGAACTCTGGGGCAACACCACATGTCTTCACAGAATGCAGACTTCTTAGGAGAAACTTGTATGCGCGTGCGAACAGCGCAGAAGGCGCCTGAGCTCGAATAATCCCTAAAAATCCATGCGATGCTTTGCGCCTTCTGCTTTGGGGAACGCAGGCCAGGTTCCTGCGAAGGGGGAAGGTAGGGATGGACACAACCGCTCCCCCGCGCTGCCTACCTGCTCTCGGGTTGCCAATGCCCTGTATTAAAGCACATCAGATATGGGTCTCATTAACTGCCCTGGTTTTTGATGTCAGGAGCTGCAGACACACAGGTGTAGATCTCCTATTAGTTGTACACTGGGCGTGATCAGGATCTGCTTCCGCTGCCAGCATTCCCTTCTGCACATGGGCTGGGCAGAACTCTCCCCAGCCCAAGCCAGATTCAAACAGTGTGTGCTCTTATGCTGACTTATAAAGCACAGCAGTGCAAGGGAACGCGTCCTGGCCCAAGGGCAATTCAAAAGAGCAAAGGGAGGAAAGTAGCTGCATTGTTTTCATTACTTGTACTTGGCCTTGCTCAACAGTAGGACAGTGTTTCTCAAACGTGGGTCTCCAGCTATTGTTGGACTACAACTCCCATCATCCCTAGCTAGCAGGACCAGTGGGTCAGGGATGATGGGAGTTGTAGTCCAGCAACAGCTGGAGTTTGAGAAACACTGGAGCAGGACACAAGGACAAGGGAGGCTGTGTGTGGAAGGTGGAAACCGCTCCCCCTGGAGCAGCGGTTCTCAGCCTGTGGGTCCCCAGATGTTGTTGGACTACAACTCCCATCACCCGTAGCTATCAGGACCAGTGGGTCAGGGATGATGGGAGTTGTAGTCCAACAACATCTGGGGACCCACAGGTTGAGAACCGCTGCCCTAGAGAGAGGTCCATGCCTTTGGTACTCAAAGAGGCAGTGATACAGCCTCTGCTGGAAAGAAAATAATATCTGGACCCCTCTGATTTGAACACCCACTGACCCACCATGTTGCGTAATATGGCTCTAGGGTTTCTGGATTCAAACTAGTTATGATAGATGCCTCCTAGGATAGATTTTGGCCTGGAAGCCACCTCTGTTGCACAAGCAGATGACACAGGCAGGGAGACAGGTGAAAAAGCAAAAGCCCGTTTATTCTCCTGGCCCTCTCAGTGGCATTCAGTACAGTACTAACTATGGTTATCTTTCTGGGCTGCCTTGGAGGAACAGGAATTTAAAAACTTTTCCTTTAAAGCCAAAGACACTTATCCTCTTCAGAATGCAGCACTCAACAAGAAATCAACAGTTTGGGGTTTGTTTTCTTCCCATGTATGCAGAATTGCATAACAGTCCCCACTTAGGGTAACAAATGTTTACTGGCCTCGTTATCAAATTAAGCCAGCCTCCAAAACGGCCAAAGAATACCAAACCCACACGATTTTTTTGTGAATCAAAACACATTCTTGCAGCAAAATCAAATCTAACATTCCAAGCACGGGGGAGACTGCCAAATACTGACAAGGCACAGTCCCCACTTGGAGCAGGAGAAAGAAAAGGAGGAGGAGGAGGAAGAGAGCCAAAGACAAAGCCAGGACTCCCCTCCAGAGCAGGATGGATGGAGATGTTTGCCACCACAGATAAGGAGGGGAGCGGCCAAGAACAAAGAGGAAAAGTTGACAAGGTAGAAAGTGCAGCTTTGGACCCAGAGCTTGAGACATCGAGGGATCCAAGCAGCCAACATCCGTTTTTCGCAAGAGGCCATTGTCTGTATGAGAGCTTCCACATTTGAAGCTGCAGCCCTGCTCAGCTTCCTCCTCAGACAACGCGTTGTGCTTTCTAGCTCCGTGGAATTATATTTTAAGAGACGTCTGAGGCACCTTTTTACAGAAGGCGGTAAAAATATTCCTGTTCAATAGCAGCCAAATACAGTTCAAGAACTGCATTTGGCTGTTATTTCTATTTTTTTTTTCTTCACTTCCCATCATTTGGCTGTTTTATCCTTGCCCGGGGGGGGGGGGGGGTTAAGGCTTATCTCAAGGAATGCAGCATGCATGTACCGAAGTAAAATGGCACAGCATGCAGCATCTAAGGCAAAAAATAATAATAATTATGAACCTAACAAGAGTTTGGCTGCTGCATGAGACCAAAGATCCAGCACTTTGTTTTCAGTGGCCAAGCAGGACATGGACACAATGGCACACTCATTAAAGCCTTTTTCGGCTGGTTACTGAATTTATCGTAAGAAGTTAAAATGTTGAGTAAAGGTAAAGGGACCCCTGACCATTAGGTCCAGCCATGGCCGACTCTCACGGCGCTCATCTCGCTTTATTGGCCAAGGGATCCGGCATACAGCTTCCGGGTCACGTGGCCAGCATGACTAAGCCGCTTCTGGCAAACCAGAGCAGCGCACGGAAACGCCGTTTACCTTCCCGCCGGAGTGGTACCTATTTATCTACTTGCACTTTGACGTGCTTTCGAACTGCTAGGTTGGCAGGAGCAGGGACTGAGCAACGGGAGCTCACCCCGTCGCGGGGATTCGAACCGCCGACCATCTGATCGGCAAGCCCTAGGCTCTGTGGTTTAACCCACAGCGCCACCCGTGCCCAAAAAATGTTGAGTACGCACTCCAAATAACCACATGCGAATTCTGCACAGCTAAGATTCCACTCCCGACTCAAGAGCTCAAGTCCCCTGCAATTATTTCCTGATCAGGAAATCCATATCCTTCTCTCAAAAGCTGGAAGAATTCCAAGGATGCTAAAACTAGTCTGTATGGACAAAGATGGTAATTGAGCTGCTGAACATGCATTTGTGGCAGCCATCGTTTATTAGCCAATTCACCTTTCTGTGGGTCACAATGGTTCAAATGGAGCAGCTCCAACAAAGCCAACTTAAGGCACCTCAGGCATTATGCGGCAGCACAGAGAGAGGGGCAGGAAAGTATATCAACTGCCTTGAATGCCATTTTCTGACTGTGGAATTAGATAAAGCAATTTAAAGCCTAATGGTAAGCTTGCTTAGATGTGAGCCCCATTGAATTCAGTGCTATTTATTTATCTCTCCCACCTTCAGTAAAAATCACTCCCAAGTAGATTTACTCTCAGGTAATCTTGCACAGAATTGCAGCATTTGCTGCAGACGGCAGACACCCTGTGTAACTCTGCTGCAACACACTGCCCCTCTTTTAAAAGGTTACTTGATCAGAAAACAATAAAGGCTGCATTTGTTGCAGGAAGTGAGAAACTGCAGCCCTCTAAGTGCCTGTAGCCTGGGCAACAGTCCTATACGTGCAATTTGAATTGAATGAAGAATGGCTCCATTTCAAGAAGGTCAGACATCTCGCATTCGCTGGGTCTTTGCCACAGTTGGCAGGCTGCCCTCCAGAGCCTCAGAAGGCAATGTGCAAATTGGCAAGAGGCGGCCCAGGAGTTCCCACCCACTTCGATTTGCAGCACAGAGAGAGCAAGGAGCGTCTCAGAGGCTGCTTTCGCTGCCGCTTCAAGTGCCGGCTGCACAGTTGGCCTTTCAGCTACAAAGGCTCCTCATCACCTTACACGGTAAAGTCCTTCCCAAGCAGGCAGACGTCCCCGTTAAAGCCAGCGGCTGGAAAAACAAAGGGCATTCCTGTCCCAGAGCCATTTACTTTGGGAAGGTATGAACAGAACGTGCAACATTTCCTAGAGTGCCATCTTGCTGCACTGGAACGGAGACGCGATTCTCTGGCAGCCTATGGAGCCTGGCAGCCGGTCCTGTTAGCAACAAGAGGCTTGGCGGTGGTGGGCAAAGGTCCAAATTTAAGTCGGGATACGAAAGGGCACAGTCTCCCGATGACAGCTTATTTGCAAACTGTGGCCAGCTTCGTCAGGTTCTACAAAAAGGCAAGATGGAGACCAGTTGCAGCAGCTGCTCCAGAAGACACAGGCCATTGGAGGGCAGAATACACGCATTGCTCGCTTAGAAGGAGGGGATCCTGGGAAAGGGGAACGCGGGAGGGAGAACAGGCAAGCTGGGGCTTCCCCAGTTTCAGCAATGACCAGTGAGGAACAGAAAAGCCACAAAGCTCTGCATGCGCACTCATGGGCAAACAGGGCCTCCAAAGGAGCCTGCGTCTCTTGGCACCTGTCAGACCGTCTCTGAATGGCTTACTCCCCTCAAATGCCATGACATTGCCCAAACCATGCCCGGCACCCAAGTCCACGCATTGCCAAGGAGGTGGGCATATTTACAAGCACACTTTTTGGAGAGCCCAGAAACAAGCTGCTTTGCTTAGACCCCTGAAATCTATGCCCTTGTGTTCTTGACCACTGCTTTCCAGGGTGTCACTTATCTCGTAACCCAAAACCCACCCCAGAAACGCCTCTCCCCCCCCCCATGCTTTCTCATGGAAGAAAATGGAATTGCAGAGTTGGAAGATACCCCTGAGGATCATCTAGTTCAGCGGTTCTCAACCTGTGGGTCCCCAGATGTTGTTGTACTACAACTCCCATCATCCTGGAGCTCTGGCCTTGCTAGCTAGAGGTGATGGGAGCTGTAGTTCAACAACATCTGGGGACCCACAGGTTGAAAAAGGCTGATCTAGTTCAACCCCCTGCAGAAATATGCAGCTGGGCCTTACACCAATAAAACCTGAAAGCCACAACATCGCGTGCACCACGCGAACATGACAGAATCTCCATCTTCCTGCATCATCCAAGCAACAAGGGAGCTGAACAACTGCCAAAGCCAAGCCCACGAAACCTTGAATGGTTCCACAAGGAACAATCCAATCTCATTTCTAGAACATGAACTGGACAGATCACAAAGACAACCACCCTCCTCTGTCCCTGTTATCCTTAATTCCTCAGCAAAAGTAACTCAACACACAAACCACAGAGAAGGGGAAGTGTTGTCAAACCCAGATTGCACTGTGAACCCAGAAGACTCCAGTTCAAACCTCAAGCCTACTAGTTGGCCTTGGCTATGACTTATCAACTTCCGCGGATTTTAAAGTTTCTAATGGATAATTTTTATTTAATCCCACAGTCTCACGCGATTCTGTTATGAGTTTTAGGGCTGGGAAATACCTGGCTCTCAACATCGGGATATATTATCAGCTAATATATCACAGTGTCTGAAATAAGGATGGAGCCATGTAGAGGCATTGGGCAGGCTTCAGGGTTTTTGCAGCATCGTGATTTTTGCATAGCGTATGCACACACACACAGCGATATATTGCCGGGTCAAAAAATATGAAACTGATACCACAATATGGATTTCAAACTGATTTGGGGCAACATATCACCCAAGGAGCTTTCTCCAGCATTGTAGGAAAGATGTAAAAAAAATAAATTAAGGACAACTGTGATATGGTTAGGAATCTGTGGGCCTACACAGTATTTTTTTTCCAGCAGAACAGTGCTTCTGGAGGACCAGTTAGTTAGGAGTCGGTATAAACCCAAATGTACCCCATGATCAGACACCACCAAATTTTACACAGCTGCCAAGGTTGTTCAAAGCATGGGGCTCAACAATTTTAGAAAGACTAGCCGTGAACTGAAACCAGTCCTTTATCTGAATAGATACACGCAAGAGGATGTGTTCCTGTGTGACATGACGACTGAAGCCTCTGCCATCAGGTCCAGATCTAACTCTTAAGATTGGAACACACCCTGGTCCACTTCAGACCTAATGATCTGATGGCTTAATGGGCCCATGTGCTCCCTCATCATAGTCTGATACCTTTGTTTGCAAGCAGCAATAAGGACACATTGGCCCAATTTGGATGTCAAAGAAAACTGGTTTAACAAACTCCGATCATCTTCCTTGTGGATAAGAGAAGGTCTGCTGGATCAGACCCAAACCAGGATGTATTTTGGCAATGGCCCAGAGACCACGTTGAGGCAGCCATTAGATGGTATATGTGAGAAACGGGGGCAGAACCGCCCATTTAAATTAGCTTGATCCAAGTGTAGAAGTAAAATAAAATACAGGTAGCACCCAGTAAAACCCATTGCAGGTGCACTGATCTAACCAAAAGTGTGCTTCAAGCGCTCCAGAAGAAGCCGTGTGTGTGTGTGTGTGTGTGTGTGTGTGTGTGTGTATGTAATTATTTTCCTCAAAATAGTAATCTCAACAGCACACACGGCCTAAACAATTCGGCACCGCATCACAGCAAGTTTTGCAACATGCTATGTAAGATGCCAACACACAACATCCCAGGTGAAGGATACTGGCCAACATGAACAGGAAAAATCCTTTTCCAAGTTGTGGTGAAAAATGAAAATTGCCTTTTAACTTCTGTTACCAGTCTGATACGTCCTTAAGCTGACACTATCAATGTTTTGTAGTTTGTATCCCCTGTAAACTACGTCTATACGTTGTTTGGCCCTGACCCTCAATAGTCTGAAATGATATCGTGTGCATGCAATTCAGTGTCACACTATTACACGTGTTCTGTCTGCACAAGCATTTTCGCTTGCAAGGCAGAAAGATCCCCCTTGCACTGTTCTAGGGGTACCCCAAGACCCCAGAGTCAGTTTCAGGGAGCACATGGATATAAGGGGGTGGGAATCCAATTTCCCTTTTGCAGGGCTTCCGCTGACAGAGTTCATTAGGTGAATCACACTCATCTTACAGTCATTTCCAATTGGCTATACAGTGGCATCATCCCATTCATGATCCCTGAATGGCTGAGATCACCCGAGATCAATACTCTGAGGAGGATTAATGGGATCAGAGGCGACTGAAGAGAAAAGAATATCAACACCATTTGTCTCAGAATTACTAGTTTCTACCTGAGGAATGAAACCAGATATTTGGTTCAGCTCTCTTTTTAAGAGGTGTCCTGCTTCCAGTTCAGTTATGAAAATGGAGCGGTGAGTGCACAGATGCTTCTTACCCCACCAGGCCAGTTGGAAAAGTCTGCTCTCAATCATATAAAGCTGATTTTAAATGAATTTCATGCTTGGGAGAGGAGCACCTTGCCTGCCACATCTGGAAACTACTTGCAGTGGGGAAACCCAAACTGCTCCTACTAAGCTGACAGTTCTTGTAAATGCATCTGAAATCCTGCGCAGTCTTTGCCGCTCCTAAGAAGTTCAGGCACTAACAAAAATGAGCACATCTGCCCCCAATCCTGAGGCTGTGGACACAGAACCTGACCCAGGCTCCCTGTTGCTCCCATACTGGCACCAGAGATAATTCATTTATACTGTAGCTTGCATAATCCAAAACTGCCCCCATGAGGTGTGGTCAGGATCACAGTTTAGAATTCCCAGCACCCAACACATGCCCTGAAGGCTGTGGTGGAGAACCATCCTAACTTTTTAACTCCTATGATATAGAACATGCAACCCTCATGCCACAAAACCATTTCTCCTCTTCTTCCATGCTTTGTTCCAAAAACTGTTGTGTTGCAAAGAGAACGTCAGCAATGTCTAGGCAACACAATGACCATGTACATACGCAATAGACAATCTTTATAGAATTCCTTCCAACCATAACAAGTACAAAATGAAATCTTCAGTCTCAAAGTCTCTGAAAATCTTTAAATGAAGTGAGGTACCAGACTTTATACGATAAAAGACAAGCTGTGAAGCTTTGTGTATTCAGCAAATATGATGTCCAGCAATGCTGTGGAACAGTGTTCATGTAATAACGTAGTCACTGCTCACTGTCTGTATCTGGCATCTTGCATGTACGATCCCTATCCTGTTCACATCGGATGCCGCTCACTAAATCAGACCAGGCCAACCTTTTGAGCAGACGTCGCCCTTGTCAAAAAAAAAGCTAAACTAGAGCATGAAACACCTGAGAAAAGAAAGAGGCTGCATTTTAGCACCATGGGGCTTGCTAAAGGTAAGACGGTGTTGTCCAAACACACACACACCCAAATGAAGTGGAGATGACGGAAAGGCGCTGCCTATGGCTCAGCCCTCCCCAAATGCTCCACAGATACGGAAAAGGAAGGCTGCGCTGCCAGCACCAGAGGGCGGGCGAATCTCCTGTCCCAACCAACAGCCTCCAGGTCCCCTGCCAGCCATCCCTTTGTTCTTCCTGTCAGCGCAAGAGGCAGCCAGGGAGAGACCATCCTCATTTCCCTTCCCCACCCAATGACAGCAGGGAAGGAAAGAGAAACAGATGGAGTGGCTGCTAATCCGGGAGGGGCGGAGAGGGAGGAGGTCTGCGCCAGCACAAACCCTTCCCTTTTCTTCCCTTTGGCATCCAAGAACGGGGTCCCCAGGAAATACTACACAGGAGGGAGAAAGGAGATCGCAAGGGGAGGATGGCAGTCCAGTGAAGAGCTAGTTCGTTCCATGAGCTACACAAGACAGAGGTAAAGAGAACCTCTCCAAGAGGGCAGGCCCTTTGCTGTTTTAACTCACACCAGAGTAAGGCTGCCACACAGGGAGAGTCCTCCCTCATAAGCACCCAAGGGGTGCTGTGCCAAATCCCCACAGACCCTGCAGCCTGGAGGCCAGAAAATCACTTTGGCTTCCACAGCTACATCACGAAACTGAAAGAACTGGTTATTCAACCTGGCGTCTTCCCCTAAAAACAGGATACTCTCCATCGACAGCATTCCCAGAATTTCCCTGGAGGCTTCCAAAAAAGATTTCGCTCCCCAGACTGCAAGTAACTGCTATCTTACTGCTTCCACCCGTTTGTCTCCCTTACGTTCCTCCCCCCCCCCCCCAAGGATTTTTGAAGAGCAACTACCACTCAGCCAGCGTTACGCCTTCTTCATATTTCTGGCACAATGAGAACCCTTGCAAGTGCGCACAAAGCAAGGGGTGCCAAGAAGAAAAATAAGCCACTACGCTGCTAAGAACCAGGCCATCCATCCAACCGCTGTTGGAAGTAGCTCTACCCATATAAGCAGCTGGGTTGTCACAGCGCAACCACGGCAAAGCATTCTGGCCTTGCATACTTCATGGTGTTCTCCCTCCCGCCACAGCTTCAAGCCCTACAAGGAAAGAACTCAAACCTTCACTCCTAGTGGGCAGCCAGCTCTGCAGGTGCACAATGCATACCGTTCACTGCGTGGCATCAGGAACGTGGAACTCTGCACCAACTCCCAACATTAGAGCCATTATGATACAGGCCGCGGTCGATTTGCACGGGGACCACTTTCCGAGACACTGCAAGCTTACGTGAAATCGCGTATAATCCAAACACCCACTGAAAAAGCCTGCAAACACCCCGATCCACCCCTTTTGGTGACATTTTCAGATCACTTCCAGGTGTGGCACAATGCAAATGTGTGCATTTGTACACATTTTGGACGTACCTAGAATGGTCACTGCCTGTATTCTTGTCCCAGGTGGTCTCTTCTATGCGGCACACGCAGTCTCTCCATGGGTCAGGCAATATGTGAGACGGCTCTCCGTAAAAATGGCAATGGGGCCTACAGAGATGCTTTCGGCCAGCTGCAATCCAGCAGTGGAATCCAACAGCCCTTCAGAAATCTGCCATACTCAGACCCTGGTTTCCTTCCATAAGTAATTCACGTATGGATCATCACTCACTGCATGCGGGAAGGGCAAGGGATTTCAGGATGCTGTGTGAATATTTACAATTTAAAGTTGCTAGAAGCCGTAAGAGATAGAGGGCAGCCAGCGATTCCATGCGTGCCTTTGAAGCCTTCTTTGAAAAAACTAGGCTGTCGTCCCCATCACTTCCTAGCAACGAATCCCAGTACAGAAAGGGGAATACCTTAGTGGACAAATTAGCTGTCAGTTCCACAGATCAACCAATCGGGCTTCAAGCAGCAAAGCGAAATATCTACCAAAGAAGGTTAACACAGAGTTCACGTTCCACCAGATTCAGAGCCACCCTCAAAATCGGGGGGCATGTTCTCAAAAAAGGGGCACATGCAACATGTTTCAACTAAATGCTTTCTCACTGCACATAGCACAGCAGCTGACTTTCCAACTAGATCAATTTCATGGCATCTCTCAATGATTTGGGTGCTTTTGATCAACCTAGGGAGCAGACACGCTCTTTGCTAAAAGGGTTTAACATGAGCCAAAATGGAAGCACTTCTAATATAATATGCAAATCACCACAGTATTGCACCCAAGTGATTAAGTACAGTACTTTGGCACAATCACATTGCCAATATTAGATTTTGCAGTACAAAAATATTTTAGATGACCTGTGTAGCACCAAAGAATCAGCCTGAGTGCAGAGACAGTGACTGACACGCTAACGAACATTTGATAACAGAGACTACCTGAAAGGTAGCACATTTTTTAAATACACACATGGATATGCAGTATATATGGAACATCAGACCCATCTACATATCACTAAAACCACAAAGGTGTGAAAAATGAATTCCACATTAACAGCCCATTCGCAAAGACCACTAACCAACCCAGAATAAGCAAAAGCATACACCAGCATCTCAAGTTCTGTCCTCGTGATCAGGATGTCAGGCATAGAAGCTTCTGAAAAAGGACCCAGGCACTTGAAAATAAACGACACTAGGCAAAATGTACCAAAGGTCTGCCTGCCTAAGGCAGCTTCGTACGTATATAAAAATATCAAGATGCACTGAAACAAGAGTACACAAGGATATGCCTTATATTCAATAAGACCACCGGATCCATTTAGGTCTGTGTTATCTACACTGACTGGAAGCAGCTCTCCGGGGTTTCAGAAGGGAGGGGCCCTCCCCAACAGTACCTGGAGAGACCAGGTACTTAACCTGGGACTTTTCACACCCAAAGCACAGGCTCTATCACTTAGCTATGGCCCCTTTCTCAGTGCTTCCTTCCACTACCCAAGAAATTTAGGCTTTTTCCTGAAGTATTAAAAAAAAAAACCCAGCCCCAAAAATCTTGCCCACAAACATGAAACACATTTTTTCACTCAGTTCTGATGGAAGTTCCTTAAATATTCCAACCGTCAAAAAGCAAGTAAGCAAGCTACTGTAACAAATAAATAAATTTGGGCAGATTGGATATCCCTTACAAGAGCTGGCATGGCAGACAATCACTTGGGAAACAGAGCAGACCAGAAACACAGAAACCTCAACCATGTTTTTTAGCCTTGCAGACAGAGAAGCATGTGGTTGCAGGCGAGGGCGGCATAAACCCCACAAGATGCCAACCACAGCCTAAGACCCCTGCCAGAAACAACAAGATTCATGACGAAATTGCAGTATTAAGGGCAAACAGCTTATCTAAGTAGTACCTTCCTTTTGGCGAGATCCTTTCCGCCTAGCCCAAGCACAGCTGCTTGGGAATCGGTGGCTGCTCCAGTAGTACCTCTAAGCAGGTGGTGGCTCAGGGGAAAACCACACACTGGGTTTAAACATGGGTGCTGTAGACCACAAAGCTCGCTGGCGTGGGGGGGGGGGCATGCGGAGAGACCCACACACAGCCCCCCCTCTTCGATGCACGCAGCAAGACCCAAGGAGCATCAGTTGCCAAGGGAAGAAAGGACACAAATTTGAGTCCCCACCACCCGGTTTCCAAAAGCAGGTTTGTGGGTTGCGATGCCCAAAATACGGTTAAAATGTGAGGGAGGAGGGGATTGTTTTTGCAACCAGGTAAGGAAGGAGGAGCCTCAGCCTGCCAATCATCCCCCCCCCCCCGTTTGACAATTAAGGATTTCCTCTAACCACTGCACCTTATGTGCCCAGCCATATCCTAACCCTCTGCTGAAAGGAAGAGGGGGGGCACAGATTTCTGCTCCTGCCTCTCCCCCCATAACATTTCACCCCCTACAAGCTGAGACACACTCGCCCCCCCCCACACGCGCACAGTTGCCCCCTCCACCCCTCCCTTTTCTGCTCCAAGCGCAAAACGCAGCTGTGACCCCCCACTCCCTCCCCACCAGACACAGAGAGAGACCGTTTGCGACCCCTCCCCACCCCAACCAAAAAGCCTCCCCCCACATTCCTGGAAGTGGGGCGAGTGGGGGGGGTTAAAAGAGGGTCATTCAGACGACGAGACTCACCCGTGTAGTGCACCACGCAGGTCTGCCCTCGCTTAGGGAAGGTCCTCCCTAGAGAAGAGGAAAAGGCAGTTAATGGGGGGGGGAGAAGAGGGCGCTCGTGCCCCCTAACCTCTTGAGGGGGGGTCGTCGGTTGAGGGGGGGGTCTCTCGGCTCACCGTCCCCGGGGGAGATGGTCTCCACGCGCACGCCCATGTGGCCCGGCCCGCGGCGATGCTAGTCCCCAAAGGCGCACCGGGAGGAGCGGCAGCGGCGAGTCCGGCAGGCGAGAGGGAGGAGAAGCAACGGCGGACGAACCACCAACGCCTGGAGCGAAGGAGGAGGGGGGCGGGGAGGGAGGAGCCGCGCCTGCGCACTGCCGCTTAGAACGGAGGCCCCGCCCCACGCCGCCGCCGCCCTGCCTCGCCTCGCCTCGCCGGAGTCGGCCGCTCAGAGCCACGCCCCGCCGTTTTTCGCGCGCGCGCCCGCTCGGAAAGGCGAGGCGCACGTGGCCGCGGCGGTGGGAGGGGCAAAGGGCGCGGCTGAGGGAGAGGGGAGAGCAGACGCCGCCGCCATCTTGGCTGCTGCCCCTCAGGGAGGAGGAGGAGGAGGAGGCGGGAGAGGGAGAGCGGGCTGCTCCCTCTTTCTCACCCCCTCCCGACTCTCCCACAGACATATATATTAGCATATATATCACATATACATATATTATACATATATACATACACATATACATATATTATATAATGCTAATAATAATTTATATATCATTATTAGTATATCACATATACTAATATATGTATTATTATGCTATTATATATATAATACTAATTTATATATATTATATAATGCTAATAATAATATATATTATTAGTATATCACATATACTAATACATATATTACGTTGTTCAAAGGTCAAATCGCATCCTAAGAATAAGAATGATTTCGTTATTTGTACCCCGCCCGTCTGACTGGGTTGCCCTCAGCAACCTCTGGGAAAAGGGAAATAGGAAAAAAATGGTCGTGTTTGTGGTAAAAAAAAATACAGTGCGGTCCCCAAACATGCACATAACAGTATTTTCCTCTGCCTGATGAACAGGCTCAGATTCCCAAGTTGCTAGCGGTTCTTGTTTCTGTCTGTGAGCCGCGCTGGGTCTCTATCAGGGGGAAAGGCAATAATAATAATAATAATAATAATAATGTGGTGGGTAGGGAGGCAAGTGTGCCGTTTATGGCTGCCTGAAGAGGACTGCCGCTCATGCCTGGGCCCATATCCTCCAATGTTTCTCCCACAAAAATAGGGCTGAAGAATCTAAAGTATCTGAAGAAGTGTGCATGCACACAAAAGCTCATACCAAGAACAAATTTCGTTGGTCTCTAAGGTGTTACTGGACCATTTTTTATTATATTATTTCTACTGCGTCAGACCAACATGACTACCTCCTGAATCTAGAAAAAAAAAAATTTTTTTAATAAATGATATTTATTCCAGATTTAAAGTTCCAAAAAAGAAAAAGAAAAACCATACAAAATACCAAAAAAAGCTTTAACCATAACAAAGCAAGAAATAAACAAGTAAAAAAAAAGAACAATAGGATAGAATAAAAAAGAAAACTTGACAAAAAATATAAAAATACATTAAGTTAAAATAAAACAAAAACAGATTAAACCTTTACATAGCCTTTTCCCTTTACTTATTTCCATGACCTCCTCTCACCTCCCAGTTTTGTATTCTTGTTCAGATCGTGTTTCCAGCAAATCCTTCTAACCTTATTTTCATTTACGTATTTTAAAATTAAAATAATGTGATTAGACCTCCTCTAATTCATCGATTTCATCAACTCATTTTTGCTTAGTCCATTATATCATATCTACCAGAACGACCTAATATTCTTTTTCCAACCTCCTTCTAACATTCTTTTATATTGCAGTACTTTTGAAGATATATTTTGAATTTTTTCCAATCATCTTCCATCGACCCTTCTCCCTGGTTGAATCTAGAAAAATAAGGCTGTTTTATTCTACATCAGGGAGCGTCTCTCTCTTGCACAGAAACGTCCTGTCCCCATGGGTCACCTCAAGCTAATGGCAACCGCTTATCCTACCTCACAGGATTGTTGTGAGGGAGGAAACGTGTGAGGAAGGGATCATGTGCGACACACCTTCCACAGATTAATAAAATGAAATAGAAGTGTAGCAGTAAGCTGCCTTGAGTCACTGTTGGAGGATGGGAAGGTGGGATATAACAACAACAACAATAACAACAACTGTGAGAATGATCAGGATCATACCAGAAAGTAAATAATAATAATAAACAATTTTTTTTATTTATACCTCACCCATCTGGCTGGGTTTCCTCAGCCACTCTGGGCTGCTCCCAACAGAATATTAAACAAAATAAACCCCATTGTACTCGGTGGGACTGGCTTCTGAATGAAAATGCTTTGGGTGGCAGTGTAAGGCTGCCCTTTCTTGACCCAGTTACTTGGGAGTAAGCACCGTTGAATACAGTGGGGTTTCCTTCTGAGTAAACAGTGTAAAGCTCCATTTACAAGAAAGGAATCAACCCCCCACCCCCGTGTTTCCTAAGAAATGGCTGGCTGCCAAAGGGTCACTTTTTCCTTCAAAATTATAGGAAAGAATGCCAGCTTCACCGTTTCCTTCACTGGTGCGGGAATTTTATTTTCAGTATAAACAGGAGTCACCGTTTTTGCACCTAAACTGAAACCTGATGTATGCTCAGAGACGTCTTGCTTCCTACTTGTTCATTTCTTGGTCAGATAAGATAGCTGTGCTGCTTTTCTGCTTCCAAGTTACCTCTTCTTGTGTGGCTACCAGAAATACCTTTTTTTAAACCTTGCAACTTCCTTTCAAGAAAGCTTTATTCATTAGAAAAGAAGTTTTGTTGTGTGAGTTCCTGGATGTCCCCAGCATGGTCACGCTCCAGAGATGGGTCAATCTCGACACCCACCCAAACAAGATCTTTGGAAAACAGGCAGTCCTAGGCTCCTGAGCTCCCCATAACATTTCCCCTAAGTCCCCACAAACAGGGCATCCTCTTTCCTTACAGAGGCAACTCACATCCTCCTCTCTTATTTATTTATTTATTTATTTAGTAGAATGAATGAATGAAGAGCTGGAAAAGGTTCTGGAAAGAGCAACCAAACTGATCAAGGATCAGAGCAGAAGAAAAGTTACCAGATTATAGTCAGGGCTTTTTTTTTTCACAATCAAGTGGTGTGTCATTTTTAACAAAATAAAGAAAAATAATTTCCGCCTTACAGACCCAATAGGCTTTCAACACAGCGTGAAAAAGATTCGCACGATTTAAAAACCGCCATTTGAGTCTGGCACCGGGAACAGCAATAACACACAGTGGTGCCAGGATTATTCAGGTGGCATTTCCTGCCCTCATCCTTGATGCTGCCCGTCAGCCTCCGCCTACTAGGCAGCAGAACCCGCTGATGTCCCCTGAGGACAGACAATGGAACTGAGCAGCTGGATCTAGCTAAGTCCTGTGATGGCAGGCAAGACTTCCCTGGATGGCAATTGGCTGTTACCAGGCAACGGCTCCCACTGATGTCCTCAGAGGCAAAGGAATGAATAGGGCTGAACAGCTGGATCTCAGCAACTGAAGAGATGCCACGTTGGATGCCTTCAGCAGCAGGATCCCACCTTGGATCAAATCTATGCTTCCGGGTGCCATAAGAAAGCTGCAGAGATAGCGCAGGATAAGTGCGCACCCCGGAAACGATCTCTTTCAGCTTCTGCCTTCTGGAAGAAGGTACAGGGTTATAAAGACTAGGACTAGCCGCCTGAGAAACAGTTTCTATCCAAATGCGATTTTGGTTTTAAACACATTGTAAGGAGTCTGCATGGGAGTATATTGTATTTAAAAATGGGGTATCAGAGTGTTTAGGGGGCTAACCAGGTTGGGATTGCTGGGATAGCAGGCTTGTTGGGTTTTGAATATCTTATGTAGATTTTTTCAATTTCGTTGTTCTGTATGGGACAATGACAATAAAGATTATTGTAGGAGCAGCCTTTGTAGATGGAGTCATCTGGTGCCCTAGGATCCCAGGCTAGATGGAAGTGGAACAAGTAGCTTTTTCTGAGGTGAGTTGGTGGGAGCTGCACACAGTAGTCCATGTATGATGGTCACACCACTTTTTTTAACAAAGGCAGTTTGGGCAGTTTTCAGTTCCATTCCTGATGATCCCTACCAGAGAATTCACCCTTTTCAGAGATGCTGCCTACTACGCCGATGTTTTCATTGAGCTATTTACCACCACCTCAAGAGCCCTTTCCTGCTCAGTCACTGCCAGTTCAGACCCACCACAAGCGCAGACCCTCCAGTTGCCCCCATTTTCCAGGGACAGTCCTGGATTTACAGAAGTTGACCCGGTTTCCAATTTCACCCAGGAACGTCCCGCTTTTCCACTTAGGACATCCCTATTTTCATCAGAGAAATGTTACAGGATATGGAGTTATGCGACCCTGAGCCAAGGAGATAAGTAACTGTACAACCTTTAAAAGACATCTGAAGGCAGCCCTGTATAAGGAAGTTAAAAAAAATATGTTTTATTATGTTTTTATATATCCTGGAAGCCGCCCAGAGTGGCTGGGGTAACCATAATAAAATTATTATTATTGTGGAATAGGACATCCCTACTTTCACTGGGAAAACCAAAGCTTTAATTATACGGACCTTTGCCGGCAAGGTGATGTCTCTACTTTTAAGGTGCTGTCTAGGTTTGTCATTGCTTTTCTCCCAAGAAGCAGGTGTCTTTTAATTTTGTGACTGCTGTCACCATCTGCAGTGATCATGGAGCCCAAGAAAGTACTCACTGCCTCCATTTCTTCCCCTTCTATTTGCCAGGAGGTGATAGGACCAGTGGTCATGATCTTAGTTTTTTTGATGTTGAGCTTCAGGCCATATTTTGCGCTCTCCTCTTTCACCCTCATTAAAAGGTTCTTTAATTGCTCCTCACTTTCTGCCATCAAGGTTGTGTCATCAGCATATCTGAGGTCCGTATAATTAAAGCTATGGTTTTCCCAGTAGTGATGTATGGAAGTGAGAGCTGGACCATCAAGAAGGCTGATCGCCGAAGAATTGATGCTTTTGAATTCTGGTGCTGGAGGAGACTCTTGAGAGTCCCATGGACTGCAAGAAGATCAAACCTATCCATTCTTAAGGAAATCAGCCCTGAGTGCTCACTGGAAGGACAGATCGTGAAGCTGAGGCTCCAATACTTTGGCCACCTCATGAGAAGAGAAGACTCCCTGGAAAAGACCCTGATGTTGGGAAAGATGGAGGGCACAAGGAGAAGGGGACGACAGAGGATGAGATGGTTGGACAGTGTTCTCGAAGCTACAAGCATGAGTTTGACCAAACTGCGGGAGGCAGTGGAAGACAGGAATGCCTGGCGTGCTCTGGTCCAGGGGGTCACGAAGAGTCAGACACGACTAAACGACTAAACAACAACAACACCAGTCTCCTGCCACCCCAGGGAGGATATTGAAAGGGCTTGACTAAACAACAACAACTTTCACCAGAGAAATGTTGGAGGGTATTCAGAGCATTGTAATCACTGTGCATTTGCTTACGTTAAACCACAGTCACAATTTTAACGCCCATTCACCCAGTTTGGAAAGATTGTTTTGGAGCAGCTCACAATCCCTCTTTGTTTGTATCTACCCTGAATAATCTGATGTCATAATCACTGCTCGGCCCTTACTCCACATCATTTCTGAATAAGTTAAAAAGCACCCGTGCTTGGGCGAACACAGTTCTTAAGGTCCATCTGCTCCATAAATTTAAATCAGTCATACAATTTTAACAGCTATGGCTTCCTCCAAAGGATCCTGGGTGCTGAGAGTTGCTAGAGAACCCCTATTTCCATCACAGAGCTACAATTCCCAGAATTCCCTGGGAGGTGGGATTGTATCTCTACAATTCCCCATGTAGTTTATCAATCAATCCCACCTCCCAAGGGAACTCTGGGAATTGTAGTTCTGGCATAGGAACAAGGACCAACAAATCCCAGCACCCTTAACAAACTATGGTTCCCAGAATTCTTTACAAGAAGCCAGGGCTGTTTAAAGTGGTGCCCATTACCACACACTTTCTCCTTGGGATGGCTCTGGCAAGCCTAGGTGCAGAATGTCAAATGCTTACTTTGCTGCTTGAAATATGTGGAGCCAAGAGCATGAATGCTGTGTAAAGACTGGCGGTGCCGGTAGACTGCAGCAAACGCAATCCCAATAAAATGCTTCGTAGATGTGGCTGCCTTCTTCTGTTAATGGCAGCCAAAATAACACTCTCCCCCTAAGGCTAGGACAGGGCCAGGCAACAGATCCCTGAACATCTAGTTCAGCTTTGCAAGACATAGTTGAGAATGCAAGATCTAACCTGGGGAAAAGACAGGTCCCAGCACTTTCGCATTCAGACGTAACGGCAGCCTGGATGGATTCTCATGCGGCACAGTAGAGGAACCAGGACAGACATTCTGTCCCTGTGCACAGTGCCCCGGGTTTGAGCTTGCCTAGAGATCATGCCTCAAACCTATTATTATTATTATTATTATTATTATTATTATTATTATTATTACTACTACTACTATTACCACTACTACTATTATACTACCCAATTCCTCTCAGTGTGATACTTGGTGGAACAATTTCACTGGACCAGACCAGGAACTCATTAGAATCCAATTATTTTCTTGCCACAGTTTCAAAGGCTTCTGAAATATTCTTAGCAATGCTGCAAGTACATCAAGAGGCAGCTCCCACACCGACGTACTGGACCAGGTGCAGCACATCGTTAAACTATGGAACTCCCTCCCACAAGAGGCAGTGATGGCCACCAACTTGAAGGTCTTTCAAAGAGGATTGGACAAAGTCATGGAGGAGAGGGCTAGCCACAGCGGCCACAGTTGGAGGCAGGAACACTTATGGATACCAGTTGCTGGAAACTGCAGGAGGGGGAGCGTATTCTTGTGCTCAAATCCTGCTTCTTTCTGGGTTTCCCACAGGCATCTGGTCAGCCAATGTAAGAACAGGATGATGGACTAGATGAGCCATAGGCCTGATCCTGCAGGCTCTTCTGGTGTTTTTATGTAATAAGTCCTCCTGGCACCAAAGGTGTGTTCTCGCACTTGGAGCGGGGTCTGTGAACCGCCCTGAGCACTGGCGGAGGAACAGGGGTGTGGGGGGAGCGCACTGCCCCCAGCAGCACGATCCTGGTGGGGTGCCATCGCGGCTGCTCCCCCCTCCCGCACTGGGCGCCACACCCCTGGGACACATGCCACGCCCTCAGAATGCATGCCACACCCCTGGAACACATGTCATGCCCCTGGAACACATGTCATGCCCCTAGGACGCATGCCACACCCCCAAGGCGCATGCCACACCCCCGGGACATGCACCAGCCATGCCCCCGCCTGCTCTCCGCCCCCTCCGCCACTGGCCCTGAGATCACCACCAGCGGCGCGATCCTGGTGGGGTGCCATCGCGGCTGCTCCCCCATCCCGCACTGGGCCTCACACCCCCAGGATGCATGCAACACCCGTGGGACACATGCCACGCCCCTAGGACACATGCCACGCCCTCAGGAGGCATGCCACGCCCCCAGGATGCATGTCACACCCCTAATACACATGCCACACCCCTGGGATATTTGCCAGCCACACCCCCGCCTGCTCTCCGCCACTGGCCCTGAGATCTATAAAGGGCGGTATAAAAATTAAACAAATAAATCACAACAATTTGGTTCCCTTGAATATTCTGTTGAACGCGCACGAGCATCTGTCAGAACAGAATGCTGGACTCACTGAGCCACTGGCCAATCCAGCTGGGATTAAATCTCATGCTCTTAATTAATTCAGCAGCAGAACTCATCAATTCTGCCCGTCTTAACCTCAGGAATTGACTTAAAAGTGTGCAGTAGGATATCAATATTCAAACTGAAAGATAAACCCCGAAGCACACTCTTCTTGTAGCTTAACACCCCTCAAATTACTTCTTTGCATTCATTTTGACAGGGTCACGAGGCATCGCTAAAAATGGAAGATTCTCTGTAAGGTCAAATTTTGAAGAGTGCTCAGTATTCAAAGGCAGTTTTCTTCTCAAACCACAAGCAGCCTTTATCCTTTGAAATGGAGAAACCCTCTGGGGAGACACACAGCTAGGAATATATATTTTTATCAGAAGTATATCCAGTTTTTAGAACACAGAAGAAAGAACCCCTGATTTGAAGTGAATGATTCTGATGTAAGTGACGGCAGCTGCGCTCGTCATGAAATCTTTCTACTTCGGGTGCCCTTGCGGAGTTAAAACAGAAGAGGCAAGGACAAATAATTGCACAGAAGGTTTAAAGCCTACTCTTCACACTGCAGTTTTCAAAATCAGAACATACTGAAGCGAAAACTTTATCCGCCTTGTTTTGCAGCGCTAAAAAACAAGGGTCCATCTGGCTTAGAACTGCCTGCTCCAAACTGAGAATCATTGACAAATCTGCCATTCCTGGTCCTTTTAACTGAAGATGGCAAGGTTTCGGGGCAGGATGGTCTGTGTGAGAAGAATGTGCTTTGCCAATAAACTATTGCACCTTCCAAAATACCGTATTTTTCACTCCATAAGACGCACTTTTTTCTTCCTAAAAAGTGAGGGGAAATGTCTGTGCGTCTTATGGAGCGAATGTGTGGTCCCTGGGGCCGAATTGCCCAGGGGCAAAAAGCAGATCATGCTTTTTTTTTTTTAAAGAGGGAAGTGGGTGTGGAAACAAAGCCACTAATCAGCAAGCGATCGGGGAGGGAGATAAGGGATGCTAGCAATAAAGGAGGCTGCCTGGGAGGGGGGAGGTAAAGACAGCAAACTTGCAAAGGGCAGAAACAGGAAGACTAAATCAATGAGGAGAGAAATTAGAAGAAAAGGAGGAGCAAAAAACTGCTCCAGCTAAGGAAAAGACACTAAGGCAAACAAGAGGGAAGGGAGTGTTGAAAGGAAGCAGCTGATCGGTGGGATCGGGAGAGAGATAAGGGATGCTAGCGGAGGCTGCCTGAGAAGGAGGAGGTTAAAGCCCATGGATCCTCAGGATTTTTACATTGGGTCACCCCAAATTCACCACCAAATCACATAGCATGTCCATGGCTACAGCCTGCACCAAAAAAATCACGCATCCACTGTTTCCTGGGGTTGCAATGGTGCAAAAATGTGGTTACAAAGCACAGATCCACATGGATCCTCAGGATTTTTGCACTGGGTCCCCAAATTCACCATCAGATCACATAGCATGTCCATGGCTACAGCCTGCACCCAAAAAATCATACATCCACTGTTTCATTCAGAATATTTTTTCTTGTTTTCCTCCTCTAAGAACTATGTGCGTCTTATTGTCAGGTGCGTCTTATGAAGCGAAAAATACGGTAGCCTAAGGCAGCCTTCCCCAGCCTGATGCAATTGGGAAGAGTGCGCCTCTGCTCTGAGTACTGCTTGAGGGCTTCCTATCCGCATTTGGCTGGCCACTTTGACAAAAAATGTTGGACTCGATGTGGCTGTGCTCTGACACAGCAGGGCTCTCATGTTCTTATGAGCATCTCACAACAGGAGCACTCCACGCTGCAACCATTTGCCCTAAGTCCCACTTGCTGTTTAGCTTGTCTTGCCCACCAACCTATCCCAATCAATCCTCGTCTGCAGAAAATGCCCATCGGTTAGCTTGGTTTGCATCACTGAAATCAACTACAGTGGTACCTTGGTTTTTCGAACGGCTTGGCTCCTGAACAAATCAGCTCCTGAACGCTGCAAACCCAGAAGTGTTCTGATTTGCGAACCTTTTTTGGAAGCCAAACATCCGACGCGGCTTCTGTGACTGAGTGCAGGAAGCTCCTGCAGCCAATCGGAAGCTGTGCTTTGGTTTTCGAACAGTTCCAGGAGTCGAACGGAATGGATTAAGTTTGACAACCAAGGTACTACTGTATGTGTTTCACCACAGGCCGGTCCATCTCTGAGATACCTGGGGCCCCTCTCCTATTCCCATTTTCCAAGAAGCAAAACGAGTCTTCAGCCCACACTGCAGAATTCTTATCTTAAGAGAGAAAACCCACCTCCTTCCCTATATATGGGCTTTCCCTCATCACCCTCCACCTCAAACACACAGAAGTGAGAGGCAGGAATGGAATAGATGCTCCTCACCCCTTCCCGCTGAAGAATAAGGGACAGTGTATGAGAAGGGAGGAAACAGAAACATCTGTATTGGTTGTCAAAGCATACAAAATACAAAATGAGAAAGGCAGCTTTTGTCAGCTGAAACGAAACAACTCGAGAGATGTCAGCCTCGGAAAATGCAAATATTCAGTCAAACTCCGAAGTATAAAGCACAGCTTGACGCTCGTTACTCTTCCAGCCCACACGGTGTAACATGCAAGTTACAAGAATACCTGAATACAAATTACACCAATTGTGAGGCTTTTAGTAGGATGGGATAACAGCAGCTTTGGATTTCCTGGCACCAAAAAGCCACCGCCTTTCGGAAGGAGGAGGGAGCAACCCAGAATATAATGGGAACGAAGCTGCAGGGGCAGAGAGGGAACAAGCTGTACACAGCAGCCCACTCCTGAAGTGCGTTTCTGGCCCTGGGTTGCAGATGAGAAATCAGCTGCTTTTCAGCAAAAGGCAACAGCGCAACTGCTTCTGTTTCCCCAGGTCTTTGCTGAGGAAGATCAGAGCAGCATTGCATGTAGCAGTGCTGAATCTGGCAAGAATCTGGGCATAGCTGTAGTCGTAATAAAAAGAGATCACATCTGTGTAGCTCTTTAGAGGTTTCAAACCATGTCATGTACACTGTGACCCTTACAACAACTTTGTAAGGTGGGCCAGTATAGTATCCAAGCACCCAACTTATTTAAAGGACTATGTTGTTGGACATGTAACACTGTCAATCTAATGGAAGTATGTGAAATGTAACCAATATGTTTTTGTGCCTAATTGAACCATTACATGTAGTGCTGTATATAAGGAAACCATTACGATTGTAATTAACACCTTATCTCGGTGGGGAGGGGTGTTATGTACTGAAGTTCTCACCCTGGGCCAGCAGGGGGATACTGTAGATAGTTTTCACTCAGGTCTGCATATGCAAATAAGGAATTGAAAGTGATGTTCAGTGATTGGATAGTTACAGAAAGTTGTTACTGTTGCTTTGTAGTTGAACGCTATATAAGCAGGCTGGCTGAACCCTTCAGCCCAGTTCTGTTCTGGCCTGTGAATAAACAAGAGCTGTGTGAAGAATCGCTGTGTCATCTGATATCTTCACCCAGAACTTAACAAAATGTCTAGAGAAGAGTGGCTTGTCTAACAGCATGTGTGTGTGTGTTGACTGAAGGACTCTTTGAATCCAATACGTTACAGCAACTATCTATGTTTTGACAGAGAATCCAAATGCTGCAGTAAGCTTTGCAACATTTTGGTGTTCTCTGTCTTCGATCTTCCTGGCGGTAGGCTTCCAGTGGGGGAAATCTCAGGCCTACCTTAATAAGTCACAACCTTTGACCCTCTGATCCCAGTCACATAGCAATGAGAGGCACGAAGGGGAATGTCATTTGCACTGGAAGAATAAAGCTTCTGCAACTGAGACATGGTCAGCCGCAGCTTCTTAGTCACATACAACTCCCCCTGGGGAAAAAACACCCCAATTAATTGTTATTATTTTTAAAAAGGAATCTTATTTCTGAAATGTCAACCTGGCTCCACGGCGTGATTCACAAAGCACCTATTGTTGCTCTGGCTCTGTGCAATAAACAGGCAAATCACTAATGACTCGCAGTCTAGTTAAAAACACAGATAAAAGCCATCAGTGTGCATGGCAACCACATTAGCACATACCGAAATGGACCAGACCACAAGATTCCGTTGCTAAATGGCTTGAAGGATGTCAGCATCCATAGCCTCACAAACAGGCAGGCGTTGTGTCGTCAGAAGGCTTGGACCAGGTTCTGGTGTGCACCAGAGCCTTGTTTCCCCCACCGGAGGGAGGCGATTCCCCTAACCAGGAAAGTGGAAACTACGAGGCTATTTTGTAGGGGAGGTTGGAAGCTAAGGATCGGTCTGGGTCAGGGAGGTCTCATCAGCATGTTCAGTGCTGTGCTTGCCTTGACCTGGAACACTTGGGAACATAATGCTAATAGCCTGTCAGAAGAACGTCATGGTAGGTCCCAGTCAGGACCTGGAGAAAGGTCAACTCGTGCCCGGCCAGCTAGGTGAGTCACATCTTACTTCCCTCTGGACACAGATTCTTCTAGCTCAGAATTATCTACTCTGACTCTCCAATCAGCTCCTCAGCCCTCCTAACCTGAGATCTGTTAACTCAAGACATTGAAGGTGGAACCTGAGACCTTCAATATTCACAGCATGTTCTCTACCGCTAAGATCATGCCCTCTGCCTCTCTAAACTGAGCTAAATAAGCATCCTTCTTGCCATGGGTAGGTATCAAACGGATGCCACCATACAGATAAATACATAGAGGTCCCAGTTCAGCTTGCAAAGAAGATAGCTTTGTGTTCCGGAGATTGCAGAAGACCAAAATACCTGTGAAAACGACTGGGGTTGAGAGAGACCCATAATGATATTGAGTGCAGCTGCCCGGGGTCAACCTCCGGGCAGCTGAGTTCCAGTTCTCTAAAATGTCCTGAAATTGAATATGCATTTGGCCTAGTTTCCTTACTCATATGTGAGGAGCTTACATAAATCGTATAAGTGCAGAAGACGAGTCACTGAATCATAGCACAATCCATTCTCTTTCCAAAGCAAGAGATATTTGTTACATAAATGTACATTAAAAGTCCCTGTGTTTGTAGAACTACCAGCCTGTTCCTGCTCCCCTGAGAAAGAAGTTCATTCCAGTTTTTAAAGCGAAGTCTCTGCTTGTTCCATCCTCAGGGATTTGTCCCTGGGCAAGAGATGGTTGTAAAAACGTTGAGCTCCGTGGAGTTAATTTCTTTGGCATCTTGCGGAAGCGCTCGAGATGTCTTCACTGCTGCTCCCCGATAAAAAAAAGGAAGACACCAGAGACCTGTCCTTTGTAGTGTTGCAACCAGAGGCAAGAAGCATCAGCAACTTTCCTGCAAGTAGTCATGAATTCCCTCCAGAGACTAACTTGCCTCTGATTCTGGGCGTTCTGTCTGACCCTGATGCCTGCTTAGAAAAACAGCAAAGATGAACGTGAAATCGGAGGAGAGGCTCAGCGTCTAAAGGTTGGTGCAGAGTGGGAAATTATGGAATAGGCGCACAGAGCTCTCCGAAAGGGGGCAAACGAACTCGTAGAGCACCCTTTGCAAACCCGGTGCCCCAGGAAGCTGTTGGACTACACTTCCCATCAGCCCCAGCAAACATGTGCAGGCACCATTGGGAACACACTGCAAATTGTGCATAAACAGCTGTCTCTCCACCTGCCACTCACCCCACATCACACATGGGGGAAGCAGCTTTGGGATCCAGGATAGGCCTCATCAGGGCTATGGCCAGGAGGCTCCCCAGCCCTGGGTTAAGACTTTTGGGGGTGGGGGGGATAGGTGATTTTGGCTGGCTAAGGTCAGTGGAAGGAGATTGGCCTCTCTTCCCTCTCTGTGCATTTTCTTTTGCCTCCTTCAGCCCCAATGAAAGCATATCCAGTATACCTGAAGGAGCGTCTCCACCCCCATCACTCAGCCCAGACACTGAGGTCCAGCACCAGTGGCATTCTGGCGATTCCCTCACTGCAAAAAGCCAAGTTACAGGGAACCAGGCAGAGGGCCTTCTCAGTTGTGGCACCCGCCCTCTGGAACTCCCTCCATAGCGCTCAACTTTCCCCTTTATTTAAGGGAAATTCCCTTATTCCGAATAGGATTCCTCGCAAGAAAAGGGAAAAGTTGACAGCTATGACTCCCTCCCACCAGATGTCAACTACCAGACTTTTAGAAGACATTTGAAGGCAGCCCTGTTTAGGGAAGCTTTTAATGTTTGACGGACTACTGTATTTTAATATTTTGTTGGAAGCTACCCAGAGTGGCTGGGGAAACCCAGCCAGATGGGCGGGGTATAAATAATAAATTATTGTTATATTATTATTTCTCAGGGTTCCCTGGAAAGATGGAATGACTTGACTGCCAAGCCAGTTGACATCTACAGCACGATCTTGTCTTACGTGTGGGTTCGGTTCCAAAGGTACTGCATATACACTGAAATTGCATATATCCAAACCTTTGAAGCTGCTGCCCCCATGGCTAGCGGGTAATGTGTGGGGAGGGAAAAAAACCATACTCCCAGTGCCTGTGGCTTCTTCTTATTAATATTATTGGGTTTTATAAACAAGAATAATGTTATACAAATAAGTATACCAAGTTTTCTCATGTCATTTGTATATCACAACCATAGCATAATAAATGTGGAAAAAATATCTCCATGTTTCATTACTAGTGGTCAATGTATAAGTTCTTGGTTCATGAATTGGTTTAAACAATTAGGAAAAAGAAGGAGGAGGAGAAAAAGGGGGGAAGAGGGGGAGGAAGGAATGGCGAGTGGGGTGGGGTGGAGTGGTTATGCTTCTATTATTCTACTTAGTGTCAGTGTTACTTTTATGGGTTCTCTTACTATAATTATTAATCAATTAATTTATACATACCCCGCCTATCTGGCTGGGCTTCCCCAGCCACTCTGGGCAGCTTCCAACAAAGTATTAAAATACAGTAGTCTGTTAAACATTAAAAGCTTCCCTAAACAGGGCTGCCTTCAGATGTCGTCTAAAAGTCTGATAGTTGTTTTTCTCTTTGACATCTGGTGGGAGGGCTTTCCACAGGGCGGGTGCCACCACTGAGAAGGCCCTCTGCCTGGTTCCCTATTCACTTGTTGTATTTCCTTGGTGGTGAGAGAGGTTGAGGTGGCCTAGCGTGTGGTTGGTTGTCTTTGGTTGGCTGCAGTGAGAATTGTTTTTGTGTGTGAGCAGGGTGTGAGTATGTATTTTTGAATCAGGTTAGCCAGATTGATTTGTATGCTGTCGGCGGATTCTTGTTGCTGTCTTGTTGGGCTGTGTATGTGATAAAGGGGTAGCCATACCGGGGTGAAGGCATCTTCTTCTATTTGTCCCCATGTCAGTTTGTTGGCTAGTTTTTCTAATAGGCTGTTTCCCAGACTATTTGGTACCACTGGTCCATGCTTACTCCTGACAGGTCTCTCCAGTGTCTGGCTATGATGTTTCTGGCTGCTGAGAGTAGGTGGGTTATGAGTTCTTTGTGGTGTAAATGGGCATTATTGTCTTGGAAGATGTTTGCAGGGGCTGCCCTTGAGACTGACCCAGAAACTCCAGCGGGTGCAGAATGCTACTCCTTACGGGGTCCTTGCCACGGGATCACATTCACCCGGTGCTATACCAGCTGCCCTGGCTCCCGGTGGAGTACAGGATCAGGTTTAAGGTGCTGGTTTTAACTTTTAAAGCCCTATATGGCCTATGACCCTCGTACCTACGGGACCGCCTCTCCTGGTATGTCCCACAGAGGAACTTACGGTCTTCAAACAAAAACATCTTGGAGGTCCCAGGCCACAGAGAGGTTAGGCTGGCCACAACCAGAGCCAGGGCTTTTTCGGCTGTGGCCCCGATCTGGTGGAATGCTCTGTCACAAGAGACTAGGGCCCTGCGGGACTTGACATCTTTCTGCAGGGCCTGCAAGACAGAGCTGTTCCACCAGGCCTTTGGCCAGGGCACAGCCTGACTCCCTCCTTTGGCAGTCTTCACAGAACTCTAGCCCAATGGTTGCCATTAATTTGATTTGAATTAATTTTATAATGAAATGATTTTAGAATGTTGTATTATTTTATTGTTGTTAGCCGCCCTGAGCCCGGCTTCGGCTGGGGAGAGCGGGATATAAATAAAAAATTATTATTATTATTATTTATTATATGTGGTCTAAAATGCCCAGCCCAAGCCTTTAGGATAGGGAAGCCTGTGCCTTTAATTAGGGGCGACCCTCCACCACTTTAAGGTTCTCCAACTCTTCTGCACCACATCGGAGAACCCCATCCTTACCCAGTCGCCTCCATTTCCACTCTGATCTGCTTCCTCCGCTTTTCATCGATGGGGTAGGAGAAGAAGACTGCCATGGAGGAGAGCAGCAGGGCAATGGGAACAGGCGCCATGAGAATTTGCAGCGTCAGGATCACCTGGGGGTTATGTGTGCAGTCCGTGGCTCTGTAACCTGCAAAACTGGAAATGATGGCTTTTTTAAAAAAAAAATAGATTATTTCTTTGTTTATATGCCACTTTTTCCTCCAAGGAGCGTGGTTCCCTTCCTCCTCATTTATCCTCACAACAACAACGCTGTTACTCAAGGTCACCCAGTGAGAGCTCCATGGCCGAGTGGGGGATTCGAACCCGGGTCTCCCAGGTTAGAGTCCAGCACTCTAACCACTGCACCATGAGGGCTCTTAAGCCAGCCCTGCCTCTAGGTAGGCAAAGTAAGGCCTGGGGGCCAGATCTGGCCCAATCCGGCCCACGGATGGTCGGGGAATCAGCATGTTTTTACATGAGTAGAATGTGTCCTTTTATTTAAAATGCATCTCTGGGTTATTTGTGGGGCCTGCCTGGGGTTTTTACATGAGTAGAATGTGTGCTTATTTAAAAAATGCATCTCTGGGTTATTTGTAAAAGGTAAAGGGACCCCTGTCAATTAAGTCCAGTCATGAACGACTCTGGGGTTGCAGTGCACACCTCGCTTTAAAAGCCGAGGGAGCTGGCGTTTGTCCGCAGACAGTTTTTCCGGGTCATGTGGCCAGCATGACTAAGCCGCTTCTGGGGAACCAGAGCAGCGCATGGAAACACCGTTTACCTTCCCACCAGAGCAGTACCTATTTATCTACTTGCACTATTGATGTGCTTTCGAACTGCTAGGTTGGCAGGAGCAGGGACCGAGCAACGGGAGCTCACCCCGTCACGGGGATTTGAACTGCCGACCTTCTGATCAGCAAACCCAAGAGGCTTAGTGGTTTAGATCACAGTGCCACCCGCAGGGCATAGTAATTCGTTCATTCCCCCCCCCCCCAAAAAAAATATAGTCGGGGCCCCCACAAGGTCTGAGGGACAGCAGACCGGCCCCCTGCTGAAAATGTTTTCTGACCCCTGCTCTAGGTCATTCTCCCTTCCCAGGAAGCGAAAGGGATTTTGGGACAGCGTTTGTGGCTTAGGAGCAAGAAGGCTGGAACGAGGGAGCTTACTGCAGACTCATGGTGGAAATCCCAAGGGAGAGGCCGGCGGCGAGCTTGTTGAAGAAAACGTAGAACGAGTAGAAGAAAGCTTCCAGGTTGAGCCAGGTGGGGTTCTGCAGCTTGAAATCGTCCACTGCATCTGGAAGCATGGACCTGGGGAACAGGAGGAGATCAAGTCAAGCGGTTTGCACCTGCAAGACAGTCACCACAGCAACAATTCACCCATGAACGAGCAAATCTAAGGTTGCTTCAAGACAACTTCCCTATTAAGCATAAATCTCAATGTTTTAAGGGACACGGGTGGCGCTGTGGGTTAAACAACTGAGCCTAGGACTTGCTGATCAGAAGGTTGGCGGTTCAAATCCCCGCGACGGGGTGAGCTCCCGTTGCTCAGTCCCTGCTCCTGCCAACCTAGCAGTTCGAAAGCACATCAAACTGCAAGTAGATAAATAGGTACCACTCCGGCGGGAAGGTAAACGGCATTTCCATGTGCTGCTCTGGTTCGCCATGCTGGCCACATGACCCGGTAGCTGTCTGTGGACAAACGCCGGCTCCCTTGGCCTATAGAGTGAGATGAGCGCTGCAACCCCAGATTTGGTCACGACTGGACCGAATGGTCAGGGGTCCCTTTACCTTTACCTTTAATGTTTGATATCCAGTGATAAAAGTTTCCCCCATATCCTCTCATAGAGGTTTTTAGTAACAGATGCTGTACACACTTGGAAAACGCAGCAAGTGAAAAGATAAAAAACAACAACAGTCAGTCCCTTTTCAGCTCTGAAAAACCAGTGCATCCATTAGTTCCTTAAATAATAATTTTGGATTCTTTCTACTTACCATCTGTTATTTTCCCACAGTTTCCCCCATTATGCTTTTATAAATGATGTATGGGATTATTTGTGTTGTGTGGAATTCTCTAAGTGAAAGGGATGGCAGATCATTAGTTTCTTTAGTACTATGCCCTACTGTGAAATTATTATGGGAAGATTATATACGTCATTATAATAATATTAGCTTTACTGGCTGGAGAAGCTGCGTTTTTTGGTCCCTGCTCCTGCCAACTTAGCAGTTCGAAAGCACGTCAAAGTGCAAGTAGATAAATAGATACCGCTCCAGCGGGAAGGTAAATGGCGTTTCCGTGCGCTGCTCTGGTTCGCCAGAAGCGGCTTAGTCATGCTGGCCACATGACCCGGAAGCTGTACGCTGGCTCCCTCGGCCAATAAAGCGAGATGAGCGCTGCAACCCCAGAGTCGGCCACGACTGGACCTAATGGTCAGGGGTCCCTCTACCTTTGCCTTACTCAATGTTTTTGCACAAAGTCTGCAGGGAGGTTGCCTGTCGAGTATTCATTCTGATTCCCTCGCAAGGAATCTGCGTCAAGCAAGTGCGGTTCCCTCCATCATTTTCCTTATCTCAGAAAGTCCACCAGCAAAGTAGCAACTGTCGGTGCAAAAGGGACGAAGCCCAGGGACTCAGATTTCCCAGGCACTCGGGGACTTTACTAAGCTACATTTGCCCTGGACCTCGCAGAGCTGCTGCCAGTCCCAGTGGACAAAATTAGCCCAAAATCGAGATACAAATGTCCCCAAAGGTTCTGACAACCCTCAAGTTGGGGGCACGATTTGCCCTGGGAGCGGTAAGGGTGCTAGAGGAACAAGGTGGGCTCTTAGGAGCTTTGCTGGAGCTAATAATTTGCTTTGACCCACTGGAAGGGCCTTGATCATCTAGAGAGAATAATTGGGTGCACTCTTCCCACCTTGGATCAAATCTATGCTTCCAGGTGCCATAAGAAAGCTGCAGAGATAGCGCAGGATAGTGCGCACCCCGGAAATGATCTCTTTCAGCTTCTGCCTTCTGGAAGAAGGTACAGGGTTATAAAGACTAGGACTAGCCGCCTGAGAAACAGTTTCTATCCAAATGCGATTTTGGTTTTAAACGCAGTGTAAGGTAGTCTCTGTGGGAGTAAAGTAAAGGTAAAGGGACCCCTGACCGTTAGGTCCAGTCATGACCAACTCTGGGGTTGCAGCGCTCATCTCACTTTATTGGCCGAGGGAGCTGGTGCACAGCTTCCGGGTCATGTGGCCAGCATGACTAAGCCGCTTCTGGCAAACCAGAGCAGCACACGGAAACGCCATTTACCTTCCTGCCGGAGCAGTACCTATTTATCTACTTGCACTTTGACGTGCTTTCGAACTGCTAGGTTGGCAGGAGCAGGGACCGAGGAACGGGAGCTCACCCCATCACGGGGATTCGAACTGCCGACCTTCTGATCAGCAAGTCCTAGCCTCTGCGGTTTAACCCACTGTGCCACCCGTATATTGTATTTAATTAGGGGGTATCAGAGTTTTTAGGGGGTTAACCAGGCTGGGATAGCAGGCTTGTTGGTTTTGGAATGTCTGTTGTAGATTTCTTCAATTTCATTGTTCTGCATGGGACAATGACAATAAAGATTATCGTATCATCGTATCGAAAGACAGATGAGATTGAGGGGCAAGGCCGGCTCATCCATTAGCCTCAGTGAGGCAGTCACCTCAGGCAGAAGGCTGGGGAAAGCTGGGAGGGAAGGCAGATCTGGTTCACGAGGAGCGGGCCCCTTGCCACCTTCTGTGCCTGCTGCCTGATGCCATTGCCACCCCCAGCCTCCCATTTTCTCTCCCACTGCCTTCAGAGTATCGGGACTTCCCTGGGCCACCTCCAGCCACCTCATTTTGTTTTGCCTCAAGCGGCAAAATCTCTTGGGCTGGTCATATCAAGGGGCAAGTAGGAATTACAACAGAAAACTCCAAAGGGAAAAACTTGCTGGAGCAAACACAGCAGCAGACCCTGTTATAAATCTCTCTCATGCTTGGTTTTCTCACACCCATGTGCCTAGCGCTGCATTTTATGAACCAAGTGCCTCTGAGAGTTCCCGGAGTGCCGAAATGCTGGAAAGCATAGCACGGGATTTCAGGAAGCTTCCGTCCGGATGTGGTACACCCTCCCCAGACGAGCCCGCTATTGTTCGGGACTTCCCTTCCGCTCACCATGGCAACAAGTAGAGGACGGCGAGGCTGCTTCCTGCCAGGGCGACCATGAAGACGTAGACCAGGAAGTTGTGGGTCACGACCGTGATAACAATGAGAGACGGGATGATCAGCTGCAGCAGACAAGGTGAGCAGGAGGAGGAGAGGAAAGAAAAAGAGGAAAAAGAGCCACCTCATCGACAACTAGGAGCCAGGATTGGCTACCTGATCTACCTACGCTGCCAGAGATGGGATACACCTAAATGCAGTTTGTGGGAAATCACAAGTAGGGAGAGCTGCTCTCGCACTCAGGCTTGCGGGATTCCTATGGGGGTCTTGTCACAGAAGCATGCCAGTCCGTAATCACGCAGTTCAAAGATGGGGTGAACTCTTTATTTGCAAAAATTTGACCTCCACACACTTGGTGGGATGTCAGGCCTAAAGAACACACAGCTCGTTCCTGCTGGTCTTCCTCCATCAGCTGTCAAGACGGAAAGCCCTCACTTCCTCACAGCCATCTACCGTATTTTTCGCTCTATAGGACGCACTTTTTCCCCTCCAAAAATTAAGGCGAAATGTGTGTGCGTCCTATAGAGCGAACGCAGGCTGTGCGGCTAAGCCCAAAGCCAACACAGGGAGATGGAGCGCTGTGCAGTGCTCCGTCTCGCTGTTCTAGCTTGAGGATGGCTGCGCAAAGCCTCCGCAGGGCAGTGGGGTGAAGGCACCCCGCTGCTCTGCAGAGGCTTCAAAGGCTGCGCTCTAGGGGCTTCAGGCAGCTATCCGCAAGCCTTCGGAGCGCAGCAGGAGTTCCACAGCCTGATCTACAGCTTTACTTGTAGGTCTCATTTGTTACCCCTCTGGAATTTGGCATATATATTTTTCCAACCTATCCCCGATGGTTTTCTATAGCCAGTTGGCTCTTAACATTATATTAGGCGATATACAGTGTTTAAGGCTCACCTCTGCAGTCACAGTGCAGTCTTGGACCAATATCTCTCTTTTGGAAATGTGTAATCTCACTGACTCACTCTCTCTCTCTTTTTCAAAGCACATCATAGATGTGTCAGGTGCTTTTTGCTGACATAGTACTTTTAAGTACTTAGTACTTTTAATCTGCAGGGTAGAAAAATTTCAGAGGTGCTCCAATCCTGCTTTCTCCTGGCACAATGCCTGGTGGAGAAAAGGGCATTATCCAAGGTGTTTTCCTCCACATCACAGGTTTGTTACATTACTGGTAAATTTATTTGGCTTGTTAGTCACTTATAGAAAAGTGTAAAAGGTGTGTGTGGGGGGGGAGTCTCTGAGCAACTTTTAAAAAGAGAGCATAAAGTATATCATAAAAACAGATAATAAACTGCAGGAAAACTATTATGAAACAGACCCAGCAACAGCGGAAAACTTCAGCGGCAGGAAACATCTTATCAACAAACAACAGAACAGTTGACTTAATCCAGGGGTAGGCAACCTAAGGCCCAGGCCGGATCCAGCCCAATCGCCTTCTCAATCTGGCCCGTGGACAGTCCAGGGATTCAGCGTGTTTTTTACATGAGTAGAATGTGTCCTTTCATTTAAAATGCATCTCTGGGTTATTTGTGGGGCCTGCCTGGTGTTTTTACATGAGCAAAATGTGTGCTTTTATTTAAAATGCATCTCTGGGTTATTTATGGGGCATAAGAATTCATTCATCCCCCCCCCCAAAAAAAAATATGGTCTGAGGGACAGTGGGCCGGCCCCTTGCTGATAAAGTTTGCTGACCCCTGACTTAATCTGTCCAGTGCCTTCTTGGTGGTGGCACCCGCCCTGTGGAACGCCCTCCCACCAGATGTCAAAGAGAAAAACAACTACCAGACTTTTAGAAGACATCTGAAGGCAGCCCTGTTTTGGGAAGCTTTTAATGTTTAACAAACTACTGTATTTTAATTCTTTGTCGGAAGCCGCCCAGAGTGGCTGGGGAAACCCAGCCAGATTTGTGGGGTATAAATAATAAATGATTATGATTATGATTATGATTATGATTATTAAAGATGTCAATGACAGCGCCAGGCAGGCTCCCCTGGGGAGAGCATGCCACGAGCAGGAAACTATGGCTAAAACGGCCCCTTTTCCTTGTCACCACCCTCTGCAAATGCAACTGAAAAAGGCAAAATGTAGACAAGTCATCAAGAACAGGTCTTGTGAAGGACACTCACTGAGAGGCCTATGAAGACAGCCACCTTCTTCCCAAACCTTACCAGGAACCACTGCCAGACAGGGATGGAGAGGCAGGCGACCACCTGGAGGCAAAAAGGGGAGAGGAAACTCATCACCTGGTATGACCCAGAGCTCTTTGACACAACAAAAAAGGAATGGCAAGACAAACTGTTAGAGTATATTGAACTGGCTAGATTAACAGGGGCAGTTAGAGATCACACTAGACAAGAGTTTCAAAAAGCATGGGGGAAATGCAGAGAATACCGTATTTTTCGCTCTATAAGACGCACCAGACCACAAGACGCACCCAGTTTTTGGAGGAGCAAAACAAGAAAAAAAATATTCTGAATCTCAGAAACCAGAACAGCAAGAGGGATCACTGTGCAGTGAAAGCAGCAATCCCTCTTGCTGTTCTGGCTTCTGGGATAGCTGCACAGCCTGCATTTGCTCCATAAGGCGCACACACATTTCCCCTTACTTTTTAGGAGGGAAAAAGTGAGTCTTATAGAGCAAAAAATACGGTACTTCACAAAACACTGCCCTAAAATACATACCCGAACTTGTCTCGATTAATGCCTGCAGGATAATTTGTGGATATTTAAGTTACAATTAGAAAAATCTTAATAATTATTCAGCTTATAAGACGTAAATGAGGAGGGCAGATACAGGATAAAGGAAGTCTTTTATTTGGTTGTTTGTATTGTTGTATGTTATGCTTATTGTATGTTCTGGTTTAATGAGGGTGGATTTCTGTACTGGGGGGTTTATGTTATGTTGTAAATAAAATTTCTAATAAAAATTAAGAAAATTCAGAAATTCAGAGCTCTTTGGCACAAGGCTGTATTTATCTTACTTGGATAGTCTTATTCGGCTTTCTAAGGAAGATTAATCGCAGCAGATGAATGAGCAACCCACCTCAGGGCTCCGCCTGGTGACCTGTTCCTTAAGCATCCTTCCTGATTTGCTCCCACAAAGCTCAGGCGGAAGTCAGACTTACGCACAATTCCAGACTGTCTGTGATGGCCTGGGATTCGGACTCGCATGCTGAACCTGAGGGATCCCAGCCTGCACAGGATCCCCCACCTCCAGAACCAGCTGAGCTGGGGCATGAGCCTGAAGAGTCCTCACCTGTGCTGGGTCCTCAGGTGCAGGCACCAGCTGAGTCTGCTCTGGCTCCTGAGGTGATGGAGGACCCATTGCCTGCAGGTGCTCCACTCTCAGCCCCGTCAGGGGAAGAGGAGGTTGCCTCTGGGTCCGGGAACCCTCCAGCCTCTTCTGGGCTGCAGAGGCCCAGGGCAGAGAGGCAGAGGGAACTAAGTTCCCGCAGGAGGAGTGCTCGCCTCCAGGCCACGAGAGGCGAGTCACCAGAGGATCGGGGCCGCCCTATGCCTCAGGGTAGATAAAAGCCAGCCAGCCTCAGTCCCAAGTTGCGGGAGCAACATTGTTGGTTGCTAGTTCCTGCCTGAACCCTGTCCTGCTTTCCTGCCTGAGCTCCTGACCTGCCCTGGCTCCCTGCTTGCAAGCCTGTTCCTGACTTCTCCCGGCTTCCTGCCCTGCACCCAGCTTCAGCTACTAGGGACTGCCTCCACGTTGCACCTTTGACTACGGACCGGCCTTGGACCTCGCCTCTTGGGGAACCCACGGGATCAGCACACTGTCCCTATTTTGGGGTGGGATTCAGCCGTATCCCAGCAAATTCAGGCTGTGCAAGGAAAGCTGGTTTGGAGCTTTTGCACAGCAAACCTGCTTCCCCCACAAAATAAATTCCCCCACAAAAAATTTTTTTGCAGTAAGGAAAGTGTTATGTACTGAGTTGAATAGGATCCTAAATGCAGCAGTATAATTGGTCTGCAGGAGCCACCCAATCCAGCTCCAGGTGGAAGTGAATCCACAACCTGATTGGCCTACAGGAGAATCCCGGAATTAGCCAATCACGTGCAGCCCATTGTGTAAATAATGTATATAAAGCATCATTGACTATGCAAAAGCCTTTGACTGTGTTGACCACAGCAAACTACGGCAAGTTCTTAAAGAAATGGGAGTGCCTAATCACCTCATCTGTCTCCTGAGAAATCTCTATGTGGTACAAGAAGCTACAGTTAGAACTGGATATGGAACAACTGACTGGTTCAAAATTGGGAAAGGTGTACGGCAAGGCTGTATATAGTCTCCCTGCTTATGAATCCCAAGCCGGAATTAAGATCGCCGGAAGAAATATCAACAACCTCAGATATGCACATGACACAACCTTGATGGCAGAAAGTGAGGAGGAATTAAAGAACCTTTTAATGAGGGTGAAAGAGGAGAGCGCAAAATATGGTCTGAAGCTCAACATCAAAAAAACAAAGATCGTGGCCACTGGTCCCATCACCTCCTGGCAAACAGAAGGGGAAGAAATAGAGGCAGTGAGAGATTTTACTTTCTTGGGCTCCATGATCACTGCAGATGGTGACAGCAGTCACAAAATTAAAAGACGCCTGCTCCTTGGGAGAAAAGCAATGACAAACTAAGACAGCATCCTAAAAAGTAGAGACATCACCTTGCCAACAAAGGTCCGTATAGTTAAAGCCATGGTTTTCCCGGTAGTGATGTATGGAAGTGAGAGCTGGACCATAAAGAAGGCTGATCGCCGAAGAATGGATGCTTTTGAATTATGGTGCTGGAGGAGACTCTTGAGAGTCCCATGGACTGCAAGAAGATCAAACCTCATCCATTCTTAAGGAAATCAGCCCTGAGTGCTCACTGGAAGGACAGATCGTGAAGCTGAGGCTCCAATACTTTGGCCACCTCATGAGAAGAGAAGACTCCCTGGAAAAGACCCTGATGTTGGGAAAGATTGAGGGCACAAGGAGAAGGGGACGACAGAGGATGAGATGGTTGGACCAAACTGCGGGAAGCAGTGGAAGACAGGAGTGCCTTGCATGCTCTGGTCCATGGGGTCACGAAGAGTCGGACACGACTAAACGACTAAACAACAACAAAGCAGATATTGTGGGGGAACTTCCATTCCTCCTCACCACTATGAGCTGAATAAAGAGCATGAAATCCACTCTTGACTCTGAGTATATTTCAGAAAGTGATGGGGAAATGTATTGGAACATAGGAGCCAACTCCTAGGGGCTGAGGGGGCTTTGCCCCCTCATAAAATATTTGAAGGGCCACCTCCACCTCTCCCCCCCCAGCTGATGGGCATTGCCATTCAAATAGTGTGTGTGTACCACGTCATGTGATTGATGATGCAGGGTGGGGCTTACCTGCTCTCTCCCCAATATTTTATTCGAGTTGGCACCCCAGTTCTGGAAAGTGTGGGACGACACTCGCTTGATGCAATGTCCTCTAATGTCCCCCACAAAGAAATCAGGATAGATATTCATTAAATAAAAGGTAAAAGGACCCCTGACCATCAGGTCCAGTTGTGGCTGACTCTGGGGTTGCGGTGCTCATCTCGCTTTACTGGCCAAGGGAGCCAGCGTACAGCTTCCGGGTCATGTGGCCAGCATGACTAAGCCGCTTCTGGCGAACCAGAGCAACGCACGGAAACGCCGTTTACCTTCCCGCCGGAGTGGTACCTATTGATCTACTTGCACTTTGATGTGCTTTCAAACTGCTAGGTTGGCAGGAGCAGGGACCGAGCAACGGGAGCTCACCCTGTTGTGGGGATTCGAACCGCGACCTTCTGATCGGCAAGTCCTAGGCTCTGTGGTTTAACCCACAGCGCCACCCATGTCCCATATATAAAATCTATATAAAATATAGATTTGATATAATATGCAGTTGAAAACATTGACATTAGGAGCCATGGAGGGGATGGGCAGAGGTCTCGAGATTCAGAGAAATCTCTCTATAGTGGTACCTCGGTTGTGGAATGTAACCCAATCTGGAAGACCATTCGACTTCCGAAACATTTGACAACCGTGGCGCAAAGGGCAGTATGCAAAGTCAATGCAGAAAATGTGGAAAAAACACAGCAGAAGCCGTTCAACTTCCGAGGCGCGTTCGAAAACATAAGCATTTACTTCCGCTTTTTCAGCGTTCAAAAACCAAAATGTTCGGTTTCCGAGATGCTCGTAAACCAGGGTACCACTGTATATGGAAATGTATTTGGTTTTGTTATAAATTTATATTTGAAAAATCAAATAAAAACGATTTTAAAAAAAGGTCAGGCAATACATACCAACATGATGAGCACCAGATGCTGGAAGCTGCCAGGCAGTCCAGCTGCGTGAGTGCAGAAGAAGGCAAAGATTCCCTGGGCAAGCTGTGGGTGGAAACGGAACAGCCTCAGCGAGCACTCGGGCGCTGAACGGGCAAGTGTGGCATGCCACTCCCTGCTAAACCATTGCTTCCATTTTTATCCTCTGTTTTCAGAATGAAAATCAGTGGTGGGGAAACACCACCTTGCCAGGTTCTTTTGGTCAAGCCACACTCACCTGCCCTTACCTGGGGCAGGTAAAGATACACCTGGGTTGAAAGTGCGTTTTGCACATGCTGCCAATCAGTGAACAGGGTCGAAAGGAGCAAAGGACTTTCCCATCCCTTGCTATGGATCCCGTTAACTGGAGATGCCAGGGATTGAACCTTCGGCAAGCCAAGCAGGTGCTCTACGGGACCGCCTCTCCTGGTCTGCCCCGCAGAGGACCTTAAGGTCCATAGTTTAGAGGTCCTGGGCCCTACAAAAGTTAGATTATCCTCCACCAGGGACAGGGCCTTCTCAGTGGTGGCTCCGACCTGGTGGAATGCTCTGTCCCATGACACCAGGGCCCTGCAGTATTTAACCTCCTTCTGCAGGGCCCGTAAGACAGAGCTATTCCGCCTGGCTTTCAATTTGAACTTAGCCTGATCTTTTATTCCCCTTCCTTCCCTCTCTCTCCCCTTTTTATGAAGATTACCTGCTCTGGGATCCCACAGTTAATTCTCCCCTGGTCTCCTCACTGGCCCAAATAGGACTAATTTAGCCAGCTAGCCCCGGTGATCATCTAATGTTTATTTGATGGATTTCCCCCTAAATTGATTTTTGAATTCTGAATTTATCGTTATTCACGTTTTATACTGTATTTTATGCTGTTTTTTGTTACATCAATTACGTGTTTTAAATTTGTTGTTAGCTGCCCTGAGCCCGGTTTTCTGAACCGGGAAGGGCGGAGTATAAATAAAAAATTATTATTTATTATTATTACTGCTGAGCTATGGCCTGTCCGGCAAATTCAGTGTAGCGCTGAGCAATTGTGTCCCGCTTCCGCCCCAGGAAAGCCCTGTTACCCAGCCATGGTAGGGCCTGCTGTTACCTGGAAGGCCAGCGATGCCAGCAAGAAACCTGCAAGGAGCCGGGTGTAGGAGCTGTGGCTTAGGACGGCCCGCAGACTGGCAAAGAATGGGAGTCTGGTCTTCCCCAAAGGGGTGTATCGTCCTGGCAAAAAAGAAAAAGAAAGAGGGAAGAAAGGAACAGTAACATGGATTTATTTCTGCCATTTCTGAATTGCCTTTCTACACCAGAATGCCCAAGGCGTATGCCCAACGTATGGTGTAATAGAAGGGGAGCAGGCTAGCATTAACTTCCTTTAAGCTTTCCTTTGGCAAACCAAGTTGATGGACTATGCCAAAACGGCAAAATTAACTGGGAAGCTCAGAAACCAAGAGGGCAAGAACTTTTTTAAAAAAAGAAAGGGAAAAGTTTATAATTTACTTACAAGACCATTGTAAGCAAGTTAAAACATTAGCAGGATTTGTGATGTAGTAGAAAGAATGGATAATTTGGAAGGACAAAAATTTGGACATATTGATGTTGTTGTTGTTTAGTCATTTAGTCGTGTCCGACTCTTCGTGACCCCATGGACCAGAGCACGCCAGGCACTCCTGTCTTCCACTGCCTCCCGCAGTTTGGTCAAACTCATGTTTGTAGCTTCGAGAACACTGTCCAACCATCTCGTCCTCTGTCATCCCCTTCTCCTTGTGCCCTCCATCTTTCCCAACATCAGGGTCTTTTCCAGAGAGTCTTCTCTTCTCATGAGGTGGCCAAAGTCTTGGAGCCTCAGCTTCAGGATCTGTCCTTCCAGCGAGCACTCAGGGCTGGTATCCTTCAGAATGGAGAGGTTTGATCTTCTTGCAGTCCATGGGACTCTCAAGTGTCTCCTCCAGCACCAGAATTCAAAAGCAACAACAACTAAACAACAACGCATTTCTTTCTTCGCAGGGTGTTTCCAGACAGGATCTTAATATTGCAAGCAGGCAATTCAGAAGATGCAAATGGGTCATTGGCAACAGCAATGTATGGGTGTGTTTTAACTTTTTCAGAAGGGAAGATGGGTCTTTTTTGGACTTTGCAAAGAATCTTGCATGCATAAGCCGCAGCCATCCCACCATAAGCATCTGTCTGGATGTACCCTGGATCTTGTGACCAGACCCAGGGCTGAACCTTCAAGAAAAGTCACAGTGAGCGCCAAAAATATGAAATAGTTATACGTTTACCTGGCTGCTCTTTCACTCCCAAGAAGAGGACCAAACAGGAAAGGAAATAAAGAGAGCCAAGAACCAGGGAGGCAACAACATACGCCGTGCGCTGAAAGGGAAACAGAGAAAACCATTTACTGGCCAAGTGCAAAATCACAACCAGTCAAAATCTGATGGCTTGTTCTCTGGTGCAATGCATGCATATTCCACTCAGAGTAAACCCACTGAGTGGATTAGCCATGTAAAGGTTCGTTTAGGGAAGTTTTTAATGTTTAATGTTCTGTTGTGCTTTTAATTCTGTTGGGAGCCGCCCAGAGTAGTATGGGAATATTAAAGATTGTAGGAAAGGATACAGTGGTACCTCGGTTTAAGAACAGCCCTGTTTACGAACTATTTGGTTTACAAACTCCGCAAAACTGGAAGTAGTGTCCTGGTTTGAAAACTTTACCTCTGTTCGTAAACCGAAGTACCACTGTATATTGAATAAGTATTAGCCTTCCCTCACTCACGCTAGTAAGTGATGTAGCAGAGAAGATTCCCCTCAATATAGTAGAAGCTAGTTTGCAGGTTTCGTTTATTCCTGGTGTCCCCTTTTGATCCCGCTTAAAAAGACACAGGTGGCGCTGTGGGTAAAACCTCAGTGCCTAGGACTTGCCGGGACGCGGGTGGCGCTGTGGGTAAAGCCTCAGCGCCTAGGACTTGCCGGGACGCGGGTGGCGCTGTGGGTAAAACCTCAGTGCCTAGGACTTGCCGGGACGCGGGTGGCGCTGTGGGTAAAGCCTCAGCGCCTAGGACTTGCCGGGACACGGGTGGCACTGTGGGTAAAACCTCAGTGCCTAGGACTTGCCGATCGTAAGGTCGGCAGTTCGAATCCCCGCGGCGGGGTGAGCTCCCGTCGTGCGGTCCCAGCTCCTGCCCACCTAGCAGTTCGAAAGCACCCTTAAGTGCAAGTAGATAAATAGGTACCGCTTTATAGCGGGAAGGTAAACGGTGTTTCCGTGTGCTGCTCTGGTGCCGGTTCTCCAGAGCAGCTTCGTCACGCTGGCCACGTGACCCGGAAGTGTCTCCGGACAGCGCTGGCTCCCGGCCTCTAGAGTGAGATGAGCGCACAACCCTAGAGTCTGTCAAGACTGGCCCGTACGGGCAGGGGTACCTTTACCTTTACCTAAAAAGACACAAGAGTCTTTCTGAGCAAAGTAACAAAAGGTTTATTCACATTTCAGTTCGCAATATGATTCCCGGAAGGCAGGCTTTTCTTAATAGTTATACAAGAATCTGCGAGTTCATCTCATAGGGAGACTGAACTCATGTGCTGCTGGCTGAGAGCCAGCAGAGAGCAAAATTGCATTGAGGCAACAAAATGGCGGCAGAAGAGCAGCATGGCACCAAAAGAACAGCAACAAGACAGTATGGAGAAGACAGACGAACTGAGAACATGGCTTCGTGACTTGGCTCTTTTGTGGAGTCAGCCAGAGCCATGCTCATCTCCCAGGTCACATGCAGCCTGGAGAAGAGGAGGTTAAGGGGTGATATGATAGCCATGTTCAAATATATAAAAGGATGTCACATAGAGGAGGGAGAAAGGTTGTTTTCTGCTGCTCCAGAGAAGCGGACACGGAGCAATGGATCCAAACTACAAGAAAGAAGATTCCACCTAAACATTAGGAAGAACTTCCTGACAGTAAGAGCTGTTCGACAGTGGAATTTGCTGCCAAGGAGTGTGGTGGAGTCTCCTTCTTTGGAGGTCTTTAAGCAGAGGCTTGACAACCATATGTCAGGAGTGCTCTGATGGTGTTTCCTGCTTGGCAGGGGTTTGGACTCGATGGCCCTTGTGGTCTCTTCCAACTCTATGATTCTATGATTCTATGCAGGGAGAGGAAGCTCCAGACCAGTCTAAGAGGAAGTTACCCTGACTGGATGCCCCCCTGCCTGTGCCCACTCTAGGGAAATAAGGAATGCTGCATCTGATTGCACCAATGGATTACATCCCACAAGTGGCTGGGGAAACCCAGCCAGGTGGGCGGGATATAAATAATGAATTATTATTATTATTACTACTACTACTCCTGCCAACCTAGGATTTTGCACTGTGGAAACTCCCTGCTGTTTGAATATAGGGCTGGATGCAGGCCAGATTAGAGAGTTGTAGAGAAACTGCAGAGGGACGTGAGTGGCGCTGTGGGTTAAACCACAGAGCCTAGGGCTTGCCGATCAGAAGGTCGGCGGTTCGAATCCCCGTGACAGGGTGAGCGCCCGTTGCTCGGTCCCTGCTCCTGCCAACCTAGCAGTTTGAAAACACGTCAAAGTGCAAGTAGATAAACAGGTGCCACTCCGGCGGGAAGGTAAACGGTGTTTACCTGCGCTGCTCTGGTTTGCCAGAAGCGGCTTAGTCATGCTGGCCACATGACCCGGAAGCTGTACGCCGGCTCCCTCGGCCAGTAAAGCGAGATGAGAGCCGCAACCCCAGAGTCGGCCGCGACTGGACCTAATGGTCAGGGGTCCCTTTACCTTTTACTACTACAGTGGACACTTGCATTGCAAATGTGATCTGTGTGGGAAGCGCGTGTGCACGCGCAAGTTGCAATTTGGCGCGACCATCAAAACCCGGAAGTAACCTGTTCTGGTACTTCCGGGTTTCGGCACGTCTGTAACCAAAAAAAACGCAACCTGAAGCATCTGTAACCCAAGGTATGACTGTAATACTATTATTAATGGAGCTAATCTGAATAGGGATGGCAGCATTGGGGAATGGAGCCTCCTCAAGGAAGGTTACGCTTGCTAGAACCCTGAACAGGAGCAGCTCTGTTAGGCTGGGGCATGCTGCAACATTTTGTTGCAGCTCTCGCTTGTTCCATGCGGCTCCCAGTCCCATTTCAGCTCCCATATGGCTGGTTGCCTACAGCCCAAGTCTTACCGCATTCTCCAGCACGTCCGGGAGCAGAGAGGTGTAGTTTTCTGCCAGGGTGCCATTCGCCACGTCGCACCTCTTCCTCATGCTGGCATGGTGACTCCCGACGATTTGCCCCTGGATACCCGACCCCACCAGGGTGCTCAGCATCTCCACTCCCATCCCTGCCGAAAGCCGTGGAAAAGTGGGAGAGGCGTGAGCGGAAAGGAGTCGCAGCACAGCTCTAAACCAGGGTAGGGGGCGGCCCCCAAGGCTCTTCTATCCGGCCCTCAGGACTCCGCCCAGGCCACACACCCTTCCCCTAGGCCAGACCCCTCACCATCCCCATCTCACGCCCTCCTTGAGTGATATTTGCCTGGCCAGAAGGGGCCTGGATGGAGATTGGAGTGGCGCCTGCAGAAGTTTCTACAACTCTGGATTTTGCATGGCTGGAACCTAGCCTATGGTTACCAGACGTCCCCGTTTCCCGGGGACAGTCCCTGGATTTACAAATCTGTCCCCGGACAAAATCCGTCCCCGGATTTCATTTAAAGTCGCCAGATTTATATTTTAAGTGTTGTAGATTTATTATGAGGGAACGAAGTTTTAAGTCTTAAGTTAACCATATTTGCACATCAGTTTCTAATGTTGTGAGTGTCCTCTATTTCAGAGGCTTCTACTCTGCAGCCTCCTATAGTAGTTTTACCTGCGAGTCTTTTAGTTCTTATGCTCTTACAGTACTTTTAACTGCGTGTTTTTGTTTGTTTTTAGTTCTTAACTGTTTTAATTATCAGTTTTTATCCATCCATTATCCGTGTTTAATCTTGTATTTTATTCAGATGTTTTATCGTATGCTTGTTTCTTTGTCCTTATTTGCTCTAACAATTATCTGTTAAAAAAATCCCAGCTGCTATTTTATTTATATGTTTTTTTATCCTGGTCTGTGACCGTATTGAAGTTCATTCAGGAGGGAATGAATGTTGCGTGATTGGTTCAACGGCACAAGACACATCATATGAGGACTTCCGGCGAGGCAAAATGGCAGGCGCCACAGCAGCGAGCAGCTCCTGAAGCCAGCCAGAGCCAACTGCGCTACCAGGCTGGCTCCGGGCTGCTGAAACTGTTGCTGCCACTGCCAAGGGGGAACTGGGGACACCCAGCGCGTCAACTGGGGAAACCACTGAACACGCCCCCCCCCGGCGACCCAAATTGAGCTGGGAGCGAGAGTGCCTGGCCACTTAGCCGACTGCCCAGCGGTGCAGCGGAGGAGAGGAGAAGGAGAAGGAAGAGAGAGAAAGAGGAAGGAGAAAAAAGAGGGCATCCCCAACTTTGCCGCACTGGTGCTCCCGTTGAGGAGAGGTAGGAGAGCACCGGGAGGGCAAGGACACGTGGCTGAGCCCAGGTCCGACCTGAGCCTACTCCACGGCAGCTAGCGCTCCAAGAGAGCAGGCCGGAGCCCAGAAGAAGGCCACGCAACAGAGGAGACCACAGAAGAGAAGATATTACTTCTTTTCTAAAAAAAAAAACACAAAAAATTTTAATAACTTTTTTTCTCTTTTTTTTAAAAAAAGTGTCCTCTTTGGAAGAAATCTGGTAACCTTAACCTAGCCTGCTTTACACAAGGTGACGTCACATCTGTGACTCCACCCACTTTTCCCTCCGGCCCCTCCCAGCACGGCTACGTGGCCCCTGGAAAGTTGCCCAGAAGCAAAAGTGGACCTCATGTTGGAAGAGGTTCCCTACCCCTGGGTTTAACCAATAAACAGTAGGCGTTGGTGGCTCCAGCTGTTATCTTGGTAGCAGGATGATCGTGCCAACTACTGGGCTCCACAAATATTCATGATTTCATCCAAAGTGGCATAAAACACAAGGGAAGAGTCCCATGGACAGATAGTATGAAGGACCATCCTTAGAAAGGATGTGGACAAGCTGGAAGGTGTGCAGAGGAGGGTGAGCAAGATGATCAAAGGTCTGGGAACCAAGCCTGATGAGGAACGGCTGAAGGAGCTGGGCATGTTTAGCATGGAAAAGAGGAGACTGAGATGAGATATGAGAGCCAGCTTCAAAAATCTGAAGGGCCGTCACATGGAACAAGCTTGAGGTCCAGCGCCGAGGGCCTTCTGGCGGTTCCCTCGCTGCGAGAAGTGAGGTTACAGGGAACCAGGCAGAGGGCCTTCTTGGTGGTGGCACCCGCCCTGTGGAACACCCTCCCACCAGATGTCAAGGAGAACAACAACTACCAGACTTTTAGAAGACATCTGAAGGCAGCCCTGTTTAGGGAAGCTTTTAATGTTTAATAGACTATTGTGTTTTAATATTCTGTTGGAAGCTGCCCAGAGTGGCTGGAGAAACCAAGCCAGATGGGTGGGGTATAAATAAATTATTATTATTATTATTATTATTATTATTATTGCTCTGGATGGTAGGACTAGAACCCATGGCTTCAAGTTACAAGGAAGGAGGTTCCGACGAAACATCAGGAAGAACTTTCTGATGGCAAGAGCTGTTTGACAGTGAAACAGTCTCCCTTGGAAGGTGGTGAATTCTCCTTCCTTTGAGGTTTTTAAGCAGAGGTTGAGTGGCCGTCTGCCATGGATGCTTTAGCTGAGATTCCTACATTGCAGGGGGCTGGACTAGATGACCCTCAGGCCCCTTCCCACTCTTAAGTTTCTATGATTCTATGAAATACCCTTACACAGAAAAGTTCCCTCTCTGTAATGTCCCCGTTAATTAATCGGTGTAATCTCCACTTTGTTACTGTCACACCAGGCCTCAGGCAACGACACCAGGGCAAGACAAATGAACTGATGGGGTAGCTCAGTCGGCAGAGTGTGAGACTCTTAATCTCAGGGTTGGGTGTTCGAGTCCCACGCTGGGCAAAAGATCCCTACATTGCAGAGGGTTGGGCTAGACTGAGCATGGGTAGGCAAACTAAGGCCCGGGGGCCGGATCCGGCCCAATCGCCTTCTCAGTCCGGCCCATGGACGGTCCGGGAATCAGCATGTTTTTACAGGAGTAGAATGTGTCCTTTTATTTAAAATGCATCTCTTGGTTATTTGTGTGGCATAGGAATTTGTTCATTATTATTTTTCAAAATATAGTCCGGCCCCCAATAAGGTCTGAGGGACAGTGGACCGGCCCCCTGCTGGAAAAGTTTGCTGACCCCTGTCTCTATCATGGGTAGGCAAACTAAGGCCCAGGGTCCAGATCCGGCCCAGTAGCCTTCTAAATCTGGCCCGTGGACGGTCCGGGAATCAGCATGTTTTTACATGAGTAGAATGTGTGCTTTTATTTAAAATGCATCTCTGGGTTATTTGTGGGGCATAGGAATTCGTTCATTCCCCCCCAAAAAAATAGTCCGGCCCCCAACAAGGTCTGAGGGACAGTGGACAGGCCCCTGCTGAAAAAGATTGCTGACCCCTAGGCTGGAGGGTCCTTGTCCCTTCCAACTCCGATTCTATTATTTTTTCCAGACTAGGAAGTCCCTGTAGAGCAGGCATCCCCAAACTCGCCCCTCCAGATGTTTTGGGACTACAGTTTCCATCATCCCTGAGCACTGGTCCTGTTAGAATCATAGAATCATAGAGTTGGAAGAGACCACAAGGGCCATCGAGTCCAAACCCCTGCCAAGCAGGAAACACCATCAGAGCACTCCTGACATATGGTTGTCAAGCCTCTGCTTAAAGACCTCCAAAGAAGGAGACTCCACCACACTCCTTGGCAGCAAATTCCACTGTCGAACAGCTCTTACTGTCAGGAAGTTCTTCCTAATGTTTAGGTGGAATCTTCTTTCTTGTAGTTTGGATCCATTGCTCCGTGTCCGCTTCTCTGGAGCAGCAGAAAACAACCTTTCTCCCTCCCTCCCTCCCATGTGACATCCTTTTATATATTTGAACATGGCTATCATATCACCCCTTAACCTCCTCTTCTCCAGGCTAAACATGCCCAGCTCCCTTAGCCGTTCCTCATAAGGCATCGTTTCCAGGCCTTTGACCATTTTGGTTGCCCTCCTCTGGACACGTTCCAGTTTGTCAGTGTCCTTCTTGAACTGTGGTGCCCAGAACTGGACACAGTACTCCAGGTGAGGTCTGACCAGAGCAGAGTTAGCTAGGGATGATGGGAGTTGTAGTGCCAAAACATCTGGAGGGCTGGGTTTGGGGATGCCTGCTGTAGAGATTCACCGTCTCAGAAAACAAGGAAGGCAGGAGCTGCATTTCCAGATCAATGGCGATGTCTGCCAAGGGACTTACTGTAGGCGGTCGCAGAGTCGCGGTCCATCTGACTCCCTCCTAGGAACATGGTCAGCGAGGAATAAGGGACGTGGTAGCACTAAAAGGAGGTAAAGGTGAAGGAGGGAATCTGTCAGGGTGGAAATAATAATAATAATAATAATTTATTTATACTCGGCCCATCTGGGCAGCTTCCAACAAAACACTAAAATACAATAACCAATTAAACATTAAAGCTTAATGTTCCACAGGGCGGGCGCCACTACCGAGAAGGCCCTCTGCCTGGTTCCCTGTAACCTCACTTCGCACAATGAGGGAACCGCCAGAAGGCCCTCGGCGCTGGACCTCAGTGTCCGGACAGAACGATGGGGGTGGAGACGCTCCTTCAGATATACTGGACTGAGGCCATTTAGGGCTTTAAAGGTCAGTGCTAACACTTTGAATTGTGCTTGGAAATGTACTGGGAGCCAGTGTAGGGCGTCTTTCAAGACCGGTGTTATATGGTCTCAGCGGCCACTCCCAGTCACCAGTCTAGCTGCCGCATTCTGGATTAGTTGTAGTTTCCGGGTCACCTTCAAAGGTAGCCCCACGTAGAGCGCATTGCCGTAGTCCAAGCGGGAGATAACTAGAGCATGCACCACTCTGGCGAGACAGTCCGCAGGCAGGGAGGGTCTCATCCTGCGTACCAGATGGAGCTGGTAAACAGCTGCCCTAGACACAGAATTGACCTGCGCCTCCATGGACAGCTGTGAGTCCAAAATGACCCCCAGGCTGTGCACCTGGTCCTTCAGGGGCACAGTTACCCCATTCAGGACCAGGGAGTTCCCCACACCTGCCCACTCCCTGTCCCCCAAAAACAGCACTTCTGTCTTGTCAGGATTTAACCTCAATGCAATGTTGTGAGCAGGGCTCTTAGCAATGCCTACTTGTAGCTTTTTTAAAATGTGGCTTTCATTTTAAACTCCCCGCTGTGTGTTGTGTGTGTGTCTGTGTGTGTGTGTCTTTGTCTTTTACCCTCCTGGTCTACAAAGCCCACCTTGAACTGCAGGACGTGCCGTGTCTATATATAAACCTCAGCATCAATAAATACATGAATGGCTGAAGGGAACATTCATTCATCCATCCGTCCCACGCACAAGCGCTTACACTCATGCAGGTCTGGAAGAGGCAGTACATGACCAAATACCAAAAGAACTTCAGTGACACAGAGAGGGAATCTGAGGGCACGAACCAGAGCATAGTGTAGAAGAAGACCCCAAATGGCGTGGAGCAGACGACCCTGCAAGGAGAAGAAGAGAGCGTAAGGACCGCCTTGCAGGGCTGTCGTTGCTAAGAGCAGCCGGCCGGATGCCGCCAGGCAGGAAGCGGGATTGCATTGACTGTGCCACCCCAGCAAAAAATTCTGGTGCTCAGAGGTAGACTATCCCTGTATCTGGAGGTTCCACTGCAATGGGGAATTCGTCACAGTTATTGGAAGAGTGGGCAATGGAAGAGTGGGCAAAGTGGAAGTCTTTGTTTGCCAGAGGGCTCTTGTGCCTTTAAGGGCCACAGGAAAGGCAGGAGTCCAACAGGTAGAGCTGCGGAACCAGGATGTGAAACCAGGGATCTGATCGCTGGCGCAAACGTCAGGCCACATCAGGAACATGCCAGGATCCATCCCTGAAGGTTCAGCTTCAACTGGTTCAAAAGGGGGGGGAAGGAAAAACTAACAATGCCATTGGCCAACCGCCTCTCTCTTCCCCTTTAAATCTCCGAGGTTGGAAATATAAAGGGGGAAGAGGGGAGACTTGCAAAACCTCCATACCTGCAAAATTTGGCCCATGGAGCCGAAAAGGTTCAGCGCCCTTAGCTTAAGGCAGGGGTCAGCAAACTTTTTCAGCAGGGGGCCGGTCCACTGTCCCTCAGACCTTGTGGGGGGCCGGACTATATTTTGGGGGGGAAATATGAATGTATTCCTATGCCCCACAAATAACCCAGAGATGCATTTTAAATAAAAGGACACATTCTACTCATGTAGAAACACGCTGATTCCTGGACCGTCTGTGGGCCAAATTTAGAAGGCGATTGGGCCGTATCTGACCCCCGGACCTTAGTTTGCCTACCCCTGGCTTAAGGGAAGGGCTGGAGCTCAGCACTAGAGCATCTTCTCAGAAGGTCCCAGGCTCTTTCCGCGTCTATCCCAGGTAGGACTAGGAGAGATCCCTGTCCGGAACCCCCGGAAGCTGCTGCCAGCCAGTGTAGACAATACTGGCAGAGATGGGCCTCGGTATAAGGCAGCTTCCCCTGCTAGTGCCTGAGGCGTGTGCATGCGGCGACTTTGGCCCTTTGAGCTCATAGAATCACAGACTTGTAGAGCCAGAAGGGACTGTGAGGGTCATCTGGTCCAACCCCCTGCAACTCAGGAATCTTTTGCCCAGTGTGGGACTCGAACCCACAACCCTGTGATTCAGAGTCTCATGCTCTATGGACTGAGCTATCCCAAGGATTACGTGCTTCCCATCGCTGGGGGTTGGACTAGACCGGGGGTCAGCAAACTTTTTCAGCAGGGGGCCGGTCCACTGTCCCTCAGAACTTGTGGGGGGCCAGACTATACTTTTGGGGGGGAATAAACGAATTCCTATGCCCCACAAATAACCCAGAGATGCATTTTAAATAAAAGGACACATTCTGTTGGGAATCAAGCCTTTATCAGGGGAAACTGGCCACTCTCCAAGCACCCGGCTTGATCTCCTGTTGACCTCCCTGTCTGCATTCCCCAGCAGGATACAGGCTAGGTCGCGATAGGCGATCCTTCTCAGCGTGAGAAGAACACACCCCCTCTTTGTTGCCCCCCCGGGCAGGGGAGAGAGATAGACAGAAACGTATTTACATTCCTTTATTTCTGTCTTTGCAGCGTTACAAAAATCATGACTGCTCTCTTCAAGCTCCAGCAGTCGAGAGACAAACTCCTCCTGTACTTCCTGTACAGCTCATATTACACTCTGAGCTAATTCCGGTGCCCTCTGCACTGTGAATTGACTGTCCCTCTGTTTCCCACGGAACAGTCCCAACATTCCCATTATGTTTTGCTTTCAAGCTACCAGCAGCTCGCGGCTGCATTGCTTCAATATCGTAACACATTCTACTCATGGAAAAACAGGCTGATTCCCGGACCATCTGCGGGCCGGATTTAGAAGGCGATTGGGCCGGATCCAGCCCCCAGGCCTTAGTTTGCCTACCCATGGACTAGCGGTTCTCATATATTATAAAAATTATTAAAAAAATATTAGTTTTTTAACATATCATTTTCAACAGTAATTAAACAGATGGCTATTTTTTTGACTTCCATCAGTCCTGTCTGAAAATTTTCCAATCTAATCTCTTAGAGTGCATTTCTTATTTTCCCTATTACATTTCAAACTCATAACCAATATCTATCTTTTCCTATTTTGTAACACTTCCTATATTTCTCCTTGAAAAACTTCTTGTAGTCCTACTAGCGTAATTTGTTGGTTACAGTTGCTCTTCAAATAATTCATATACTCCTTCCAATCTTCTGTAAATCTCTGGTCCAGAAGTACATGGACTAGCGGTTCTCAACCTGTGGGTCCCCAGATGTTGTTGGACTACAACTCCCATCATCCCTGAGCTCTGGCCTTGCTAGCTAGGGGTGATGGGAGTTGTAGTCCAACAACATCTGGGGACCCATAGGTTGAGAAAGGCTTAATTTTTCTTTTTTATCCCTTCCAACTCCACTGTCCTATGAGAAGTGGCCGGCTTAACGCGCCTCGAGCTTTTATGACCAGGCTGCCCCTTGATCTTTCCTGCAAAACACCAACAGATCCACCCGGTTGCCCCTTTTCCCTCTCACTCACCAGGGGATCAGTTTGCCCCACCTCCGGCGGGGGCTTCTGCTGACCAGGAATCCGATGGCGGGGTCGGCCACAGCATCCCAGGCTTTCCCCAGGAAAAGGATCAGCGAAGCATGGAAAGGCTCCAGCTAGATCGAGGCAAAGGAGGAGACTGAATCTGTTAGGCAGTGTGGAAAGACCTGGAGCATCAACCCGAACAACATTCTGAAATTGATTATTTAGTGTCGCAGTGCCAACACTTTGGAACTCAGCCCTGTATACCTGAAGAAGCATCTCCACCCTCATCGTTCAGGCTGGACACTGAAGTCCAGTTCCAAGGGCCTTCTGACGATTCCCTCACTGCGAGAAGCCAAGTTACAGGGAACCAGGCAGAGGGCCTTCTCGGTAGTGGCGCCCGCCCTGTGGAATGCCCTCCCACCAGATGTCAAAGAGAAAAACAACTATCTGACATTTAGAAGACATCTGAAGGCAGCCCTGTTTAGGGAAGCTTTTAATATTTGATGAATCATTGTATTATAGTATTCTGCTGGAAGCCTCCTAGATGGGCAGGGTATAAATAATAAATCATCATTATCAACTGATTTTATAATGAATTGATTTTAGAATGCTGTATTATTTTACTGTTGTTAGCCGCTCTGAGCCCGGCTTTGGCTGGGGAGGGCGGGATATAAAAAAATTATCATCATCATCATCATCATCATCATATTAAGAAAACAGCATTTCATCTCCCTGCAAACAAACCAGGGGTGGATCTGCACACAGGGGGAAAAACGCTATAAATAAGTCAGAAATCAAATCTTTATAACAAAAGAAAAAAAAACCCTATGGAAAAACGCTATGGAAAAGTTTTGTGCTGTCTGGCGCCACCTGGTGTTGCATGTTTATAACTCATTCAGATCACTGTTTTTTGACGAATGTAGCTGAGTGCCAGGATGGAGCTCACCTGCACGACATCCAGCAAGAAGATCTGGAGGAAAAACCCAACTGCGTTTCCTGTGAGCTGGTAAGGGGCGCCTCCAAGCGCATAGCAAACCTTCCGGTGGAGAGGCAAGGCTGGTTTCACCTGGGAATGAGATCCTAGCAGGTGAGGAGAGCATCTCTTGAACACACACACACCCTGCAAAGGTAGCAAATCCTGTCTTCTCTAATGCAAATATAAGAAAATGTTAAAGAGCAGCCCTGGTAGATCAGAAGGTGTTCACTTTGGTGAGCATCTGGCAGTGGTGAACTGGAGGCCTCTGGGAAATTCAGTTGGGCATGAGGGGAGCATCGCACCCCTGTCGAAGTGGCGCACTCGAGGGAGGACTTTGGGGCATAGGTCAAGGGCCCCGCTCTGCAAAATGCCCAGGAGAGCCTTCCCCCAAAACACAGCATATCTGGCTTTTCACACTTTGAAGAAAGGTTTCATCTTTAAAGCCCTGTGCGGCCTAGGACCCTCGTACCTGCGGGACCGCCTCTCCTGGTATGCCCCGCGGAGGACCTTAAGGTCCACAAATGACAACACCTTGGAGGTCCCAAGTCACAAGGTGGTTCGATTGGTCTCAACTAGGGCCAGGGCCTTTTCAGCACTGGCCCCGACTTGGTGGAACGCTCTGTCACAAGAGACTAGGGCCCTGTGGGACTTGACATCTTCCTGCAGGGCCTGCAAGACAGAGCTGTTCCGCCTGGCCTTTGGTTTGGACTCAGTCTGACCCTTACATTTCCCTCCCCTTATGGTCTTGATTTATCAGCTACTTTTAAAATGAGGCTGCATTTTAAATTGTTTAACCTGTATTTTAAATTGCTTTATTTATTTATTTTCTATTATGTTTTTATTGTAATTTTATTGGTGTTAGCCGCCCTGAGCCCGGCTTTGGCCGGGGATTGCGGGGGATAAAAATTATTATTATTATTATTATTATTATTATTATTATTATTATTATCCTGCATGTAAAGCACCCAAAGAATTCTGGGAGCTTCTGCCAGTCAAAGTAGAGTATGCTGAGCTAGATGGACAAGTGGTCTAATATATAGCAGACTTTGCACCCTTCATGTGTTTGGGGCTACAGGTGCCATCACCCCCAGCTGGATGGCTGCACAACCTCACAACCTCCCAGTGCCTATTGCCTCTGACATGGGAGGGTCTGTAGAGATGCTGGATATGAAAATCCCTTCTGCAGTTTCTCTGCAGGTAAAGGTGAAGGGACCCCTGACCATGAGGTCCAGTCGTGGCTGACTCTGGGGTTGCGGCGCTCATGTCGCTTTATTGGCCGAGGGAGCCGGCGTACAGCTTCCGGGTGATGTGGCCAACATGACTAAGCCGCTTCTGGCGAACCAGAGCAGCGCACGGAAACGCCGTTTACCTTCCTGCTGGAGCGGTACCTATTTATCTACTTGCACTTTGACGTGCTTTCGAACTGCTAGGTTGGCAGGAGCAGGGACCGAGCAATGGGCGCTCACCCCGTCGCAGGGATTCGAACCGCCGACCTTCTGATCGGCAAGCCCTAGGCTCTGTGGTTTAACCCGCAGCGCCACCCGCGTCCCTCTGCAGTTTCTCTACAACTCTCTAATCTGGCCTGCATCCAGCCCTATATTCAAACAGCAGGGAGTTTCCACAGTGCAAAATCCTATCGGGTTGCCTTGATCCCACTGTCAAAGGGGGGTTAAATTCCTCTCTAAACACGAGCTTCTTAGTGTGTTGACCAAGGAATTGCTATGTTCATCTTATGCAAGATCAGGGATTTGGCAGACCCACAGAAAGCTCTCTCTCTCTCTCTCTCTCTCCTGATCTGCTGCCTCTTCCTTTGACACTGAGTGGAGTTTTGGTACTTCCTGATAGGCCTAAAATACAATTTCTGAACAGGGTGTCGAACTGACATGACCTCTCTCAAGTCACAACAACATCCAAAGTCCAGAGTCTGGCCGGTGTTCAAAAGAGGCGATGGAAGTTTTTGCGGTGGATAACAAAGAACCAGAAGAGAATATGTGGTTGAGGAAAGCAAGCTTACTCAAGGACTCTTCAATCACCTTTCTTGACCTCAATTCCCCAGCTGTAAATTGGGCATAATCACAACTTTCCAGGCAGCAGTGGTGTGTGAGAGACAGAGAGAGAGAGAAGATGAGAAAGAGAAAACAGGACTTCAAATGTTTCAAGATCCCACGCACATAAAGAATAGAATATTGCTCTCGGAAAGCACCTTTCTTTAAAAATAAAGCAAAAGCAAGATTTTAGTCCTTTTTGAGTTACCACTTCAAACTGAAAGCCTGCCCCAGCTGCCGCTGTTTGAGGGCAGGGTTCGATCCCATAACAACAAATTCAGGTTGTGCAATTATAGTGCATTGGGAGCTCTTGCACAACAAACCCAGTTCCCCAAAAAGATCAGGTGGTTGGTTTTTTTGGTAATAAATCACAGGGAAATGTACTGGAGAGTGTGGGATCACACTTGCTTTGACAACACCTTCTTACTTTCCTGCAAAAAAATCAGAGTGAAGGCTCATTCAACAGCCAAGGCCATCTTATCTTGCGAGGTGGGGTTCTGGACGATGGCTTTCTCAGCAGAACCGCTTACCCCTGAGTAGACTTGCCAAAGTTTGGGAATTTTAATCTGAGGTGACCATGGCAAAAATGGACGCAGGGCAGTCTTTATTCTGGATTAGTTAATTCAAGATACTTTTGCCAACGTCTCCACCTGTTCTTAATTCTGGCTCTGCCCTCGCCTGGCGAGCAGCCCTCAACCCAGGCTGGAGAGAGCCAGCCATGAACTGTAGTGTGGAAACCTCCCTCATCCTGCACTCTCCCTTGCAGGGGCGTTGTGAAAGGAAACCGAATATACATATACATACAGTCATACCTCGTGTTGAGTTTGCTTCATGATAGGTTTTTTCAGGTTTTGTCCCACGGCAACCTGGAAGTACCGGAAAGGGTTACTTCTGGGTTTCGCCACTCGCGCATGCACAGATACTCAAAATGATGTCATGCGCATGTGCAGACACAGCGAATCATGACCCGCGCAGACGCAGGTTGCGTTCTGCTCATGTCGCGAACGGGACTCTGGAACGGATCCCGTTCACAACCAGAGGTACCACTGTATACATATACAGTGGTACCTCTGGATACGAACGGGATCCGTTCCGGAGCCCCGTTCACATCCAGAAGCAAATGCAACCCACGTCTGCGCATGCACGGGTCACGATTCACCGCTTCCGTGCATGCACATGATGTCTTTTTGACTGTCTGCGCATGCGCGAGTGGCGAAACCCGGAAGTAACCCTTTCCGGTACTTCCATGTCGCCGTGGAGCGCAACCCAAAAGCACTCAGCCTGAAGCAACTTCAACCTGAGGTATGACTGTACATATACATATACATATACATATACATATACATATACATATACATATACATATACATATACAATGTGCCTGCCAACCTCAGCTCCTTGGACTGGAGGGATAATAGCAGCAGAAACAGGGGTGGGGAGGAGATGGGGAGAAATTTCACAAGCTGCTTGCGATGGATCGGGTGTCGGCAGCTGGAAAGTGGCTGCAGATAATTTTAGAAGCACATATTTTCACAGAGGGCTGCAGAACAGAACAGCCCTATTGTGCCTGCAGTTCAGTTGCTGTTGTTGTCAAATGTCTATATTGCCCTTCCTTCGAGGATCGCAGGGTGTTTTACAATATAAGAACATAACACAGTAAAAACAACAACAAACAATAACCCCTCCACTAAGAAGGCTCCCTTCAAAGTGGTCCTGCTATCTGAATAATAATATTATTTTTATTATTTGTACCCCACCCATCTGGCTGGGTCTCCCCAGCCACTCTGGGCAGCTTCCAACAAAGATTAAAAATACATTAAAATATCACACATTAAAAACTTCCCTGAACAGGGCTGCCTTCAGATGTCTTCTAAATGTCAGGTAGTTGTTTATCTCTTTGACTCCAAAACCAGTGCTTCCTTCCCTATCGTGAGACGCCCCAAATATTTTGGACTACAACTCCCATCAGCACCAGCCATGTGATGCTGTGGCTAGCTAGAGCCTGGCTCTGCTGGCAGGGGCTGATGGGAGCTGTAGTCCCAAAACATCCAGAGCACTCCAGAAGATGGCTGCTCCATCCAGAGTCTTCTCAGTGGTGGCCGCCCAGCTCAGGAACCCTGTGGGACGGAAGGGAGGGCATTGACCGGAAAGGACCACTTGGCACCTTCCTTTAACAGCCTCTTGGTTCCAAAGAGCTTTTAACTGACTGAGGCTCGTAGCCGGACACTGCCTCTTGGTCCTCATCTTGATTACCTATCAGGGCCGGCCCACCTGTGAGGCAAGGTAAGGCGACTGCCTCGGGCGGCAGGATCTATAGGGGCAGCATATCTGGCCTCCAAGGAATGTGTCGCCGGCTGCAGCTGCAGTAACAGCAATGGCTGCGGCACACTCCTTGGGGGCTAAATCTGTCACTTCGGCAGCCCCCACCCCACCCCAACAGAAGCCTCTCAGCAAATAGAGGGCGCTACCCGTATAGTTAAATCTATGGTTTTCCCAGTAGTGATGTGTGGAAGTGAGAGCTGGACCATAAAGAAGGCTGATCGCCAAAGAATAGATGCTTTTGAATTCTGGTGCTGGAGGAGACTCTGGAGAGTCCCATGGACTGCAAGAAGATCAAACCTATCCATTCTGAAGGAAACCAGCCCCGAGTGCTCACGGGAAGGACAGATCCTGAAGCTGATGCTCCAAGACTTTGGCCACATCATGAGAAGAGAAGACTCCTTGGAAAAGACCCTGATGTTGGGAAAGATGGAGGGCACAAGGAGAAGGGGACGTCAGAGGACGAGATGGTTGGACAGTGTTCTTGAAGCTACCAGCATGAGTTTGACCAAACTGCGGGAGGCAGTGGAAGACAGGAGTGCCTGGCCTGCTCTGGTCCAGGGGGTCACGAAGAGGCGGACACAACTAAACGGCTAAACAACAACAACCAGTCTCCTGCCACCCCAGGGAGGATATTGAAAGGGCTGACTTCTAAGGCCTCCTGGGCTTTGCACCCTCCCAGTGTGATTCAAAGCAGAGCCCCCACCTCCCCAAATGGCCTTTGATTCCCACTTCAAGTGTCAGGTAAGGTTAATTTGATCAATTCTTCCCTGGTTCCTGATGTACATCTCCACTCACCCCATCTTCCCTGGTGGGAGGACATGCCATTTTGGAGATCTCCTCTGGTGCCCAAATTTCTTGCACTGACTCTGTTACCCTGTCCTAACGGCAGGAAGTAATTAGGCCAATCAGAGGCACCCTCGCTGGGGGACTGCAGACACATTTCTGGAAGGAACGAGCGCTGTGATTCATTGTGGCAACAACAGAAGGCGATGACGACACAGCCAGGGACCTGGGCACGTTCATTAATGCTTTACCAAACTTCACCTACTTGGCCGGCACCCTGAAGTTCCCCTGGGCACTTGTCCAAGCAGGGCATAGGCCGTGGCACCTGGGAAAGGCTTGGCCAGCTCTTTGCTTCCACGCACTGTCTGAGAGCAACATCGCCTGCTTCTGGCATTGCTCATCCCCTAGTATTATGGCAGCACACGTATATTTTGTTCCAGAGTCAATGGAGTGCTTGTTTTCTTTTCCCCTGCGTAGTCCTCACACAATCTAGAACTGCTGCGTATTTTTAGTCCATGAAAAGTGCTTCTTGATAAATGGGTTTCATTCCGATTTCCGAAAATGAAAGCACGTTGCAGACTGAGCCTGTTGTCGGTGGATGCAGGAAGGCAAAGTCTTGAGTGCACATGAAATCTTGGAGGTGTGGGGAGGAAGGTGGGGCCAGCAGGCATTATGGCCTGGCTAGTCCAGCATCCTGTCCTCACAGTGATCAACAACTTGCACATTATGGGAAGCGCCAAAGCAGTCCTACCACGAGGCAGAGGGAGGCAATGGCCTCAGGTGGCAGATTTAGGGCAGAGGGGGCAAAGCAGTGGGAAGGTGTTAGAGCAGGTGAGAGGAAAATCAGGCCTCTCTACCTGGCCTTCAGCACTCTCTCCAGGCTGCACCTATCACCAGGCTATTTTGCACCCAAGGCACGGCTAACTACAGTGGTACCTCGGGTTACAGATGCTTCAGGTTACACACTCTGCTAACTGAGAAATAGTACCTCAGATTAAGAACTTTGTTTCAGGATGAGAACAGAAATCGTGCTCCGGCAGCATGAAAGCAGCAGGAGGCCCCATTAGCTAAAGTGGTGCTTCAAGTTAAGAACAGTTTCAGGTTAAGAACGGACCTCCGGAACGAATTAAGTACTTAACCCGAGGTACCACTGTACTTGCAACCCACCCCCAAAATTGCTAGCTTCAATTTTCAGAAGCAGTTGAAAAATCAAAAGCACAAAACCTGAAAGCGCTAAATTTATTTTAGAGTGCAAGGATAAGCATAATGCAACCATCTTTGAGCACCTTCCTCAAATACAAAAGAAAACGCTTGGGGGCACAAACCATTTTGAATAATCTTGTGAATTGCGATGTTACATGTTTCCATTTCATGCAGATCACAATCTCACTTTGTGTGCCTTTTCCTTGGCAAACTTTGTCATCACCAGCTCCTTCGGGTCAAGCGCAGGCGGCTTGGGCACATGCTCAGCTGATAGATTTGCCAAACCGACCAGTCCCCCTTGCAACATTCTTAAACGTAAGCCAGTTCTGCAAGCTCGAGCTTTGCGTTCCCCACTCGCCACTGATGCTGGAAGTGCGCGGAGGCTCCTTAGGGCAACAGAAACATCTGGCACTTTATCCAGGAGCTTTTGTCGTGGCACGAAGAGAGGTTTTCCTAGCACAGCGGCAGCATGGACTTTGGAAGTCTTCGTGCTGCTGCTGTTAAGTTCACAGGATTGGTAAAACAAAAACTAACCTGTATGAAACTGTGCCCACCCCTCGGAGGTCTGTGCCCGAGGCGGATGCCTAGTTGGCCTGACGATAGCACAGCCTCTGCCCATCATTGCTGCTGTTTTTCACCTTCCTTGAGTGTTTCTGCACAGCTGGAAGGTGCCCTGGAACTCTGACAATTCCTCTTATTTTCCTGGGGGAAGGATGGAGAGAGGAGTGTGCAAATGTGGGTAGAAACTAGCCTACATTTGTTGCCCACTCCACTTTTGTTCCTGGCCCCTGCTCACTTTCAGTGCCGGATTTATGTATAAGCTAAACAAGCTACAGGACGCGGGTGGTGCTGTGGGTTAAACCACAGGGCCTAGGACTTGCCGATCAGAAGGTCGGCGGTTCGAATCCCCGCGACGGGTTGAGCTCCCGTTGCTTGGTCCCTGCTCCTGCCAACCTAGCAGTTCAAAAGAACGTCAAAGTGGAAGTAGATAAATAGGTACCACTCTGGCGAGAAGGTAAACGACGTTTCCGTGCGCTGCTCTGGTTCGCCACATGACCCAGAAGCTGTACGCCGGCTCCCTCGGCCAATAAAGCAAGATAAGCGCCGCAACCCCAGAGTCTGCCACGACTGGACCTAATGGTCAGGGGTCCCTTTACCTTTAAACAAGCTACAGCTTAGGGCCCCACTCTCTTGGGGGGCCCCCCAAAAATTAAAGGGGAAAAAAACACCTGGATGTACATTTCCAAAATATAAGATAAAAAACAAATAAAATAAAACCTACATTATTTCATGTTATAGCAAGTTATTATTTCATGTTATAGCAAGTTTCTAGAGATTAGATTATGAGTCTTGGTAAATTGTGTTTCTAAAGGAACTTTTGTTATTGCCAAATGCCAATGTGTTTGCATTATTAAGTTTGTTATGAATAAAAAAAAAATCATTTTAAGTTAGAGCTTAATAATTATTTCACTATCAATATACTTCTTAATTGTATTTCACTATTAATACTTCTTTTTTATTGTATTTCAGTCGAACAATTACTTTGATAAAATACATATTTTGTTATGTGCAAATGGCTTCAGATACCTGATAGCTCCATCGATTACCAGAGAGCATATATTCAACACAAAAAACAGTGACAATTTGTTGTTGACAAAGGACAGCTGGACATATGAAGGGTCCCATTACCTTCAGGAGCTTAGGGTCTCATCAAACCTAAATCCGGCCCAGATCACCTCTGACATGTGGCCCCTGGAACGTTGGTTAGAAGGCAATGCGGGCCCCAGCCTGAAAAAGCTTCCCCATTTCTGGTGCTAAAGGGTAGAGTTCTGCCCTGAGCCCTCTAAGTTAGCCTGGCTCCCTTAAGGGGTTAGCTGTGTTGCCAGCGTTGCCATGAGGCTATATCTTCAGTCTGGCCGGCTTACGCCCATAAAATGGGCATCTTGCGTCCTTTGCCTCAGGCAGCAAAACATCTTGAGCAGGGGTAGGCAACCTAAGGCCCAGGGACCAAATGTGGCCCAATCGCTTTCTCAATCTGGCCCGTAGACGGTCTGGGAATCAGCGTGTTTCTACATGAGTAGAATGTGTCATTTTATTTAAAATGTATCTCTGGGTTATTTGTGGGGCATAGGAATTCGTTCATATTTTTTTCCAAAATATAGTCCGGCCCCCCACATGGTCTGAGGGACGGTGGACCGGCCCACGGCTGGAAAAGGGTGCTGACCCCTGATCTTGAGCCTGGCTTGACCCTGGGCTACTGCAGGCACTTGCACTGCCCCCATGAGGAACAGCACTCTGCACATGCTCAGAAGCACAGTCTCCCTTAGGGCTACTTCCACTTTCAGCATCAAGACCTGTCAGTGATAAGAGCAACATGTCTCAGATGCAGCCCTCAACGTACTAACACCGGACTGATTTATTTTTATTATTGTTACATTTATACCCTGACTTTTTTCCTCCAGGGGAGCTCAAGGTGGATGCGCGGTTCTCCTCCTCTGCATTCCTCACCACAACCCTGTGAGGTAGGTCAGGCTATCTAAATAGTACACTTTCCCACCACATAAAAACATAAGAGGCTTTTGGATCAGACCAGAGGCCCATCTCGCCCAGTATCCTGTTCTCAGAGCGGCCAATCAAATGTCCCAAAGGGAAACCTGAACTCAGGACCCAAATGCAACAGCAACTCTCCACTCCTGTGGTTTCCAGAAATCGGTATTTGGAAACATTGGTGTCTCCAGATGTGGAGGCAGAACAAGGAGCCTTAATAATAATAATAATAATAATAAATTTTATTTATACCCCGCCCTCCCCGGCCAGAGCTGGGCTCAGGGCAGCTAACACCAGTAAAATTACAGTAAAAGCATAATGGGGCGGGACCCAATTTAAAATACAGGTTAAAATGCAATTTAAAATGCAGCCTCATTTTAAAAGTAGCCCATAAATCAAAACCATAAGGGGAGGGAAACATAAGGGTCAGACTGAGTCCAAACCAAAGGCCAGGCGGAACAGCTCTGTCTTGCAGGCTCTGCGGAAAGATGTCAGGTCCCACAGGGCCCTGGTCTCTTGTGACAGAGCATTCCACCAAGTCGGGGCCAGTACTGAAAAGGCCCTGGCCCTAGTTGAGACCAATCTAACCACCTTGCGACTTGGGATCTCCAAAGTGTTGTCATTTGTGGACCTTAAGGTCCTCCGCGGGGGATACCAGGAGAGGCGGTCCCGTAGGTACCATTCTCCATGAATCTGTCCAATCCTCTCTTAAAGCCATCCGTGTCGGTGGCCCTTGCTGCCCCCTGCTGCAGCGAGTTCCGCAGATACCACCTGAAATCCTTGTAAGTGGAGATGACAAGAGCTTTTTCGCATGCAAAGCCACCGAGTTGCGTGGGGTCTGGTGCTCGGGTCTATATGTCTGCATCCCCTTGCCTCCCTCGCGTTTTACTTTGCATAGCCCGCGGAATTAAAGAGAGAATTGCAAACGCGCATAGGTAAATTCTGCTCCCGGCCGCTTCCTCCTTGCCAAAGGATCTCTCCGTGCCGCCTCTGCAAGTCAAGCGCCACCATCGCCGGCTTGTCTGGCTTAGACTTTTGGCAGGCAAACGGCCCGGGAGCGCCTCCCACCCCCTTTAAAATGCTCAAATATAGAAACCCTCTTGGAACCGACTGTGAGGGCGCTCAGCCAGCCTCGCAGCGCTCCGCGCAGTCACGCGCAAGAAAAGCCACCTCTCCAAATTGGTCAAGCTGCTAGTCCTGGCTGAGGCCACTGCCTGCACCCTTCGCCCTCCTCTCCGGCTTACCCGGCTGGGCTGCGCGTCCTTCCCAGGCTCTGCACCCTTCGGAGTTAACCCTTCCCGCGCCGGTTCGCCCTGGCCTTCGCCCTGAAGCATGACTCGCATAGTTATAGGACCATCACCTGCCGAGCCTCCGCGCGCAATTACGCACAGGGCAGCCGGAGCGGGAGGAAGGAGCTCAGGGGGGCGAGAGGCATAGTCCCCTCCAGGAAGCCAGCGGACGCAAATCATGTTTCTTCCTCCCCGGGGGCGCGGACGGGAGGCGGACGCGCGCCTGGCCCTGAAACTGACACCAACACCAGGGCTCTCGCCAGCAAGGGGTGGGACAGGGAGCCTCTGGCAGGCGACGAGGCGCGGAGGAAAGGGGTGGATGAAGGCTGTCCGGTGGGGGACGGGCAGTTGTCCGTCTTGGAGCCGCCTGCCTGCCGGCTTCGCTTTGTTGCAAGAAGTCTTGTTGTCGTTTAGTCGTGTCCGACTCTTCGTGATCCCCTGGACCAGAGCACACCAGGCACTCCTGTCTTCCACTGCCTCCCGCAGTTTGGTCAAACTCATGTGCGTAGCTTCGAGAACACTGTCCAACCATCTCGTCCTCTGTCGTCCCCTTCTCCTTGGGCCCTCCATCTTTCCCAACATCAGGGTCTTTTCCAGGGAGTCTTCTCTTCTCATGAGGTGGCCAAAGTCTTGGAGCCTCAGCTTCAGGATCTGTCCTTCCAGTGAGCACTCAGGGCTGATGTCCTTCAGAATGGATAGGGTTGATCTTCTTGCAGTCCATGGGACTCTCCAGAGTCTCCTCCAGCACCAGAATTCAAAAGCATCAATTCTTCGGCGATCAGCAAGAAGTCTAAGGTGCCATAAATAAAATGCAAACGCACATGGAGAAGTGCGTAAACCGCATGTCTGAAATAGTACAGAGAGTGATACAACAGGGAGGTTTGGCTCCTAGAAACCCCCCAACCCCACCCCTCAGGTCACGGTAGCAGGAAATTCCTGGAAGCTCGCCCCTCTGCAAACTGGTTTGACAAGTGTCTGTTGCGTGGCCAAGCTGAACTGTCAAATGAGCACAAATCTATGTCTGAATGTTGCAGGCCTTTGGCTTCAGGAGCCAAGGTGTTCACCATTTCCATAGGATGTTTCAGACAGGAAGGGCAATTCTCAGGTGTCATCAGGCATCTTGACAGACAGACTTGTAAAGACGTGGGAGAAACATGAACTCTGAGCACGAACTGATTTACATGCACAACCTGTTGGGTGATGTATCTGTGACGTTTCGCAACTCGCTTTTGTTCTGGCCTGTCGCAACAGATAAGCAACAAAGATAAAAACAGCTATAGCATTGCTCCTTGGGCTGCCTCGGTTTGTTTTCTCTGATCGATTAGCGGGCCTCGGAGGAGATTTGGGCTGTAAAAGCCAACCTGGGTTTTTTTAGAACAGCTTGGACGTCTCCAAAAGGCTTGCAAGTTGAATCGAGGAAATGGACCAGCGTCCGCACAGGAAACTGGCCCAGAGAAAGGAGCGTGTCCGAGGAAACTGATAAGAGGAAAGAAGAGGCGTTGGGGCTTTCCGTTGTTTTGTACCGTTCAGCACACACGCCGCTGTTTGTCTCTTGGGTGGAAGTTGTTTGTGCGCCCTCAGCACGATTCGCTCCTGGATCTCTAGCTAGGAACATTTTCCCTCTTGGGGGGGGGGGGGGGGCAAGGACCTCCTGCATTACAAACACATCTAATGTCCACAACTCCCCCCAAAGAATCCTGGGAACTGTCCTGCTGGGAACTGCAACTCTGTAAAGAGGAAACTAGAGTTTCCAGGATTATTTTGGAGAAGTCTTGAGCTTTAAATGTGCATTAGGTAAAGGTAAAGGGACCCCTGACCATGAGGTCCAGTCGCGGCCGACTCTGGGGTTGCGGCGCTCATCTCGCTTTACTGGCCGAGGGAGCCGGCGTACAGCTTCCGGGTCATGTGGCCAGCAGGACTAAGCCGCTTCTGGCGAACCAGAGCAACGCATGGAAATGCCGTTTACCTTCCCGCCAGAGTGGTACCTATTTATCTACTTGCACTTTGACGTGCTTTTGAACTGCTAGGTTGGCAGGAGCAGGGACCGAGCAACGGGAGCTCACCCCGTTGCGGGGATTCGAACTGCCGACCTTCTGATCGGCAAGTCCTAGGCTCTGTGGTTTAACCTTTAAATGTGTGCCTGGCCAGGAAAAGCTGAGAAAGGCAGAGAGGTTGGTGGATGAGGCCTTCATTATTTTAGAAGCCTTGATCTTCTTATAAACAGAGCACATGAAGGAACATGACAAGCGAGAGATATGAGATGTGCCTATTCCATTTCTATCCAACTCTGTTTCCAATAAATTCAAGGAAGCATTCAGATCTCTGCCTGCAAACCAGTTTTGCCTCCCAATACCCTTGTGAAATAGTAAGAAAGTGATTGGCCAAACTCAGCCTTTCCCCCAAAGCAGGCTGTTTCCAGATGTTCCCATCTGCCCCTGCTGTAGTCAGGCACATCTGGAAACCACCCGCTTTGGGGAACGGCTGACCAAAAGTCACCCACTGTGCGCAGGGTGGCTGAAGCCCAAACTACATGTTATGCGGTTGAATGTTGGCACATTCCCTTTAAACTTTTCTCAATGAACTGTGGGGAATGACCTTGCCTAACTGGTTTTTATTGGCAGCCGGTTAGTCTCTCCAGCATCAACTGGACCTTCTGAGAGCTGTTAAAGGATGCCAAGCAAATCTTTGCTTTGCAATGGTCTTTTGAAAACCACATCAGTGGCGCAGAGGGAGTTTCACGAAGCAGCCCAGATGGGCAGTTGCCCACGTCAGCTCTGAATCCTTCCTCCCGCCCCCTACCCTATAAAAAAAGCATCATTCAGAACAGTGGTTTGCAAGACACACCGCTGGCATCCATCTGTCTCGGGAGACAACGGAGGAGTGCACCTTTGGGAGTGAAGTTAAACTGTTGGAAGTTGCAGCACCTGCTGTGGCTGCAGAGACCAATAAAGGAGAGACATGTTTTGTTGCAGCTAGGGCAGATGAAGGCATCTGATTGTGCTGCTGCAGATGCACCATGGCATTTCTTCTCTCGCACTCCTCCAAGCAGTCATTTCTCCTCTGGTCACTACTATGGATACACAACCAGACTGGCTCCAAGCACTGCAAGGGGTTCCCACACGGCAGAGTTGATGTTGCCAGCATCCATGGCACATTGGCAGACACCCTTGTTATTAAGAGTTGGGCATACCAGAAGAGAGCCTGCTGGATGAGGCCAGCGGCCCATCTAGTCCAGCATCCTGTTCTCACACTGGCCAGCCAGATATCCATTATGGGAAATGCACAAGCAGGATCTTAGCCCAAGAGCGACTTTCCCCAGCTGTGGTTTCTGTTAGAATTCCTGCTCCGTGATGCAGTCATGGGATTTTTGTCTTTCACATGACGGTGTATGCTTTGACTCCACCGAGTGGGAAGTGACGGAGACAGGATGTTTGTGTTACTGTGTTCCGTGAAGTGGGACTATTGTTCTTTTTCTCTTTGCTGTCTGACGCTAGAGAGAGAGGGAGCCATGTTGCAGTGCTCCGTGTGTGTTTATATGTCAATAAAGTAGATTAGCCAAAATGCTGAGTTGCTGAGGTCTGTTATGTGAGTTGCACAAACTCTGCGGATCCCTAAGTGTACCGGTGTCGGTTGGCATCAGTCGCTGCTATTCGGGCTGAAGAAAGCTTTTGAAGCTCCTGAACGAAAGACCAGGATGGAGAGAACATGCCAGTGGGGCATGTGTCTCTGCCAGGGTCCTACTCGAGTGTAGGCTGATCTCCTGTGTGCTGGTCCCGGGGGGGGGGTGTTACCGTGCGGCGTGGTCTGAGTCCGGTCCTAGGTCAAGGGTATGGAGGCTATCCGTCAAGGGCGAAGCGGGTTCCAAGGCAAGGAGCCGGGCATGGTCAGGAACTCTGGAAGAGCAGGACAGGGTGCTGGCAGGAACAGGTTACCAACGATGTTGCTCCCGCAACCTAGGACTGGGTTGACTGGCCTTTATCTCCTCTGAGGCCAGGGGCGGCCCTGGTCCACAGATGACTCGCCTCTCCTGGCCTTAAAGCGAGCACTCCTCCTGAGAGAACTTAGTTCCCTCCGCCTCTCTGCCCTGAGCCTCTGCAGCTCCGGAGAGGCTGGAGGGTTACTGGACCCAGAGGCAACCTCACCTTCCCCTAACAGGGCTGGGAGAGGAGCACCTGCAGGCAATGGGTCCTCCATCACCTCCGGAGCAAGAGCGGATTCAGCTGGTGTCTGCTCCTGAGGATCCGGTCAGCTGGTACTGGAGGTGGGGACTCCTGTGCAGGCTGGGATTCCTCAGGTTCAGCCTCTGAATCAGACTCCCAGGCCATCACATCCTGACAGTTTCCAGCAACTGGTATTCAGAAGCATACCAGAACCAGCCTGCCTAGTAGCCATCGAGAGTCCTCCTCTATGAATTTGTCTAGTCCTCTTTTAAAGCCATCCAAGTTGGTAACCATCACTGCCTCTTCTGAGGGGGGAGCGCTCCATAGTTTACGTTTTGCACGAAACCCCCATTTTGGGGACTGTGTCTCCCCCCCATTTTCCTGCCCTGACAGCCTCATTGCTTCAGAGATTCAGCCGCTACATTGGAGAAAAAGGCCTCCCTCCTTCCTCCACTCTATCAGGGGTTAATCCGATGATTGTTTTTCAAATCCCCATCTTGCAAGGTGAGTCATAACAGTTCCCTGATTATAGTGCCAGAGGCTGAGTCAGCAAGCCTTTGTCTTCCTGCCTCAGTTTTGTTCTGCATGACTAACAGGGACGCCCACCAGCTTCATCTCTGCATCCCAGATGACTCCCACCCGTCCTGCAGAGAGAGGATGGTCTGGTCTGCCATGCCTTCTCCAACGTGGTGCCCAGCAGATGCTCTGGACTATGATTCCCAGGGGTCACAACCATTGTGGTTGAATCCTGACAAGAAAGAAGTACTGTTCTTGGGGGACGGGGTGGGCAGGTGTGGAGGACTCCCTGATCCTGAATGGGGTAACTGTGCCCCTGAAGGACCAGGTATGCAGCCTGGGAGTCATTTTGGACGCACAGCTGTCCATGGAGGCGCAGGTCAATTCTGTGTCCAGGGCAGCTGTCTACCAGCTCCATCTGGTAAACAGGATGAGACCCTACCTGCCCACAGACTGTCTTGCCAAAGTGGTGCATGCTCTGGTTATCTCTCGCTTGGACTACTG